TGCTGATTTATTACTTGTTTTTTTTTTCAAGCAAAAACCGGCAAACGAATTGGGGATTGTGCTGGAGTTCAGACGTGTGCTCTTCCGAATCAGTATAAAAGGAATTCTCTTTTTCCAACCCCCTAACAACCCCTACGTGAAAACTTTTTTGTCCATTTTATGAAAAAACCAAAAAAAAAAAAAAAAAGAAAAAGAAATACCGATTGTTAAAACTTTCATAGCGAAAAACTAATACATGCGAATTTGTTTACAATGTTACAAGCAGCAGTTCGCTTGAGGCTCACAGATATAACGTTGAATCCTTGGCTCCGATATAAACATTGTACATTTCGTTAATAACTCAGAATTATTTGTAGTTATATCCTGCAAATATAATTTTTGTTTTTGTTTTCTGCTGTTCACACCTAACAGGAACGTGATTTCACCATAATCATTAGGTATAAAGTAAGTTCTTATACTCCCTGCTGAAGTCTGTGTGATTAGTGACCAAACCTGTCGCAGAAATTAATAAAGCAAGTTAACAAGATACCTGCGTTGCTTCGTGCTGCTCACTCACTAGTAAGGCAAACTTTAGCAAGGAGCACACATACACCAACCCACGGCCGGCGCCAGGTACTGGCCAGGACGTGGGTTGGTGTATGTGTGCCCCTTGCTTTAAGTTTGTCTCACTCTCTAGTGTTCATTAAAAAAAAAATGCATAACAGCGCCTATGGAGGTTCGAGATTAGGTAAAATCTTCCTCTTTGTCGCATGAGGAAAAGTACGCGCGTCATGTGGGAAAGCGTCAAGTGTTTGAGCAAGTTTCACTGCATGCAGTTTTTAATTTGTTAATTGTGATGTTAAGCGTTCCCATTTTTGAATCGATATGTATTGCTATCCAGTGTCTAGACATTATATTTCTCGACAGGTGATTTCTCGATATGCAGGGGCTTGTGCCACGCCCTGAAGGACTCTCATATAAAACTAACGGGGATGCTCGTGGTTTCGCTTTAGGCTGTAAATTGCAGATTTTGGTCTCGCTTAGGGTGTTTGGGATGGAAAGAAACTATATTTGCCCATTCAGGTATCGCTTAGTACTGTGCATAACGAAATTTACAAAAAATGCACTGCCGCTAATCACCGAGAAATCTCCCTTAAGGGTCAGTTTAAGCTTGGTCTCCCTAATTTGAATTTTCTGACGAACATGCCCGTCACGAGAAGCGAGCATCACGCGTGCTAGTCTCCTTAGACGCTCGGGCCACAACGTCCAGAGGAATTCAGTTTTTCAAAACCCATTCACAATCTTCATTATGATCACGCTGTTATTGCGTTACATTTCCGATACGCAACATATGTTCCGCAGAGTTAAGAACTGAAGGCCAATTTGCAGGACAGGGAGCATTGCATAACCCCCTCCCGAGCGGCCCGAGCGAGACTATACAAACACGCGCGAGAACGGAACGGAACCCGTCTTTTAACCCTTTTACTGCCAGTGTGTTTGATGCAGTTTTGTAAGGTGACTCTAACTTTTGATTCTGTAGACAAAATCCTACGATGTGACCATTCAGATGAAAGCTCTCTGCCCTTACTTACACATGGTGCTATTTGTTTTTCAAAATTTCACTAAATGAAATGTGGGAGTTTGGTCGAAATTTGCTTTCGGCTAAATTTGGCAGTGAAAGGATTAAGTATCACACCCTCCCTACTGGCGTGCTTAGCGTGCATGCCAATCGGCCGCGAGGAGCGGATTTTTCTTTTGCCCGCTTCCTCTTCAACATATGCAACTTACAAGTAAAAGAAACGAAAAATTTGCGTTTAGCATAGATTGCAAAACCGTCAGTTTTTTCTTTCCAAATCGGGTTTGTATGACGCAAAGAACCGGCACGAGATTCTCGCACGAACCGTGCAACTGACAGGCAGGTTTTACCTCTCTTTCTAGACGAAGGCACCGCTCAAGACCTTTTGTTTAACCGCTAGCGCGTTCTTATCCAACGCAAAAGTCACAAACTGTTTCGTATTGCAGTATACACTAAGTAGGGATTTATGCTCCGACATGTGATGCCAGGTAAAACTCCATGTATGGACTGCAAGCAGTCTCTCACTTTTCTTGTTAATATGGTATGTTTGCAACCTCGTCCCTAGGGCTTTTCCCTTAAAAAATGGGTGAGAAGAGATAAGCCCTAGGGACAAGGTTGGTATGTTTGAGACTTTGAGGGGGGAGCGATGAAGCCGCGCTGTGCGAGGGTCTAATTAAAGAAAGACGACCCCTCGCTGATCGCGGTCTAATGGGATGCTAATCCGAGCAAGAAGCTGCGCAGTTTTTCTAGTAGCACTGGTATCACTCTAGAAGACAAATCACTGGTACAAATATATTTCATTTCAATTTATTACAATTTCAATTTAACCATTCATTAAATCTTAAGAAACGACAAAATGAACTACGTTTTAACCCTGACCAAGAGAGGATAAAGGGGACAGAGAAGGCATCCCCCATACACACCCTTTTCCATAGGTAATTCGTCTCGAGTTATTTTTAAGACTACAGATCCCAAGGGGGATTAGACAACAGCCAACCACATAGCGCGAATGTGTTCCGCGTGGATGACCCACGCTCAGAGCCACGCGTTCTTCACGAATTGACGCAGAACAAAATGGTGGAGACGCGGAGAGCGATATTGCTATTCGTTTTGTCGACGAAAACGACTACAGAGAGATTTCTGTTAAAGATGTGTCAGCGAAACGAAAATTAAAAAAGAATCGCCCTTCTCTTGTATAGAGCTAACAGTAAAGCAGAAAAATCCTTAACACACTGAATATTCTCTCAGGATCATTTATAATTTACAGTTTGAAGAGAGCGATTACTGGTTTGATATTTATTCTTTTATTAGTCTTTTATTATTCAACAAAGATAACACTTGGCGTCCTACTTGCTTTATTGTACAAACGACCGGGTTTTAATAGACCGGCGAAATTTCTCATTTTATTAAAGCACTGAGGTTACGACAACTTCGAGTTAAACTGATTTCACGGGTTGTCAAAGAGTCCAGCGATTCCCTTTTCCCAGGTGAGCGCCGACCCATTTCCCTTCAATATTCGCGAATGCTCTCGATGTCTTTACGCTTTCATTGCCTTTCGCCCGACATGTTTTGCACGGCGTTTAGTCATGCAAAACCTCCACGAAACATCCACGCAGCGCGCGAGGTAACTTTATCCCGATTCTAAAAATAACTCGAGACGAATTACCTATTGAATAGGGTGTGTATGAGGGATGCCTTCTCTGTCCTCTTTATCCTCTCCTGCCCTGACCAAACCAGTAAATTAGCGAACAATTCTTGCAAGGACCACTTGGATTAACAGCAAGGAAAAGCCGGTGGTTGGTGTAGATCAGGATCAGTAATGGAAAATAACACTCACAATTGAAAGCAACGACTGATCGTACACTGAGATATAGATGGGCAACATATTTTCCTAATATTTCGTTTATTTTGGCAAAACTAACCTTTCTCTTACCCAGCCACTGAAAAAAGCCTAGTTTTGCCTAACCAAAATATTGGGAAAATTTATTACCCATTCATAGCTGTCCGGTCAGCCTTGCCTTAGCAGTGCTTAAGGGTGTTTACAGAAAGTCACTAAATTTGCGCGCGCATTCAAGTATCTCTTAGGGCTGTGTATACCCCAGAGAGCTTAACAAAAGACGTTTTTGCGCGACACTCGTGAACCGGAAGTGAGGCCTTCTCCCTTTTTATATGTCTTGACGCTAACAAATTTGTATTGCTAAGTTTCTTTTCTCTTATAAAGAGGATTTGAGGAAGAGTTTTAACCAAACCACTCCCCAATGGTGCAAAAGTTCACTTCCAGTTGACGTCCTTCGCTCAAAAACGCTGTTCCTTAGCTCCCTATTTTTGGAAAAAAAAAGCCGTGATGTCTGTTTTTTCATGCTTGGTCGCCCTGAATTTTCCGACTAGCCTCCCCGCCAGTTCCATGTGGGAGTAACCTGAGAAAGCGTTTCGCTTTGGGGCTGTATGCTTCCGCTTTAAATTACTACACCCACTCTCTCCTCCGCAGATTTCTCTTTGTGTCGCAGGGAGGCTGGGAGAAAGAAAATAAAGCGCGCAGGCCTTTTCCCTCTTCCCATCGTCCCTCGCGCGCTTTCTATTTTTTGATTGTTGCTATTTTTATTGGGATAATCAGCGGGAGCCTATGCGGAAGAGAGAGCCACACACAGCTGAAAAATGTTTCCTTTTAGATACTACATGTATTACAACAGATGTAAGCAGGCTGAACACGTGCATACCGCTTCGCTCACTCGATTACTTGCTTTCTTGATCAATGAGGGGTGTATTTTCATTTGGTTCTTGTCTCTCTTGCAATTGAGGTTGAATTAAGTTGTGAAAACGCTGCAAAAAAGGAAACAAAGTTTGATGTGGTCAGTATGGCAATGACAGTCACAGTCTACTAGAGTGGTTTACAAGACTTTTATCTAGTCTCAGTATACATGACGGGCTATGCGAATGATCGGCAGGCTTCGAACATTTTCATGTCGAACTGAAAATCACAACTACAACAAGCTCTGACAAACCTCCATTCCTGGAGTCACGACAATAATATACGATTTAATGCCTACAAATGCAAATTTCTATCTATAACGCGCAAGAAGAAGCCAGTTTACTTCAAGACTATTTTTTTTTCCGGGAAAAGTTACTGCGCGTACATGAGGAGAAGGATCTGGGTGTAGTTATTTCGGACAAACGTACCTGGGACTCACATTTACACCTGACTACAGCAAAAGCAAGCAAACTTCTAGGTCTGCCCGCTAAAGAGATCATGTGCCTTGTTAACTAAAGTGGCAGTTAGGAGTTCCTTGTATTAAGCGACTGTGACGCGCCACCATTGTTAAACTACTGAAGTCTGGTCTCCTGCTCAGAAGTCACTGAACTTAAGGTAGAGCAAGTTCAGAGACGTGCCACCAGATGGATCTTAAGTTTGAAGCCAGGCCCGATGTCATATGGGAAGAGACTGCTCGCCTTGGATATGCTGCCTCTTGCTTACGATAGAGAAATCAAGGATCTCGTTTTCCTTTACAAAGCTGTTTTCGGCTGCATTGATGTAGACGTTTCTAATTAAGTAACTTTTAACAATCATCCACGTACGCGCTGTGACCAGTCTGCTGGTTGTTATCTTACTGTTCCGGACTGTAAGACCCGCACGTTGCAAGCTTTATATTTTGTCCGTATTGTAAAACTGTGGAACAACATATGCAATGAAGCCTTCCCTAGTGGTTTTACCTCTCTTAGCTGTTTTAAATCATTTTTGAAAAATTTGTGTAAGTCTCTATTAATGAATGGCTTTGATGTGGACATGGTCTGCTCATGGTCACTTTCTCCAGAAGGTCCATGTCACTAACTGGATCATATGTACATGTTTTATTTTAATTTTCTTTTTTAATGCTATTAGTTTTCTCGGTGGTTAGCTCGAAAGCTAAGCTCCTCTGACTACCGTACACTTCTACCCAAGCCATTAATTTTCTTGTTCTTCTACTTTATTAGTGTATTCCTACCTTACTATATATAATGTAAATATTTTATAAAGTGTGAATAATAACATTGAATTGAATTGAATCTACAGTTAGATTTTTCTGTTACTTCAACAAGGTTTTGCATTGTTTGGACCTTTTTGGTATATATTTCAAATTGTTATATTCCCCTAGGGCAGGTAAGGGTTCAAGTGTCCCGTTCGTGACCTAACCTTTTGGCCTTAATGTCTTTCATGTATGTATTTTTCATTATGTTTTAATCTCGCCCAATAAAGCTGGTATTCTCGTCGCTGCTATACCTGTGTTCAACGGATCGGACCTCCACGATCTTGATTTGTGTGTTTTGCGTTTTGAAAAAAAAAAAAAGATACAGAAAGAAACGATACGTTCTCATAAAAATGATGAATTTAAAAACGAGAAACCTGTGAGAACGACAGGCAGTCTAACCGTCTTTCCCTCTTCTAATTTTAATTGCCGTTCGTTCTCACAGGTTTCTCGTTTTCAAATTCATCATTTTTATGAGAACATATCTTTTCTTTCTGTATCTTTTTTTTCAAAATCGCAGCATAAATCTTCCAATATTCTTTAGTGAGAATGCTCGGCCACCATAGTCGACGTCCCGGGGTACGCCCCATAATGGCCTATACGGGGAGGCTCCGCCCGAAAGGGGTACCTTTTTCAGGCTTCAGGTATATGAAAGGGTAGGGATTTTACTCGTTGTAGTATATGAAAGGGTGGGGAAATCTGTCATTTCGGTCTGTGAAAGGGCCGAACAGATGAATTCTTTTGCTTTATAAAGTCGAGAAAACGTTCTAGTTTTAAGATTATTCCTTTTTAAATGACAATGCATTTACAGCAGTTAAAAAAGATGGAAAGTTCTAAACGAGGAAAGTGAAAGGGGTACCATCTGTCAATAGAAGGTATACGAAACGGGTACCTTTTTCGTGAAAAAATGGTATATTAAAGGGTGAGCCCCCGTGGACCCCTCTCTCTCTCGGGGTCGACGCCCACTTGGAGAGAGGTGCCTGTTCAGTTCAGCAAAAACGAGACTGTATGTAGAACAAAATCACTACTGTCATACTCGAAAGGAAAATGATAGAGGGGAAATTAAGCTCATACGGAGCTTTTCGCCGATATGATGTACATTCCCATCTTCTGAATTTACTTGAGACCTTCTTTGAAGATACTGACAATTAATATTTACCTCTTTAATTGACCCAGTGGTGTTCATCAGTTTGTATATCATCACCGTTGGAATTAAGGAGAGTGACGACAGGGTCATCAGCCAGCCAATCGCCTGTCCCCAGGCAGGATAAACGTATTCTCGATACTTGAGTGGCTGATACGTCACGAGGTAGAAGGCGAGCACAGTCTAAGCACACAAGCAAAATAGTAAGTTAAAGGAGCAATGTCACAAAATTTATCAAAATTTCAACAGTATGACCTGCTAACAATTAAATTGAGTCAAACCTAAAAATAACTGTTCAAAATATTAAAAGAAGGAATAAATAACAGAGTAAATACAAAATATGAACCTGACTGAATTGTGTGTTTTTGAAAACTTGTTAGCCTAACAGTTGTTCAAAGTTCATTTTTGCTGTTTGTAGCGTTTGATGTAATGCCTGGGAGGTACATTTGTTGGACGAGAAGCTGTGATTTTGCCATTGAAAAGTAATTTCTTCTGTAAAGTTCAGTTTAGTAAATAGGAAGGTTAAGCAAAGGCGTTTCTGAGCGACGAAGGTCAACCGGAAGTGAGGATTTTTCCGTCTATATATGCCTTGGCGATATAAATTGGTATTTCTTTGTTTCTTTACTCTTAAAGAGACGATTTGACTGAAAATTTGGGCGAAACGACCGCTCAAGAACGTAAAAAGCCCACTTCCGGTTGACGTGCGTTGCTCAAAAAGGCCTTTGCTTGAGTTCCGTTTTAGCTTTTAAGCGCATAAGGAACTGTAAGTGGCAATAGAGACCTTTAGATTCTAAGACGAGTACGACGACGAGTACGGGATTTTCTCAGTACTAAGTAGTGCTCACACGTGAACCAACGTCATTTGGGCGGGAAATCGTGGTAGCCGTCGTCATTCTACTACGAGTTTCAGCGAGAATGTCAAAGTGGCGGAAACAATGAGATATCAAATGTTAGAAGTTTTATTATTTGCGATCGGGAGAGCGCGTAACCTCCTTCAGTAAAGAAAACAGCCAGAACGGTCCTAACTTGGTAAAATGCCGGAAGCTTTCCGGGAAGTCTATATTTTGAGAAAACGCGAAAAAACTCCAAGTGATATCTCGTACTCGTAGTCGTTCTCGTCCTTGAATGTAAAGGTCTCTAATATGAACAAAATGAACTAGACCATTGTGTAGACAACCGTGACACATCCCTTTTATTAACCTCTACCACGGTCGCTTCGGTGGAAACAGGTCAGATGTCAACTGCTGAGGTACCGGTCATTACTTATCGCCGGAAGGGGGGGGGAGGGGGGTTTCGGAGGATTTTGGGGGATCACTTGATAGGTGGTGACTGAGTCAGTGCCTGAGGCTCCGCGCCGTGGGATGCCCTTCGTGTAATGCGGCACAGGGTCAGCTCTGGACCCATGGCGCGCACGGGGGCTACGAACTGTGGGTTCTCACGCGAAACGAAACAAATGATATTAGGGGGCCTCACTTCAGTGAAGTAACATTCAAAGGAGGGATCGGCTAAATTTCATCTTGTTTAACCCCAAATCCTCCGCACTCCCCCAGGCGATAAATAATGACCGGTCCCCTACCCTCTAAGCATCAATATCCACATACAAATTCTACAGACTGATCTTCATTCATTTCCTTAAAAAATTAGTATAGAGAATTTAATGAAAGCTTAAAGCATTTTCTCTTTGGTGATCGTTTTAAGAATTCTCATTACCTTTTCTCTAGATAATGTGTGGACACTGTTAGGAGAAAGTTGATGTTGGTCACTCTTAGAACTTAAAGCGCTGAATGGCTTGCACTATATATTATGTTATGTTACACTATGTTATGTTATGTTATGCTATGTTATATTATGCTACCATCCTTTGTTCAGAACTATCCTCCACATTTACACGCTCGCTGTTTAGCCGCATTCTCGCTTCTGTGCAAGATTATGAAACTAGTTTATATGCAGACCGTAGTTATTATTGTGCAGTGGTTATGGATCCCGTTAGACTTCCCTGTTCATGATGTTTTCGTTAACCTTTTTGAATAAATGTCCACGCACAACGTTTAATAGCATTCTTATCATTTTAAACTGACTGACCAGTAGGAACGTCCCATTAACTGACCCAGGGACAATGCGCGAACATAAAAAATAAAGGGGAGCTCCCTAAATTAGGGGCAATTGCATCTGTAATTGCATCTAAATTTTCGGCAAAATAAGTTCCCCTAGGATGACCGAACATCTATAAATCTATAAATCTTATTGCGCCACTTGGAATGCATCTCTAGAGCACTAAAGTACTCTGGATAGCCTGTAGAGGGTTTTCAATATATGTAGGAGGAAACCTTCTTTGGGTGCCCCTGCTAAATGAACTGTGGCACAGCTGCTTTTATCTTTGCCGGCGTCAATAACCAGTTTCCTCAACTAACATTGCGCAGGCAAGCACTAATGAAAATCGCCGTTGTACTGACCAAACAAAATATTGGCGAGAGATACCTCCAGCACCAGCCACACCAGGGATTGATAGTAAATCCCAACATACTTGCGAAGTTGTTATAGAAACGTTTTCTACCTGTTGAGAATAGCAAAAAAAGAGATTTAGCTCATACTACCAAAAAAATGCTTAACTTCAAACAAAGGGATGTAGAAAAATTCAAAGTACAAAGGATAAGAAGCTGATTTTTACCACCTTCCTAAGTAGAACCTTCTTAGTAGTACTGATTAAAATTAATGTAGTGGAACCAAAATATAGAAGAGCGTGGTTTCTATGTAAGAGCAAAACATCTCTTAGGACCGTTGCAAATCACCTGTGTAAATAAGCGGTGATTTCTTCGAAATTTTTTGTCTTTGGTGAGTTCTCAGCTCCTTGAATTTGATCCTTAGCTTTACTTTAGTCTCTAATTTTTCCTTAATGCAATGTTAAGGAGTCAAATTAAACATATTTTCCTAAAATTTGCTGCTGATAGGCAAGCGCGAAAACAACAGGGACAACGAAACTGGGTGTTCCAGTTAGGGTTTGTTTACTTCAATATCCAGCACACTCGTCTGTTCAGAACTTCAGCCACCAAAGCGTCGTACTTTTCGTTCCGTCAACTGTAACTCCTACTTTCACCTTGAGATGAAATTACTAGTTCTTTCGGTCGCACCAAAAAACAAAGTAAACCTCATGAAGAGAAGTAATTGGGTTCTTGCGTAAATGAAAAGCATTGTCTCACGTTAATCATTTAGAAAAAAACTCTATGAAAAGTCCTAAAAAGGTAAGAAACGATCAAAGAATACAATACAAAACAAAATGTAATGTTCTGGAATTTAGGACGCTTTTCTTTACCATAGCCGGAAACGCATAACCTTCTCCCCGTGCCAGCGAGTATGCTAGCTATTATGAGTAGTTATTCACGTGGGAAGTTATCAGTTCCTTGTAAGAACAATTAAACATTTGTTTGCTTTTCTTACCATAAAACCATCCAATGGCCAAACATTCACCGAGGACCACCAACAACAGGACAGATCCGCTTCCAGAAAAAACGTCAAACAACTGAAAAAGGTACATTCCACCCTACAACAAAAACATCATGACTTTGTATTGACAGACTAACTTCCAAAAGCCAACAGTTCCGTAACCAGGTAGATAGAAGAAAGTGTTTTGGTTACACTTAAAGGACTACCAAAAGTAAACCAAGATCGAAACCAATGATTATATGGAAATCAGTCTATAGGGCTGTACACACCTGGTGCTCTAGTGCTAAGGTCCTGGGTATTCACATCATAAAAATGGGGTTCAGACCTTGGGTACACGATGTAACTTTCTACTGAATTGCAGTATTTGGCCTTGTCAGACGCAATTTTGAAACGTTGGGGTAGCAGAAGGTTATCGTATGCAAAGCAGTGTATTGCCTCAGAATTGATAGAAAACGTGTGAACACACCAATTCAGCGCCCACCCAGGCAGTGGATGATCGGTTAGTACCTGGCACCTAAGCTTGCGAGCAAGCTCTTCGGGTCACTCCGGCGGAGGGCGGGAAAAGGAAGCAGAGTTCGCAACTACGTTTCTGGAATTTGAATATCTGCATCGAAAAAGTCGATGCGAAATGCTGATTGGCGGAGATGAAATTGGCATTGACGTCATTACCCTCAACACGTGTTTATTAACATTCGCGCTCGTTTCCGCTTCGCCCTGATTGGCGAAAATCTGACAGCTCAGTCGACGGGGAGCCACAGGGGAATTGGGGGTGGAATTCAAATTCCAGAGAGCTGTAGTTGCAAGCTCTCCTTCCTTTTCCCGCCCCGCGGCCAGAGCGCCCCAGAGAGCTTGGTCGCAAGCCACTGGCACCTTGGCCAGGCATCAAGTATAAGTTAAATCTCAAACATAGTTGTCGCAATGATTGCTATAATTATCCTTGAATAATCGATCCTAGTGATCTCATGAATGTTTTCCAGCACACTAACAATATGTTATCTTGGACTCTGCGAATCCAGAAAGAGATGTCCCTGCTCTCCTTACTTATCACCTTCCTTGCAGTAGCCTGCGAACGCACACTTCTTTGTGGTTGTCGCTCCTCTCCACCCGAAACATAAGTACTGACTTTTACTTTTCGGTTTTTCTGACAGCCTGCTTTTCGGGTGTAGAGAAGCGACGACCGAAAATACGTCTGCGTTCGCAGGCTCCCCTACAGCCGTGACGAGACAAAAAAGACTGCGATGGAGACTACCTGACGGTAAACTGAAGGATGTTAAAGAACACCACGCATGGTTTGTCTGATCCGTTAGAGGGTAATTCACTGTGCTGAAGAACTCCAATAAGCTCCATCAAACACGATCGACGAGATCGAAAATGGCATAACATTGTTTTATGAGTTAAAGTTACATACCTCAGTCACCATGGACAGCCCCGCAAGAAACATCAAACAACAGGTAATGAGTGAAAAGAGTTCTTTACGGTAGCCACGACGTAGTTTATGTGCGAACCTGTCAACAATACTTGTTATCGCACTTTCAACGTCAACAAACTGGAATAAAGAACAAATGTAAATCTGAGTCCTGGGGGGTAACATGCTACCCTGCTTGCAGAGTCTCCTTAAGCCTGCGCGGCTGGCGAAATTGTTTCTGTGCGCGAGAGGTACATTACGTGTCATCCTATTCTCCGCACGCCTTTGTAGTTTCTCTGCCAAAACGTTGCTCACGCTATAAACTATCCTTAGGCAGGATAAGTCGCCTTCGTTGTAAATTAATAGAGCTACGGAAAAGGTATTGTTGAAGACAGTGCAATTCCAGCCACTTGATAAGAGTGGTTGTTGCAGCTTGGACATCACCGCGAGTACCCCCGGACGAGTAACTACCATCGATTGAACGCTTGATTTTATACGTAAGCTTGCGAGAAAAGCGCATCGAAGTGAGTTAAAATATACTTGCCACCGGAGTGTGGATAGAAAATGACTTCACTTGTTTTTCCCGTTAATTCTAATTGCGTGTTGGAACCCAAGCAGGGAAAGATGGAAACTTTGTGGTGGACGAAAGTCGAGTGCGAAAAAAAAAAGAGCCATTTCCTTTCATCATATGGGGATATCCATAATCTTGTCAACTTCTACGTCAGGTAGGTAGCTATCTTGATCGTAGTAGCACTTTAATTCAATCAACCCTAAGCCTTAGTTAAATTAGGAAATGATAATATATATTAATGGCTTTGTTTCTTTCACCTTACCGCACTGTCTAATCCAATAAGGATCAACATGAAGAAAAACACCACGGACCACAGAGGAGCTAACGGCATCTGGGCAACTGCTTCAGGATAAACAATGAAAACAAGGCCTGGACCTGGAGACGGATAAAAACACTGTATTGTAACACATACTGGGGAAGCAATTAAGTTAGGGTATTTGCGGTAACAATTTTTCTTAGTCATCGATTTTTCTTTATTTCTGCCGTCAAGGTACTCCTGACTTCTAAAAACTTTGAAGCGAATCTTTTAACAATAAATTTATAATTAAAAAAAATGCTTCGAAATAATTTTTCATTTATGGTAGCTAGCATTTTAACTTTAGTTTCTGGAAAGATTGCCTTGCTTTGCTCTCCATCAGCGCAACATTTAACACAGGCAAAGACCTTTTATCCATTTTTTGACGCTAGCTGAGCGTGCTATTGGAGACATTTAAAATCACGTATAGGAGAAATCTCAAACGTTAATTTCTGCCACTTGACCAAGTATTCTTTTTACTCAAAGTTTACTGTTCATTACATCCAAACAAAAATATAAAGTTTTGATCTGTTTATTTCTGATCTAGAGTTACGTTTACGGCAAACGACAAACGTCAGATTCAGGCTGAGAAGTTGTCAATGAAAAGCAGTCTCTTATGAAAAAGACTGGCGCGAGTATACTGATTTTCGTGTGGTTATAACGAACAGTAAACAACAAGTGAAGGAAAATTTGGTGACGTGTTAAAAAACAGAGGTGATAGACATTGTGAATCTACATATTTTTTATATGAACTTGACATTTCGTAATTTAGTCAACATATATTATCGAAAGTGACCGAGTTAGGGCAAATGAGAAAATGTGACCCTTAATCTCTCTATCATTTGTACAGCCGCCATCTCTGCAGTTCATCGGTGAAATTGCAATAATGCAACAACTGGTAGGTATATTATGAGGAAAAGCTGCAGAAACACACTCACCTGACTGAACAACGTCTTTAACATCTACTCCTTGATTTGTTGCCATGAAACCCAACACAGAGAAAGTCAAAAATCCACCCACAACACTAGTTCCGCTGTTGTAAAATGCGTGCCAAATGCAATCTCTGCAAAATTAAAATCAAGAACAATGAGGCGGCATACTTTTAGCAATAACTGTTAGGTGCTACCCCGCGAGCAGAGGCCCTTCGATCTTCCTAGATAAGTCCTCTTCCCGACTTTTCGAAAAAATAACACAACTTTGAAATAAAGTGTTGACAGGCTAAACTTGTGGGTGTGTAAGGCTGATTAGTCTAAGCATAGACAGACCACCCTCTATCGGTGTAGCAGTCATTGTCATAGGAGTCTGTGCATCGGTCTTTTATAATTTATAGAAAAACGCACTTTCAAATATGTGTTTTGGAGCAAATTGTAGCCACCGTAATGTTTATCCGTACTTCTTCGTACAAAAGATCAATGCTCTGATTTCAAATAACAATAACGGGCACACGGACAGAGAATGGGTCTCCCTGTGGTCACAGTATGACGTTAGACACTTTCAGGAGCCTATGACCTAGACTGCTGACATTGATAGGCTCCTGACATTTTTTAATCAAATACAGTACTTGTAAAAGTTGTTGTTGTATTTGTTAAAGCTTCCCAGTGTCAACAACGTGCTCATTCCAACACCGTATGAGTAAAACACTTGAGTACCCGCGTCAAGCCAAACCTGTAAGAAACGGTCAAAACGATTCGGTTAGGAATTGAAGTGTCAGCACAAATCATGAATCCTCTCTTGTCAAAACCGAAGGGACAAATAAATAGAGAACTTTAGATTCGAGGATGAGGGCAACTTGGAGGACGAGATTTCGCGCATTCTCAAAAAAAGACTTCTCGGAAAGTTTAAAATTTCCTTTTTTCATCGAGGGAGGTTGGACCATCCACTAACAAGATTACAGGGGGAAATTTTACTCTGGAGCAACAGGGGTCTTTTTTGCATGAGCATGCGCGACCGCTGACTTGTCAAAGAGCACGCGACCAGTGACAGCGACCGTGCTGCATAGTCATAGGAACCAAATTGTTCACTTTGAAAGCTTGCTTGAGATTGAAATGGTAGCAGGAACTTAGGAAAGACCTTCGTTGTACAAAATAAGTAAAGATCTGCTGATTTAAAGTGGAGACTGATGCGCTGAACGAGGTGAAAGAGCAAGTTTTTCAAGGATGTCTGACACGAACATGGCTGCTTGTTGTTGTTTGGCGCTCGACTCGTGTCTTGATTCCCCTTTAAGAACCGAAAGTTTGGCATACAATGCATGGCTGATGCGTAGCTATTGAGCAAAATGTTCTTTATTTAATGTTTGTCTATAAATCGGATGTAAATCAGTTTCTCAATGCCGTAGAGGATATCTGTCAATAATTTGTTAATAGCTGATTTAGCCATATTTCGGGAGTGGATTAATAACGATCAGCGGGCGACTACCATGCCGTTTTCAGTTGGAATAGAAAGTTTTTGCCTTAAGTATTTTAGCGATACAAAGTTTGTTTATAAGAAAATTGTAGAACTTTTTGTTTTTGCGTGGACTGACATTGTAACGCATCTTTTACAGGAAGTTGCTTTTACCCAGAACTTAAATGTTCTAATGATTTGTAACTTTTGGTCGGCATCACATGTTTACTGTACTTCTTGGGAAACCTAACCGTTTGTTTCATCAAAATCGGTCACAAGATTGGACTTTAATTTCGGTCCTATTGAATGCAGTTTTGACTGTGTCTCATTGATATTCATTTTTTTTATTGTTCGAGACATACAGAGTGACTACCACCAATATCTCACCAGGTGACTAATCTACGTCCCTTGTGCTCTTAATTTTGTAGCTTTAAAGTGCTGGGAAAATTGTAGAACATATATTAATTCACTGCTGAACTGAACATCGGCTTTGGCGCACTTGGAACCCACTCGCTGAAATTTGCTGTTTTTTTTAAATATTTCTCTTCCTTTCCCATTTCAAAACAAAGAAAACTGAAAGTGTTTACTTGCATCAACAAACGTTTCTGCACTTTGTTTAGACTTTGATGAGGTCAGCGCAATTCTCCAGGCACTACATATATGCGCGCTGTTGTCCAAGTCAAGTGGGAAGATGAAATTTGATAGTAGCTCGTGTATGTTAAAGCCGATCTACTTCACTTTTGTTAAGACCATTCGCCAAGACCAACGAGTAAAATAATCGCTATGATAGCTTTGCGACGCGCCATTTTGATGAAGGCAAACCCTGTGGTGAGCCTCCATGCACATCGCTTGTTCAGCGGTCGCGCATGCTCATGCAAAAAAGACCCCTGTTCTCAGGAGCTTTCATCATGTTTCCTGAACAACAGAAAGCTTTTCCTTAACCAATCAAAACGAACTACGGTATTAAAACAGGATGGATACCAAACTAACCATGGCGATTAAGCTATTTTATCAACTTACAGGGAAACTGTTCTGTGAAACAGATCTAAACAGATTGATGTGTTTTCGGATCCAGAGATACAACTGCTCATTTAGGCGACGTTTATACGATACCTGTCGAATTTTCGACCGGCCGAAAATCGCACGGTTAGCTTATCCGTTCATACGGAACCACGCTAACCGCACGAAAATTCGAACGCCAAGCCATTCAAAAATTTGAACAGCAAGGTGTGAAGACCGTGACCGGCTTATTTCCAGTCTTATACGGCAAAGGTTTGGTTACATGGATGCGTGGTTATTCAGCTGGAAAAGGAGGGGAAAATTGCAAACAGATATTGCGAACATGGATTTACTAGCTTTTCTTGGAAATATAACGGTTCGACAGTTCTAGGTGAAGAGCCCAAAATTATTGTATAAATATATATACTGAAGAAACATTAACTATATAAGAAAAAGGTTCTATAATTTATGTAGTCTAGTGTAAATTCACACGACTTCTATGGGAGACTAGGTAAATAGAATACGATCCGTGCGTTAATAAACATTAACGATGATGATTTATTTATTTGGAAGATAAATAATGAGAAAAGTGGACGCCGGCCAACGGCCACGTGACATCGTTTTTGGACTTGAGCATTTACCGTATTTACTCAATCAAAAGCCACGGTGTTTTTTTGAATTTTCATCGTTTCTGATACGACTTTTATTCTCTAGAACGCCGTTTATTAGTAATTTTGTTCTCATTGCTTCTATCTGCAGCGTTTAAGAAAGGGGGCCGTTTAATCGAGTAAATAGGGGAATTTTCTAAAAGATAACCTGTCCATCCAAAAGTTTCGACCAGTCAGGCGTGACATAAAACGTTATCCCCTTCAGAGCTCCCGGCAAAGTGAGGCCACGGATTAAAAGAATCAGTAGAAGACCATAAGGAGCTGTGGCAGTAAAGTAGACAATCTAACAAATGAAATGAATTAAACATAGCAGATAAATAACACACAGATAACAGCGATAAACGAATGATTTGATAATAAGTAACAAAATGAAAAATACAATAACAAAAGAAGCATCGTAAATTTATCCAAATATCTTCTCGATCAGATTTAAGCATGTAAACAGCGGTCGCTGATGGATTGCAATGCTATACCAAAGTACCATTCAAACAACATATTGGAGAGAGAGACAATATGCAAACACTACGATTTGTCGGCTCCATCAGTTTTTCTTTTTTTGCCTTGCCTTTATATACAAAGATGTTCCCGACAAATTTTAGTTTGAACAAAACTGGCTGCTCAAAACTGAGCTCATTAGCGGACTATCTGGTTTGCGTGTATACCTTTCTCTACCAATATCACCCCCCCCCCAAAAAACAACCATAATGGTCCCTTTATAACCTCCATTAGAATGAGGTTTAAGGTCCCAGTCCAAAGTGAAACCTATCATTAACCCATGGTGTGCCGCAGGGCTCAATTTTAGGTCCCCTGCTCCTTGCCCTCTACATGAATGATCTTCCAGAAGCCATCAAGTCAAGTAACATTGAATCCTATGTTGTGGATAACTCGAAAATATATCTTTCGTTCTCTCGTATTGTACCCACATATGTACTAAAGTACTATAGCAGCTCTTAATTATAGCGTAAAAAACACTTTTACAAACTTATGGCACATTGAATACCTTGCCACTGATCTTTACCCCTTTAACAATGCACACAAAACAAAGGACCCAGGAAAACAGTAGGCACAAAGCAAGGTCCCAGTTAACTGCCCCTGGCTCCCCCAAACCGTCAGAAAGTCGTAAAACCCTGTAGCTAATAAATGAGAAAGAAAATGGTTAAACTTTATTTCCATTATGTCCAGTAGCAGCCTCCTCTAGAAAATTCTTCGCTGAATATTGCTGACACTCAGGTTGTTGTTTTCTTGTATGACACTACATACATTGTGCATTGTATCAATTCAATTGTCTCTTATAAATAAAGACAGCGGCGGATCCAGGGGGGTGGATTGGGTGGCTAGCCACCCCCCTTTAAAACAGCTAGACAGAAAATATACCGAAATATACGTAAAAAACATGCGAAAATACCTAGGTCCCAAAGAAATCGAGAAAAGCACCGGTGACATTGTCTTTCCTCGACATAACCTGCTCAGGAAAAGAGGGCACTTAATACGCTCTCTGCGCTTATTCCTTAAGTCATCGCCTCTAAGTCTGAAGAAGAAAAAATTCCAAATAGAACACTTGCCAATATCCTGTCTGACTCAGAAATGACTCAGAAATGACTCAGGAACCCAGGAAAGACTTTAGGGAGTAAATAATTAAAAAAAATTGCACACAACTGAGACTTGCCAGCTGTGAAAACGCAAGGCTCGAGTACTCGGATTTTTGTTTACCTACCATTCCGCCATTCCAGAAAAATTTTTTCGAAGAATACTTTTTCAGTGGAACAGGTGGCTTTGGGGTACCTCTCTTCTTCGCAGTTTTAGGCTTCCGAAAAGCTCTGGAACAAGACGCTGTGTCCTCTTCGGTTAGTGTCATTCGCAGACTGGAAAATTTCTGAACACAGGCGAGATTTGATTTCTTACATAATAATTTCATATGTAATGTTTTATTCGCATGCTAATTTCCAACGTTAACAAAAGTGTCATTGTTATCAACTCCATTGAGACACGCTTTTCCAGGAATGTTTTTGAAGTCGTTCAATAAACTCGCGGGTCGGGTTTTATCGGGGTATCAAGCCAGCAGGCGAAGCCGAGTGGCTTTATACCCCGATAAAACCCGACCCGCGAGTTTATTAAACATTACTTAATGGCAGCATTGGGAAGACAATTTACAGAAGCAAAAAATAAAGGAAACGACAAAAAAACCTTGCTAAAATTCAACTCTCAAAATCCAAACGGTATCAAACGGGAACTGAATCAGATCCAGGGAAACTGGAGGCGGCTGAAACTCCAGTCCAAGAAAGAAGACGATTTGCAAAGTCGTGAAGCAAGAAAAAGTAGTGGAGGAAAAGCTCTTAGTGATGTTGAACAGGAAAGAAGCAAATGTCACGAAAAAGGACAGAAAAGAAGGATAGTCAGGAGTACAGTAATTTTCGAACGCCTCCCAAAACGAAACTTCCTCTTGGTATGTGTCAAGTTCTTAAGGAATGACATGGAATCTTCTTTTCGTTTGGCGATAGCCCTTGAAACCTTGTAAATGGCTCAGTGCATGCAGGGCATATAGAAACACTACCAACATGAAAATAAATCGGAAATAACCCGCTCGAAAGGTCACGTACCAGTTTTGTGTAAAACCTCAAAGCAATAAAAACTTGCACTGAGCAACGGTGTAAGCAGCAGACCTCTCCTTTTGTAAAATTTTGATAGATCTTTACCCAAAATGTTCAATTGGTTAGTGACCGGGTCTTTTCTAAGGGGAAATGACGATCGAAAATCTTTGTCATCATATTCCTCAAAAGGGTAAGATCTGTTCCTAAGCCGGTGCGGAATTTGTTGAGCATGAATTTGTATATTACAGTGGAACCTAGATATAACCAACATCTCTATAACGAAGTCGGGGGTTGTCCAATACTCCGACAAATTTATGGATGGCATTGTATTGTATTGTCTTCACATTAATGGCCTGTTTACATGGAGGTGGGGGACCCCAGGTAGGTGAGGTAACCCGCTTAGGTGGGGTAACCCGTTTGTCCATATAATCTCTCATTTCAATTTGACCACGTTTACATGATAGGGGTGGGTGACCCGCCATATTTTACCTAACCTTCCTGGGGTCCCCCACCTCCATGTAAACAGGCCCTAAGTACAGTACAAAAGCACAACAATAAAGAACGAAGCATAATAACAAAAATAACAAAAGCATAACAATAAGGAACAAAGCAAAACAATGAGAAATTGTAACAAATTTAAAGCCACGCATAAATTTGTTGGAGTATTGGACAAGTATGGCGATGTCCTCGGTGAACGATTTTCTTGACTCCATCCATAGTCTAGATATATGGAAAAGAACCTCGATATAACGAAACCTCGATATGGAGAACACATTTTGCCAGTCCCTTGGCCCCTCGTTAAATCGAGGCAACACTGTACGTCGATTGGCGTAGTCACTTTTCAGTTCTGTTTAACTTTCTATTGTTCCTTAGTCGGTGTTTAGACACGGTCACGGAACAACAGCGTGGGAATAATCGGTTTCCATGGTTTAAACGATGACTTGCTTGGGTTAGACGATGACTTGCACAAACGCTGCTCTAAACTTGGTTTAAATAACCGACCCATACGTTTTTGCCGGTGGATATCCGGAATTGAATATCTTTTGAAATTAGTTTGTTCATTCATTCATCCGAACCATCCGTAAAGGGGTAAAAAAACCGTTACTTTCCATCCAAAATATCAAGAATATAATTCCACGACACCACCTTCTCTCGCCAATATCAAGTTCAATCATTTTGATCGCAGAAGAGGGCCTGAAATTAACTGAGATTGGTGATGTAAACGAGTGAACCCAGAGGACCAGTGTTTGTGCTTTCAGTGGAACCTTTTCTTTTGCGACACCTCTATCTAAAGAAAATTCAGGACACACACAATACGTCCTGTTTTTCTGTAACATGAGAAATTATTGCTTAATTAACCCAGCCTTCGCAAAATTATTATGGGGTGGGCAACGTCCCATTCCCGATTTTTTCCTGAGGGGAGGAGGCAGTTGTACACGAGCTGATAATTTGAGGCACGATAGTATGCCTAACAATTAATGAATGAGGCTGAGCGGTATGTTACAAAGAATCATGGAGATCGAGGAGGGTGTTATCCATCGAGGCCGTAGGTCGAGGCGGGTAACACCCTCTGAGATCTTCGTAATTCTTGATATGACACGAAAGCCGAATTTAATAATTGTTTTATTATTCATTCAAAATAATTTCTAGTTTAAAAACGTAGCTAAAAAAGCTTACCTGCATCGATGATAAGTTTATCTTCGATAGTTTACGTTTAGGTTTGTCCAGCTCCGCAAATATTCCCCAAATGGCAGATGTCGCCCTCTGAGTTGTCTTCTTGCTGTTTTTGCTATGTTTCTAGCCATTATATCGCCTACTTCCAGCTGTAGTTCTTACTCTTGAAACTAGTGAAGTGTCCGCCATTTTAGTTTACAACGAAGACAACTCAACCTCATCACCAGGTCTTCTCTGTTGTTAAACGGTGTACTAACCCGTAGAAGGCTGCATTTTTGACATCATTTCCTCGTTAAACACAAAATTCTTCCAAATTTTGTCATCAGTAACTGGTTATGGTGAATTATGCGTGTGCTTTTAGCCAATCAGAATTGGGGAAATATTTTGAATGAATAATAATAAGTTTTAATTGCTACTTACTCCCAGTATTCCTGGCTTGCCGATACTCGCTTTGCTACATTTGCTGCCGTTAGATTAAAAAGAGTGGTAGCATTTGCAAATGTGTTATTCAGCGTTCCATCATTGTCACTCTTCTCAGCATAATCCACACAGTTGGGAGTGTTCCATTCATTGTTGCAGTGGGACCAAGGAAGTGGTGATTGGAACGAGGCAAACAGGTAAAACAAGACCCAGGCAAGAATCACATTGTAGTATATAGAGATCCAGAGAAGGACTGCTATACTTGCATAACCAATACCTAATAAAAGATATCAATTAGTCAAGTTAGGCCAAGTTCAACCGTCGAACCTTTCATGTACCAAACCTAATTGAATGTCTTCAATGGGCCTTTGTCACATGGCGGCCATTTTGTCCCGAGTGACTGAAATAGCTTTGGTTTACCTGCCTAGCCTCGCTCCGAAGGGTGGTAAAACAAAGCTTTTTCAGTCTCTCGGGACAACATGGCCGCCGTGTGAAAAAAGGGCCCAATGAGTACATGAAGAGATGGACGTTTGAATCAGCTAGGTCCGACTTATCTAATTTGGGTCGAACCATGATTTAAAATCGAGTGGCTCACATGGGAATTTCGACTGTGGATGGAGCAATTTCGTTCCAAACGTCGAACTTCTCACTGACAGGTGTCGAACCTAATGCAAAAATTACTATAATTAACTTTAAATAAATAAAAAAATAAACAAATAAATAAATAAATAAGTAAATAAATAAGGGACATATTCAGATCAACGGTAATGCTAGACGGGAATAAATTGTGTGGTCTTATCAAGTGAGTTTTCTCAAGTGGATTGTGTGGTCCTCTACCCGATTAACGCCCATTTTATGGCCGGTTTTATTCAGGAACCAATATGCTGGTTTTATAAAAGGACATATAGAGAGAACAAATCGGTTCCAATAAAACCCATAAAATGGGCATCAGTCGGCTCGAAGACCACCTGATGAAAAATACAGGCCCCAGTCGTTCAAAAGGTTGACAACGCTCTCCACTCGATAAATCTCTATTATTTTACTAGATAACGCAATTGGTTAGTCCTAATACTTATTATCCAGTGGATACCGCTATCCAACGATTGAACAACCGGGCTCAGATAACTTAAGTATTATAGAAAGCCGTTTCTTTAAGTCACAGAATCTATCGTTTTTTTCCAATACAAATCCTTATTTTGCGAAGGTTACCCAAAAGGGCCGACGCTCACATTTCGAAGTTGGGCTTTTAGTGTTTAGACCAGCTAGATAAGAATTAATTATCAATTATTGGCCGATATAACGGGGATATCTTTACCTTTAACGAGTGGACATATGTCCCATACTGTAATTGCTCCTTGGCTCAAAAACTGGCCCAATCCAACTTCCAATATGTTGACTGGTACTGCAGCCACAACCAGGCAAATGAAGTAGGGAATGAGAAAGCAACCTGCCAATTAAAAGCCGGGGTTAATCTTTTATTTCTGAGCTCCCGGAATCCAAGATTTTTTTAAAACCTTCGTTGAATTAGAAAAAACAAGAGGGTTTGTGTTCCAAATCAAAATATTCTATTTTATTCTATTCTATTAGATTCGGCAATGATTGTCAGGGTCACCGCAACAGCTTGACGAATTACTGCGGTCCCGTAACAGTCCCTTCCCTCGTGAGAGATAGACCACCACACCGGGGACTGCGTCCCCTACTCTTTACGAACAGTGTGTGGGTTCTTTAACGTCCCACAGATTTATATATGCAAGGGTTGTGACACGGGGCCTACGGTTTATCGTCCTTATCCGAAGGCTCAAGGAAGAAGCTGCAGGTGTGTTTCTGATGATCTTGTCACTTTTTTTGTTTCTTGCACTTCTCGGTCGTAAAATTAGGTTTACTGTATTGTTATTCCATTCAAGGCACTTAGTACGTAAATAACTCTACTTACTAATGGCAGATAAGATTTTTTAATGAACTTCTGTAGTATTAGCAGGAACTAGTGGCAGTCCGGCAGTAGCAACAGTACTGACTTTATTTAAGTGTCTGGTCTGGAGTGTTTAACTCTTGCAAACTTGTTGGTGGCTGTGCCTGGTCAAAGCCGTAAGAGGATACGTGTACTTACATACCTCCACCATTCTTGAAACACAGGTAGGGAAACCGCCATAAGTTACCAAAGCCTATGGCCCAGCCCATCAAAGCCAGAACGAAATCACACTTTGAAGACCAAACCTCTCGCTCGCGTACAACCTCGACCATTTTGAACTGACTTCAGTTCTTTCTGAAAATGCACCCAAGAAGGAACAAAGCAATAAAATATGCTGTACTGAACAAGCTTTCTCAGTCACTGGCTATTGGCTACGTTCCTTCTTTTTTTTTTGCGTTTTCATCCAAATCTATAAAAACACACAAAAAAAGGAGATTGAGTCGTATAAAGTCATCTTAACAGAACAAGCTTCGTTATTAAGGATTTATCATAAATTGCCGAAAGAAATATCTCTTTTGTGAGGAAAAACGCAAGAGATACCCTGAGCTGGCAATGAAGGTCCATCTTGCCGGCAAGTGGCTCGGGGAGCTTTCTCTTGCCCCCTTGAGGAGCCAGCCAGCAGGGAGCCAGAGATAAAAGAAAGGTTAGAATAACGATCATGGCCTGTTTAACGCTAAACGTTAATTTTCATTTCACGAACATGTTTTATCATTGCTTGTCGTTTACCGCTCAACATATGTACCGTAAATCCTCTATTAAGCTGCCCTTTCTATTAAGCCCCCCTCCACCTTATTATCCTTAAGTAATAAATGACAGACTTTATTAATCAGTCACGACTATAAAAGATCTAGGATGATTTATTCACCAACTGAAACTTCGGATTTTTTTTTAGGCTTGGCTGCATGAGCTCCAACTTCTTGTGCTTGAGCTTTTCCACTTTGTATTATAGGTCTTTATGGAGAACTGATACTATCATCTTTGCTAAATTGAATAAGCCCCCCCCCCTCCAAAAAGTCTCTATCAAGGCTCTCCCCCTCGATTAAGCCCCCGGGGGCGTAATAGACGATTTACGGTATTCATAAGTATTATTTCATTGCTTATTTCCTACGCTGAAATTTTCATGATCTGTTTGGTTATTTTAAAGCTCCTAAAAGTTGAACTCGCAAGGAAAAGAAAATTGACACTGATCTGGGACCGAAGCAGATACTAGTTAATCCTAGAAATCCCAAGTAAGGAAATTTTTTTTTCCTGAGACGATCCATGCACTGATGAGAAAAAAGGTTGCGAGAGTAGGAGAGAAAATAAGAGAAAAAAATTACCATTAACAATGGGAAAAGGCTTGATCTTTTATCAAATTCTCGCTACTGATTCTTTAAGGAAATGTATGGATACTATCAGTCTGGAGAATTTGTATATGGATATTGAGGCTTAAAGGGCTAACCACCTCCCACAATAAATGTATGTAGATTTCTGCTTCTGCTTTTTAAAAAAGGTTTCACTGTTGCTTTTTGTCAAAATTTAAATTAAAAAAGTACTTGAATTTACTCTAAACAGCCATCTGGGCATGAGCAAAACTCAGCACAGGAAGGAGCATAGCCAAGGGCATACTTACGTGTATGCCACTATGCACGAGCGTATTGAATAACGATCAAAAAAGCAAAACCAGAAACAAAAAAAACAAAACAAAACAAGGCGGAGGAAATAAACGAAGCTAAGCAATAGTGAAAAATTTGTATAACCATAAACAAAAATTATTTGTTTTTCTTACTCGGTGGTACAGTCAATGTGCCATCGGCATTCAGGACGTCCATAAGGATGTGGGTTCCAGAGATACTCACTGTTCCTAATGCAACCATTCTGTCTCCTAACTTACTGCCAAACCCACCGGCTTTGATTATGTATGATGAGGTAATCAGCCTTTGAACTCGTTAAAAGTTGAGTTGAGTGTGGCAATCTCAGGGAAAACACAGCATTATAACTGGAAAATGTTTTGAAAGCATTTCGGCACCCAAAGACCGAATGTTTCCAAATACGTCATACTGAAGTGTCTCAAATGGTTTTCTTTATGCTTTAGAAGCCTGTTTAGTTAATTTCGGGCTGACTTAAAGAACTATTTATCTGCTCGGATGTCTTAAGGGACTGTTGGTTGTTCCATTCCAAACTGTTTGCTGCCCTGATGAACATGGAGTAACCGCTCTTTCATTGGAGAATTCTAGGGAACGTTTTGTCACGCTCTGTGCTGAAATTTTCAGCAGACTTTTTTAATTATATCTTGTAACAAATTAAATGTGAATGACATATGACCTAACCTTAGTAGAAAACCTATCAATTAAGCTACGAAAATCATAGGCAAGTTAGAAGAAAAACTCCAAAAAGAAAGACATTTTTAGCATTTCTCGAGCTTAAGAGAAATTAAGTTAAGTTAAATAAGTTATTTTACAGAAAAAGAGTCATTCGGTGCCCCTGATTCTTTCAGAACCGAAAGCAAATGACCCTGTCGTATCTATAAACAGAAACGAATCGACTGGGAGCGCAGCAGAGAAGATTAACAAATTAAAAAAACCCCAAAAAAACAAAAACAAAAAAGCAATCGAAAAATGGATCATATTGGACCCTACTTAAAAGCTATACCTAAAATATTGGACAGAAACTTATCACAGCCTGTCTCGGCCAATTTGTTTTCCAATCCCAGCGCTTAATACTGCTTAAGTCTGAAGTCCAATAAGACGGAAATGTGTTTCCGCTAAACGTAGATTATTGGTTTTCCACGAAGTAAAACTCCCAAGAAAGTTTCACATCGTTCACGAGAAAAGCATGTGAGAGTTATCTGAAGGGATGTGCTTCCACGGGACTTCAGTAACGCTAGTTTGTGCTACGACAGTGTCTTTTCTCAATATGAAGTATGAATGTCAGTGAACCTTGAAACTGTATAGCTATTTGACGAATGATCATGTATATATCTTGATATGGGAAGGGGGTGGGGGGCGTAGACTCGGTCGTTTAATTCTCTGATTGTCGGTGGGTGCTCGGTAGAAACAAAGGAGGCATTTTTCTTTGGTTTATTTCTGACTCCCTGAAATGCTTCCTTAACCAAGAATTCTGTTTTCTGTCTTGCATAGGCTTCGTGAACGATACTACAAACCCTCTTTCATCATACATTCTTATGGCCTTAGCCCTCCAAGGGAAATCTTTTTTTCGAACCGTATTAAATTGTTTTGACTATGAAAAGACGTTATGCTATTAAAAGTGGGACTTTACGAAAATTTAATGCAAAATGGGGAGCCTTTACTCCGGGAAAGTAATCTTTAGTCTTTCTCTACTTTGTACAAATGTACAGAGAACAGCAATGACGTTATTTCTCTAGAGGCTGTTTTGACAATTCTACGCTTGAATCAGTCTACGTGCGTAGTTGCTGGTGTTGTGAGTATGTGGGTGTGCGAGTGTTTGCGTGAGTATGCAAGAACCACGTGCTAAGCTACTTTGGCTTCTTTGTATTATAGATCTGGATTGTTCAAGTAAGTAATGTAGTTGCAGTGTAGTCATGTATTTATTTGTAAGTAAACGAAACAGGACATACAAAATTTTCGTCAGAATAAAACTAAAGCTTTGGGGGCGGGAATCCCTCAGTTACTGAAAAAGGCGTGGAAGGGGATGGTGAGATACCTGTGAACGAGAGTCCGAAGAGCACATTACATTCTAGGCTTAGAAATAGTAATAGTCACGTACACGTGAACACTGACCAACTTCCCGATAATATTTCAACGTAACTCTGATTAAAAAAGAACAATTTCAAGAAAATCGCTATATCCATGTCTAAATTAGTCTTGCTGTCAAATAGATTCAACTTTTTGAAAAGTTTATTAGGGAGATTAAATCGAGGATTTGTGTTTCCATTTTTTGATACTGCTAGGTTATCATAAAAAAATGTTTTTGTGAAAAAAGCGAACAGGCCGCAGTTGTCCAAAAGGTGGATAACGCTGTCCACTGGATCAGAGCGCAACAGTGGTTCCCGTAATACTTATCCGCTGGATAGTGATTTATCCGGTGGATAGCGTTATCCAACGTTTAAACAACCCGGGCCAGGTTTACACAAACAAAACGCTGAACATCATAAAGCTCATAACCACTGGACCCAAACTTGACTGAGCTAATTATTCTGTTCTTGATTTTCTGACTCTCTAATAATTAGTTAAGAATGTCAAAGAATGTTAGTTTTTACCTCACAAGTTCCGTCTCCAGTTCAGCAATCTGGCGGTGGCCTTTCGTAACCCTAAGTATTAAACGTTCGTAGTGCTTCATCTAACATTTTTTTTAGAAGAAAAGTCACGCAAAACTCTCGAGAACTAACCAAATAAAGATGCCGGTTTCAAGTGGCAATAATACAAATGTTTTGGCACGTGACCCACTATTAAAAACACCGTGCCTTTCTTACCTAATCGCCAAATTTAAAATCTACAACCTTTCTTCTTTATCGCCATACAAGACCCTTGTATCTACTTTCCCATGAACCTAGCGCGCGGCATGCAGAACACATGTACGGGAGAAGGAAGCTTCACGCTCGCCACGAGTTTCTTGCAGTTGAGAAATGGGATAGTTTACGCGAGACGTGTCAGTGAAAGCAGTAACTGATTTTGTTCTTTTTGTCACTCTGAGTACCATATCTTTCATTCTTTACTTAGCTTGGATCAAGGGCTGTTTTACCATCATGTGAGTAAGTGAGACCTCTGATCTTATGTCAGTGTATTTTTCCGGTTTGGGTCTCTGCGCCCTTGGCATACCTTAAGCACACAGTTTAATTTTTGAAAACCAATTTCAGACTAGAACCCCAAGGACGGTGTACTATGTAAGGACCGTGATCAATTTCAGTCGTCTTTGTACATCCCTATGTTCGTGTACGGAGTCAATGGAGTTGGATCATCATTGTTAATATCATATTCAAATTTAGCGAATCGACGACTTGCAGTTTAGCGAAATAACCTAAATATCCTCAGATTACTCTTCCCATGTTACTCTGTTATTTTTTTTAAAATAAACCATCATTTGTCTCATCAGTGTCTCATGATAAAGTCACTTGATTGAGATGTATTTTTCCTCACGCTTCGATCTACAGGTTAAAATAATGCTTCTGGTCTTGCGATGATGTTCAATGGCTGAGTCTTCCCATCAGAATTTCGCATAGCATCGGAAACGTCTCGATTCTGTACATCTCAATTATTGTACCACGATGGTTGAACAATAGCAACCGTTCTCTTAGCCCCCCACGCGGACTTTTTTAAGGGAGCTCGTCTTTCATCCTTCCCCAGTGGAGGGATAAAAACCAGCTCCCCTAAAAATGCCTGCGTGGGAGGCTACTGTTCTTCTAGACATCGATAAATCAATTTCCTGGATTACATTCACGCGAAGCTCACGGACGAGAGACTAGAACAGATTTATAAAACCTGCCTTGGCGTGATCATGACGAGATACGCGTCACACTCGTGTGGCCTGCAGAGTGATTATATACGCACTGTAGTGCTTTTATTAAGGGAGTAAAAAACCCACACAGTTTCAAAACAAAAACAAAAGCACATAAAGTTCTGGTAAATAAAAGCACACAGTAATTAGTGGTCAAGGGTTTACTATTTCTTATAGCCTGTAGAGGAAGCTCTCCATGCTTTATTCGAATCCCAGATTAATATGCACTCCGTTTGCCTCCTAAAATTTGCAAAAGTTAATTGTTTTCAACTGTCTCGGAAGTATCCAGTACCCTCAGGAGCATTTGAAAACAACAGTTTATGCAAAATCGGGGGGCAGACAGAGTTTATGATGGGTGATTCGAAAATAGAGAATTTCTGAACTCGTGAGAGTTTTTATAAGGTCACGAATTTTGCTCGCGGATCAGGCATGATTTTCGCCTCTTATAATTTGTGCACCGTCACTAGCCTAATACAATTACGTCACCCTAGATGATTTGTGGCAACAAAATCACCAGTACTTTGTCACGATCAATAATCAAAGCATCTAGTTTCTATCGATAAGTATACACAAACGAAAACCAAGTTATCTTGAGTCATGTTAGAAATTTCTTTATACGTGCGGTTGACATTTAAAGGAGGTCAACTAACGAACCGCGCGGGCTTCACCTACAATTTAGTACATGGTCATGTTTTAATACATGTAACAAAATTTACTCTGCTATTGACTTTAAAAACATGAAGTACGTGTTAAACGTTTAGTAAATGGAAGTAGGAGTGGTAGACTTCTCTGTTTAAAAAGGAAAAAAAATTGTCTGTAGTTTTCCACCCTGAACATCTTTGGAAAAGGCCAAAAACTGTAAATGATTTTTAGACGAAAAGCTCCAGATTTGTTAAGCATATAGTTTGACTTTCTCTCCTGCTTACACAGCTCGTTTGGTTAAGGGAGGAATTTTGTAGAGCTAAGACGGGGAGTAAGTTGGACTGCCAGCCACATGATTCTATCACTTTAGTGAATCTACTTTCAGAGAGTCACGTGACATATATAAATGCATTCTAGGGTTAAAATTAGAACAAAGTACAATTTAACCGGTTAGTGTTGTGCATAACGCTTGGGAATCTATCACTGTAAAAGTGGCTGAGCTTGGAGAAATACCACTTAAGGAGTGAGAGGTGAGCAAAGTAATTTTTTACCACTCCCCGTGTAAAACAGTGCCTTTCATCTTTTCTAAAAAAGTTAATCATAAACAACAAAAAGGTATACAAGGAATTCTGTTTTTCTAACCGCCTATCGACTTCTACGTGAGATCTTTATTGTCCATTTTATGAAAAAACAACAAAAAAAAATATCGATTGTGAAAAATTTCATAGCGAAAAACTACTACATGCGAATTTGTTTACAATGCTACAAGCAGCAGCTCGCTTGAGGCTCACAGATTTAACGTTAAAGTCGTGGGCTTCGAAATTAATATAAACATTGCACATTTTGTTAATAACGAAGGATTATAGTCATATCCTGCAAATATGTATTTTTTTGTATTTTTGCTGTTCACACCTTAACAGGAACGTGATTTTACCGATAATCATTAGGTATAAAGTAAGTTCCTTAGCTCTGTCTTGTTATACTTCATGATGAAGTCCGTGTGATCAGAAGAAAGCGGTCGGAGAAATAAATCAAGTTTTCAAGCTCACTAGTGTTCATTAAAAAAAATTGTTTAACGGCGCCCGTGGATGTTAGAGATGAGATGAAATCTATCTCTCTGTCGCGTGAGTAAAAGTTCGTAGGTCATGTGAGAAAGCGTCGAATGTTTGAGGAAGTTTCACTGCATGTGGTTTTTAGTTTGTTACCGTATTTTCTCGATTTAACGCCGGGCCCCGAATAAACGCCGGGTCTTGGAGGGGAAGTTGTAGATACACCCCCCAGACGTTTATTTATGGTATAACAAACTAACGGTATAAAGGCAAGATATACGGCTGTCAAGAAAAAGGCATAAAAACTTTTCTATAGTAACAGTAAGCTCGAATAAACTTCAAATTCAAACAAACGCCGGTCCACAAGGTCAAGTTTGATTTAAACGCCGGGCGCGTTAAATTGAGAAAATACGGTAATTGTGATGTTAAGCGTTTACAATTTTTGCAATCGATCATACATTGCTATCTAGTGTCTAGACGTTATACTTTGCAATATGCAGGGGCTTGTGCCACGCCCGGGGGAACTCCCATATAAAAGTGACGGGGACGCTCGTCGTTTCGCTTTGGGCTGTAAATTGCAGATTTTGGTCTCACTTGGGATGAAAACATACTATATATTGCCCATTCAGGTATCGCTTAGTACTGTGCATGACGAAATTTCCAAAAAAATGCGCTGCCACTGACCACAGAGAAATCACCCTTAGGGGTCATTTTAAGCTGAAGCCTCACCCACATTGGTCTCCTTTAGGAGTTTAATTTGAATTTGCTGACAAGCATCCCCGTCACTTTTATATGGTAGTCGCCCCCCCGGGGTGCCACGGTGCCTAGTCCACAATCGCGGCAGGGCAATTCCCTCTTATTCTTTTTCAGTTCCCTTTTTTCCCCTTAATTTTGTCAATAACAAAATTTTCAAATCTGTTTGATTCGCAACTTCCCTTTATCTTTTGCTTACATGTAACTTGGCTGATACAAGACCAAAACTGTCGAATTTGACCTGTCCGATTAGAATCTGCTTGTATAATCGAACAGGTCAAATAGGAGAGTTGAACAGCCAAATAAAAAATCGGGCATCAAATATTGATGGCCAACGAATAAAACAAATTAAGTCACGCTAGTAAATCAAAACCAAGAAAAAACTTCAGTGAGCCATTTTTCCACCTTCAGTTTGTATATCCAAGAAATTACTCAATTTCTCTTGTACCGTCAAAATTCTCAAAAATTTTCTTCCTTTCTTTGTTTCTTTTTCATTGAAAAAGACAAAACGCTATGATACCGACCTTCTCTAATACGGAAAACGTCGGACCCGAAATCTCGGCACCTGAGAGCAAATTCGGGACGGACTCTATAGTCCATTACCGTGAGCAGGAGATGCCGACAGTTTGGTTTCAGGTAGATGAGTTAAAACAACTGTGTTAAAAGACGTGTTTTAGCCTGTTTAATAACTGAACTCTTAAACCTGTCAATGATGACTTAAAATTGACATCATCGTGACCTCTAAAAAAACAGACGAACACCTTGCTCTGTCCCTTTGGTGACCGTATTTAAAAGGTTAAACTGTCATTGCTCGGTGAGGGAGGGTAGACTGCCTGCCTGCTGGCCTCCCACGCAAAGGTTTTCCCACGCAGAAGTTCTTAGTGGTTCGTCACGCGTTCCTTCTCCACGTTGGAGAGGATTGCGTGACGAGCCAAAAGAACGTATGCGTGGTTTAGCAAGACTGTAAGCAGCCCCTCTGGATTTTCGCGTGGGTGAGCACGTTACTTTCAAGCGAACACAGTTTTGGCCGTTTGCCTTGCTCGCGCGCACGTAAGAAGCAAGCCCGTGCGAAAATACCGAGGAATTGCTTGCAGTTTACTGGGAAATTAGGATCTCTTCTAACGATACTCCTACCTCCCTGTTCTTGCTTAACAGAATATAGTGAGACCTCTATTCAGGGGACACCCTCGGGTTCAAGAGAAGTATCCCCTGAATAGAAATGTCCTCTGAATGGAGATGTCCCTGGAGGTTCCACTGTATTTGTAGCCCTAAAAGTGATGTTTCACGGAACGATTCGCAACGACCATGTTTAGCGCAACAGAGCGTTGCAATATTGGAACAATGTTGCAACCATTCGAAACAATATCGTAACAATGAAGCAGCGCTGTGTTGCGCTAAAAATCGTCGTTGCAAATCGTCTCGTGTAACATCACTTTAAGAGAAACAAAGGCTTTGTTCACACTTTTCCGAATAGCTTTTTGGCTGCGACGAAAATCATACTGGATAGGGCTTCTGTTCAAAAACAAGAACGGTCGACTGAGTGGAGTGTCACATATCGGATAGATTTTGTGCCATACTTTGGCGCAGTGTAATATTCAGCACGTCGCGGAAGTAAATAAGTAGGAGCGAGGCCTGGAACCCACTGAGAAGGGAGTAAAATTTTAGGAGTGAGGACTGGAATCTAATGCACCAACCCTCTCGGCCAACTGTGCCGGCACGATGTTCAATGTGTGTGAAAGACTTGTGTCGTCACGGACTATTGCTATTCACACCTTCATGATACCGAATAGCTTTTTGTGTCGGCACGAAACGTTACCTGGCATCGTGTGAACATTGCTTAAGTCCCTAATTACGATCATTTTGTGTTACTTTTTTCACATGCTTTGCGTAATAAAGAACAACTACAGATTTAGAATGGTTGACGTTGTGAAAGAGCGAGAGATCTGGTCATCGAAGATTGATTTCATTCTTGCATTAATGGGCTATTGCATCGGCTTGGGTAACATATGGAGATTTCCATACCTTTGTTTCAAAAATGGTGGAGGTAGGTAGGTTCTTTATTTAGCAATTGCTGCAATTAGAATGCTACATTGTTCCTTGGGTAGAAGAAACATTTTTGGCGTGCGGTGGGATGTGTCGGCCAAAGGCGGAAGCTACGAGCGGCACAGTCACGGTAAAGACTTCATATAAAATTGCAATTCTAAGGTTATGTTTCGTTAGTAAAATCCAACCTATGGTCTCTTATCAGTGCTGCGTTCTGATTGGTTGAGTCACTACTAGGCTATATGTTATAGCCCACTAGCAGCGAAAAACGCCGGCTTTGAAAACGAAACAATGGCGGCTGAATCGCGTTTTGCTAGCTAAAGTCGTTTTTTCACGATATTTATGACCAACTAGTTGGATTTTACTAACACAATTATTCCTCTCGCTCTCTTGGCCTCTGAGTCAATAGCTCCCAATCGGCCTTCGGCCTCATGCGCTATTGACTCAGGGCCCATTCGGGCTCGAGGAAAAATTGTTAAATATTCAGCTTCCACCCAAACCATGTTCACACTACACCGGATTGCTTTCACTTCTGGACTAGTCAATCTTGTTTTCTCTCATCAAACTTGTTTTTTGAGTGTGACCATCCATTTATCCATACATAGATGGTCATAACTGAGCTAGCCTTTCTACAAACGCCGCATCCCCGTCCCCGGGAGGGGGGGGGGGCGTCTGTAAACAAGGTAAACTGAGCCCTCTCTACCAAGCGCATGGCTGTTAGGCCTGGGTTAGAATCTATACCCTAGCAATGCAGTGGCGGATCCAGACGATGAGGGGAGGAGGGGGGCTGAAAAATTTTTTTTTTCGTCCTTTCGTCGGGCCTCAGTTTGGTTTAAATAAGAGAGTAAGGGGGGGGGGGGGGGGCCCGGGGGCCCCCCCTCTGGGCCCGCCCCTCCAAAGGTGCAACACGAAATGATTTTTCTTTTTAAAACCCGTTTAAACTAAAAGAAATAAGGGTTTAAAATTATTTGGTTTTTTTCTTTTTCTTTTTTTTATGTGCCTAAGGGTGACCGCACACCCTGTCTAAGGGTGGGTGTGTGTTGTGGGTGAGTGTGAGGTCAATTCGGTGTGTAGGGGGTGGGGGGGGGGATGGGGGGGGGGGGGGGGGTGGTTGATGGTTTTTTTTTTGGGCTGCTGTGTGGGGGTGTTTTTGGGTTTAGTGAGGGTGGGGGGGGGGGGGGGGGGGGGCGCCGGGGCCTCTCCTCTGGATCCGCCACTGCAAAGTGTCTACACGAAATGATGTCTCATTTTAAAACTCGATTAAACTAAAAGAACTAATGGTTTCAAATTATTAGGTAGTTTTCTCATTCCTTACTTGATCTGCCTAATGGTGACCGCACTACCAGTGACGGTATTGGAGGTTGGCTTGGGGCAGTTTACCAGTCAAGGAGCAATCACTGCCTGGAACATCTGTCCACTTTTGCAAGGTAACCGAAATCCTAATGCAGTGAATACAGTAGTCACATGACATCACACGTGGGGCAAGGGTGACGCAGTGGTGAAGACACAGTTATCTCGCGGCGAAAAATGAAGAAAAACTCATCTGCTCCACTACTCTAACTCAAGACAAAAAGATACTCTTCTTTTTTGGCCATCTTAGCTTAAGAAGAAACAAAAAGCAAACTGCTGTGAATAACAACAAAAATTTAAATGTAGAATAAGTAACTAAAAAACATATTTGGATAAAAAATACTGCGCTAAAATGTTTCTCATATTAAAAAAAAAGTTAAAAAAGACGACGTTTCAACGTTCAGCTAACCTTATTATCAAGACATATTTAATTGTAAGAGTATTTGCATATAGTGAAAGCATGCAAATTATAAAAGGTAAAGTTTTTCACTGCTGACATTTTAATTCAGCGAATGTACTAAATCCATAATCAGCAGAGTTTCCTTTATCTTGCAATGGGTTTGCTACTGTCCTCTTGCCATAATTTCGAAATGGTACCCCTTTGATGTTGTGACTTGCTGACGTGATGTGAAAAATACTGACGTAATCGCCACTACGAACAACGGGGGACGGAAAGCTCGCGTGCGAATGATCATGCGCAGTCTACCTCGATCCAGGCCCCGACTTACGTCTGGAACTGAGCCTTAATCCGTAGTCGTCCCATCTGAAATTCATTAGTTCCAAGCTATTTTTTAAATCAATTTTTACAAGATTTCCGAACTTTCATAAAAACTACACTACAAAGCCATCATGGCGTATGAGGCAATCCCTACCAAAGGTTAAACTTAATTAAGTGAGAAGGACCTTATTTTTAGTGGCGCGAAAATTTTCTTTGAACTTCCGTTAAACATAGCAAACGCTGAGAGCATTTAGTCGTTCTACCGCCGACCCAGGGATTATTTCTTATGGTAACTTCAAATGACATTTCCTTGAAATTATATAATATTTTAGGCTCATTGTATTTCAAGCTTTTATAAAATGTAATTTGAAATTCTTAATGTAAAGTAGTTTTAAAGACATAGGGACTGATACCAGCCTTTAAGCTGAATGGGCCACCTTGTTAAAATATATAGTTTACACAATAAACCCCTTTGAGGTTGCGCGGAAGACCGGCTCGAGATGGTTTTAAAGTGCATTGTGGGACTGTTTTTGGGGACGCATTTTCAACATGGCGGCAAATTCGTCCCTTAAAACAGTCCCACAATGCACTTTGACAACCACTCGAACCGGTCTCCCGCAACCTCAAAGTGGCTAATCTGATAAGTGCGTTTGCGCTGTCTTTGTTGTTTCACTAGGTATCGGCTATGCAAGTGTTCTTGTAGTGACCTGGATCATTATGTACTACCTTGTGGTTCTTGCGTGGTCGTTGTTTTACCTGTTTGCCTCGTTTCAATCGACACTTCCTTGGTCGCACTGCAATAACGAATGGAATACGCCAAACTGCGTGGATCACAATAGTGGACACAACCAAGACGGAGAGCATAACAACACATTCCAAAATGTTACCTCTCTCTTTAACTTAACGGTAGCAAATGTATCCAAGCGAGTGCCGGCAATCCAGGAATACTGGGAGTAGGTGTCTTTTTTTTTTAAAAGCTATTGGAATTGAATTTAGGAGAAGTTAAAAGGGGCGGTGCTAGCCTAAGAGCGAGCACAATGCTATGGCAAAGTAAATATCGAAGAATTACTGTTACTAAACACCCGCGTTTTCCCAAGTTAATTTAATCAGGTTCTTACATAAATAAATGGTAATTAGCTCAAATTTAGGCTATTTAGGTTCTTGATTAGGTTCTTATTTTCTGGAGGAAAAAATACAGTACATTAACTCAGTGAATGGTACACCAAGATCAACAAAAATTGTGTGAAAACGAGGCTTAATAGTCGTTGAAATAAGCAAGATATCGGGCAAAGAAAGCAGAAATATAAATATGGGCAAATTTAACCCTACTTCGCAGAGCAGGTTATCAAAACTGACCACAAACGTTATGGAGAGGCAAACAGAATACACCGATCTGAAAAACGACCTGATCGACCTGCTGTTAAGCCCATTAAATTTTTGACCAACAAGCAACATGTTGTATGTTAGATCGGGTTGAAACGAGTTAAAAACTATTTAGCCCGCTCACTCAGATTCAACATAATCCAACAACACTGGACAAAACGTTTTAGGAAATCATTGGAAGTGACATCTGTCCAGTACATTGTTCCGGACCACGCTTTGTCGTTTGAAACTGATTTCTTTTTACAATTTGCGCAAAATATTTCTGTCTTTATCAGTTACAGGGTGTTACGTCTTTCTAATGGTCTGAACGAACCAGGACCAGTGAACTGGGACCTGGCCTTGTGCCTGTTGTTGGCGTGGATTATCTGTTACCTCTGTGTCAGTAGAGGGATTAAGACAAGTGGCAAGGTTAGTAAACACTTGTTGTGTGTTAGGCCAAGTTCATACGACGAGCTTCTGCCAATTTTATTTGAGAAGAAAAGTGTGAAGTCACAAAACTTGAAAATTGCGAAATTATGGGATTGGTTAGCATATTCAGAAACAGTAAGATGGATAAAGGTCCCTCGCCAAAAATCAACCTGTTAGTGCAAATTGGTGAAGAGATATAAGCACCGGTTTGCTCGTCGGTTTGCTCCGGCTTCGATCGTAACGTTAACGACTCAGGCCTATTTTAGACGGATTCTCTGAAAAAACTCCGTCTTCGGGGAAGTCTCTTATTAGTAATTATTCAATTTCAATTTCAATCTCATTGCCACTCAAGTCAATAAATGAATTATCTGGTGCTGCCTCCTCGATGTCCGACAACGTAAGGTCAACAAATGCCCGGGTTAGTCGTCCGAGAAGCAGTTTTTGTGATGTCATCACCTCTTTTCTCTGTTGGGTTCAACAGACGCAGGGGTTTAGCGTGAGATTGGAAGAAAAACACACTGGAAGAAAAGTTAGAGCACCATGCAACAAGGGGGTCTGTACTTCCCCAGAAAATTTTAAAATTTACGCGTGTCGGAAATGCCATTTCGGAACTAAATACGAAGGAAAATGCTGTGAGGGTGCAAGGAAGGGTACATTTTTTCGTTTTGAATATTTTCCAGCTTACAATCTCATGAAATCAACATGTTATTAAAGCTGTTACCTCCCCTCTCTTTCATTGTATTGAAACCATTAAGATTAAGACTCGGAATTAAGATCTTTTTACGAACCTGCTCACTTGGCTTATTTTTCAGGTTGTCTACTTTACAGCCACTGCTCCATATATTTTAATAACGGTTCTTTTGATCCGAGCCGTTACTTTGCCAGGAGCAGGAGAAGGAATCAAGTTTTATCTCAAGCCTGATTGGTCAAGACTTAAAGATGGCCAGGTGATTTTACTCTAAGCTCATTACAACTCACTTACAAGAAGTTTTAACAATGTGAAGTTCTAAAACTGTGTCCCCCCAAAACTAAGTCGCTTACGAGAGATGGTCGTTTACAAAAGGTTCCAATTGACATAGTAATTTATCTCGGAAAATTTCGGTGTTTTTTATTTTCTCTTATGGGTGGTGGTCGCATATGAAGGTTCGATTTTATAAAATTTGTGCCTGTAGTTAATTTAAGAAAACAGAAGACAAAATTTCCATAATATTTCGTTTTACCGACAAAGTTGATAAAGTCTATTCACTAAAGCAAAAAGATTGAAAGCCTGACGTTTTGAACGCTAGCTTTTTGCCAGCGTAAATCTAAAGGTTGCCGGAGGCGACAGGTTACAATCATCTCTTTCTTAGACGGAAATCTATGGGAAAAACAGAAAATGCCAGGTGTTTGTCTTATAGAGAGTCAAGGACAGTGACTGCAGAACGTTTGGGACCAACTCTAGGTGTCTGCTTAAGGGATGTGTCCGTTATGAGAGGGTTGGCTGTAGAACCATCAACTTCATCATCATCTTTCTAACATATTAAAGGCGACATAAAAAAGCAGATCTATCAAAAATAGATTTTGGTATATTACCGAATAGCCTCCCACGCAGGCGTTTTTAGGGGAGCTCGTTTTTCATCCCTCCCCACAAACGCCTGCTCAGCCGGAAACATCATTCCTTTCCCATTGTTTAATTTGCGTGGTGAGTGACCAATAAACAGTTGTGCAATAAAGTGTTGACAGGCTAAACGCGTCTAAAACGTGACCCTAAAGTTACCGTTTTCCTTCTTTTCTTTCCTTCGTAAAGGTTATGAAGTACATGAAGTATTCTAAAATTTGATTTAATCTTGTTTTTGCCGCTCTGAATCTAACATTTATTGGAGGTTAGAAAGTTTTTCAGTGTTTCATGCAGATCGAGTAATTATCAGCCCTTTGGAATTTGGAAAGTACAATGTGATTAGCTAAGCATGGGAAAGGAATGTTGCCTTCGGTTGAGCAGGCGTTTGTTGGGAGGGATGAAAAACGATTTCCCCTAAAAACGCCTGCGTCGGAGGCTTATTACCGAAGCACCAAAATTAATAAAATATGGTTATCTATGCATCCAGGAAATTTTGGTTTTGACAAAATCATCCGTCCGTACGTACGTCCACCTTTCATGCTAGCGTAGTCGAAGGCATATACAATGAGTGTTTAAATTGCTATGGTCAATATATTAACAGCCGTCAAAAAACGACATCAGCTGACCAGTGTCACATTACTGTATCGCAGGCTAGGGTGTACAACACATTGAGATCACAAGTTTATTTTAGGTTCTCCGCTATATTATGATCGCAGGCTCAGGTCCATTTTTTTCGTGATATAGTTTGCTTGTTGTTTATGGCTAAATTTGAATAACTTAAAGACATTTCTTAAAAGATTCCACGAGAGCTTCCCTTTTGTCCATGGTTAAATCTATACTTTATCAACGCCTTTCTTTTCTCCCAGGCCGGCAACAATGACAACAACAAGCTTTATTTGCATGACCATACAAGCACGTGACCATACAAGCACGTGACCATACAAGCACCTTCAGTATTGCAAAAGCTATATTTAGCAATCAAAATTACAACACAGGGCAATTACGTTACTTTGATAATAATTTGTCACGAATATCAAAACAAGCTGAAATATATTTTATGAATTGTATATTGATAAAGTAATTAGAAGAGTTCATCAGTTCATTGATCAAACCGTTTATAGGTAACTGGGTAATATTTGGAATCAGAGTCTTGACTCTATAGTAAAATTTACTCATAATCATAGAGTATGTAGGACATTGAAAAAGAAAGTGAACTTCGTCTTCTATTCCATTGCATCCACAAAAAGGGCAATGCAGTGTGTGCAGTGTGTGCCCGGCACAGACCTAGCAACTGTAGATTCGTTAAATTCCCATTACTCAGACAAAAGTAATTTTTACTTTAAAGGTTTGGTTGGACGCTGGTACACAAGTTTTTTATTCATATTCCATTGGAATGGGCGGCTTGATTGCACTCGGAAGCTACAATAAGTACTACAACAATTTTTACAGGTACAAACAAACAAGTAAACAAACAGATGTGACTGAACAATTCAACTTTACCGGGTGATGAATTGTACCCGATAGGCTTACATTTTAGTAGTCTACGTTTCGCATGTCATATCTCCCTTCTTCCCCGCCGAGCTTTTGCTTGTTTCATGTTTTACTTGATACGTATACGGCAAGTTTAATACCATTAACTGACGTGATGCAACTAACTTTGACTCTGACGATGACTACCGCTCAGGTTGTCGAAACGTCAGTCACTGTCAACATTAAACAGTCCTACGTTCACCCGGACGATCATACTCAAACTACTTATAATCTGTCCATGTAAGGACGAAATAGGTAAAATTAGGTTCCAATTCTCGGCGGTCTTGGGAAACTCTTTTTAGACTTTGAAAAAAGTTTGTCAACACTATTTCAGTATTTCGGTGACGATAAGCGGTGGGGCCGGGAGGGGGGGGGGGAATTAGTAACTCTATTGTTTTCTACTTAAGTTTCTTGACCCACTCCGCCTGCCAGTATGACGTCACATAGTAACGGGCATGAACCTCGGGTCGCTTGCGCAAATTAGCAAGGGATTCGACAGTTATTTGGAAGAGCGAGGTCGAGGAAAAACTAAGAAGCTAGCAAGTATCGCTATATATCGCTCAGTGATCGAACGTGTGTGAGCTTTGGTGTTGCCATAATCTGCTTGTGTAAAAGGTTTTGATATTTTGTGTCCGTGATTGCATAATTTTGTTAATTTGTTTTACGGGCCGTGTTGCGGGATCGCCATCTATTTCACGGAACCGGCAAGGTCATCAAAACTTAAATTTTTTTCCCTAAAATAGGCAAGGTCTAGTCTCCAGAATAGGAGGTTCCATTCACAGATGACACATATTTATATTTCATCTATTCTAACCTAACTTCATATCATTCCTTTCCAGTGTGGGCCTCTGTTGATCTCCTAATTCTTCACCAATAACAGTAAAGCTAGTTCGATCGTTTATCTACATCGAGTCGGCCTGTTGAACCCGATGCGAAATAGCTTTGAAATACGCGCGTTAGCTAATTTTCCTCAAATGTATATTTGAATTCATGATAAATACAGCTCCAACAGCTTCAAACAGCGTCTATGGAAGAGAAAAATTTTTTTGATTTGACAAAATTAATTTTTTAAATCATGTGTGTCACTGTGGTGCAGTGGTCTATTTACACCTAACACCCACCAGCGACCCACTGGCGAAAGTTAAACTTGCCTTTTGTACATCGTCTTAATCATCAATATTATTATCCTAAAATCTCCACTGGGTTCCCCCACCCCAAAAATAATTAAACGAAACCTTTTATTGCTTTTCGGGATTTAATTACAGAATTACAGGTGTATGCCCAATACAGTATTAAAATGCGGTTAAGCAACAAGATTCAATGCTCACAGTCTCTCACAAATACGTGTCATTTAGCTTCCTCTTTCAACGCTACAGCTAAGCAAACTTTGAGATGAATGATATGGGTTCCACTAGCTCTGAAGAGCTGAAAATACGCACAATGTAAAGCATAATACATCCTTTGATGAACCTCCTATTGCTGTGTCCAAACTCTTCAATCTTGCTGTGCACTGGCCCTCAAAAGTGTGACCGGTCGGTATGATTGCCCGTAAAATTTGCTCGACGATAGAAAGGAATCTTTAAAATTCATAACACCACTGGACATTTCATTCCAAAAAAGTACTCAACTCTAGTTTTCTATGACAATAGAAACCTTAAAATCTCCAAATCCAAGAAATCGGAACAGTATTTCCGTGATAAACTAAAAGTTTTTATCCGTCTCTTCCATGAACACTTTGGTCGCCATCTTGAAAGTTACCGACGCCAGACGTGACGTCATAATGGCAGGCGGACTGTACCACAGATTTCCTTGGAGACACCTCCTCCCCTGGGTGGGGATATGCAAACACTGACATAAAAGCCCAACAATTCTCAACCTCAAAACAAACACACAAATTAAAAACAATAAAAACGGAAGAGTGTTCATAAGGAGCTGAGGTAAGCGATCAGCTGAGAATTTGTGCATTTTTGCTGAATGATTGTTTTCTTCCCCTTCAGGGACTGCATATGGAACGCACTCTGCAACAGCGGAACAAGTGTTTATGGCGGATTTCTGATTTTCTCTATTTTGGGTTTTATGGCGAAACATGAAGGTGTTGAGGTCAAGGATGTAGTTCAGGCAGGTTCGTTTGCTCACGACCTAAAAAAAATGGTTTGAGTTGCTATGGTGGAATTTAAAAACGCAAAGATATATAATATCCCCGAAAAGGAGCGAAGTCGCTTTCACCTGCGCTGTACGTTTGTTAGCGTCCAGTGCCCAGGCCCAGTTTTTTCTTGACGCACATTTATTTGATGGACGGATGCCACTAAATATGATCGATTTAACGTCAGCATTTTCCAGTTTCATTCATCCCAACTTTCCAAACAAAAGATGAACATAAAATCTGCAGAAGCCATAGAATTACGGGTTTTCAACCTATGACGTACAAGAACGCTCTTTAAAGCGTTAACTCGAGCTTCCTTGGAGATTAGATAAGAAACAAGGCGCACGAGTGCGTGAACCGGGCCTTCTTTTAGTTCATACAATGATAGAGTGCCAGGGGAAAATGTGCACTACAGCCCATATGAACTTTTATGATGAATTGATTATGAATAACTGGAAAAAAATACTAACGGCTAGCAAATCAGTCTGGAAAGACTCGAACGTTCGAAAGGGGTGTACTTGACCATGAGTGCATAACAATGTTATGCTTCAAAGATGTGTTGAAGCTAGATTTCTTTTTCTTTAAATTAGCATGAGCTTCAGTCACAATCTTTGGTAGTAAACTAATATTTTGAAGGAAAAAACTTTGAAATAACACCCTGAAGAGGAAGAGAACATAATGGTTGGAATAATTATGCTAGGATTTTAAATTTGTTTTGGTTGCTGAAGTGCTTATTGTACATGCTAAATTGCTACAAAGGAGTAAAAATCCCAGATCTTCCCATGAGTAAGGTCTGTATTCACTTTTTATCACTCTGTTACAGGCACTTCAAAGGCAAACTACCGAAATCTTCTTTTAGCTAATTCATCGTCAGAAAACTTCGAAAAGTGGTTCGGCACTTATCGTTTGATTTGGGACCAAGTTCATCTTCTCTGAAAAAAAAAGTAAATAAATAAAGGATATGTCAATATTCCATTGCCTTGGTATTGATTCAACAACAAGCACAGAGATAACCACAGAAAACCCAAACCTATACTGTGTACCTCGTTGACGATAATCCCGAAACCAATTTAAATACAGAATATTATAATCGATTTGTCAATCCTTTTAATTGCAAGTTTGAATGTACAGTAGATGAACACAGCAAAGAGAAAAATTTCTAGAATAGATAATTTTGAAATTTCTAATAATGTTGGATCGATCAAAACGGAGTTTTGCAAGATGGAAATTCGACAGTAAGCAATCGCCCATTTTTTAAAGAGCTATAAGCTTACATGTAAACTTTGACTTTCAAATTTATTTTAAATCTCATTGTTAAATTAAAATTTAGCAATGAGATTTGATCGATCAAAATCATGTCGAATTTTAGCATCAAACAACTCTACGTGCTTTACAAACCTGCCGCTTCCGTGCGAGTTCGATACAAGTTAATCCATATATGCCGAAAAAGTCAAAGAATATTTCTTTCCTTCGATATAGTTATGATTAGGATTAGGATTTTGCCTCTAAGCCAATGAATTTGCGGAAATCGATCACGCGATATTTCGCCAGTACAGGCATGCGCTTTAAAGAGCAGGGGGCGATTTGACGACGAAAGGAAAAACCCAGGCCATTTTATAACCCGTCTCTTCCTGAAAGGAAGGCCGGGTAATGAGGAGGCGTTTAATTCTACCCGAAACTGGATTTCCTCGCTAAAAGTTTTTCACGTCCTATTTTATCGACGGTCGATTGGTCTTCCGGATATTTACTTTTTATATCGTATTCGACGATTTGCTCCTGACTGGATTGAGAACACGTGTATGAAAACACGAAAAACCAAGGGCCTCGATTCGAGAGAAATAACATCATCGCCAAAGAGCAAATACGTGATGAATATGGCGTGTCATATCAATCATCGCCTAAAATACATCGCGTGCTCATCGCAAGACTTACAATGAAAGTTTATCCCACCCGACCAGTTTGCCTTTCTATCGAAGTTATCCTCATAAAATTAATTTTTTTTAACGCCCGAAGTATTCACTTTTTTCAAAGTAATCAACGCTTTCTGCATTAATCTTTCCAAAGCTTTATTAACAAAACGTGCATGGCACCCTGGAAAATGTTTATATGTTCTCAGTCACGTCGTGATTTTTATCCCCAGTTTCCACGGTCTACGCTAGGAACGCCTGGGACCATGAATCCCCTCTTAGCGCACACACATGGAAAAAAAAAAAAAAAAAGAAAGAAAGAAAGAAAGGCTTGCCCTTTTAGAGTACTTGCTGCTAAAGCAAGCTCGACTAACAGGAAACCTATGATTGGAAGGTCAGTCAAAGCTTGTTTATATAACGAAATGAGAAGTATTTTTAACTGATGAAACGCCAAAAGCAACTTATTAGAAGAGACAACTGCTCACCTAGTATAAAATAAGAAACAAATAATTCTTACCAATTTGGAGTTGCGTAAGGTTTTTCCATTTTTCGTTTGCACGTCCCAGGTAGCACGTCTCAGGTAGCACTTTCTCTCTCCTCGAACAATTTTATATTTCTCTTTATAGGACCGGGCCTTGTTTTCTTAGTTTATCCTGAAGCAGTTGCCCAGATGCCGTTGGCTCCTTTGTGGTCCGCGTTGTTTTTCTTCATGTTTCTTTTGCTTGGTCTGGACAGTGCGGTACGGTGAAAAAAACAAAGCCATTCAGACTTAAATACAACTTGTTGTCATAACTCAGTTATTTACGTCTTTTTGTTCTGGTTCCCATGTGTTGTTTCCACCACCACAAGTAAAACAGAAAACAGGATCACTGTGTCCCTGTACATGGAGAAATTAGTTAATCTTTAATAACACATACAAAAGTATAAAATGTGGAGAAACGTTCTATAATTCGTGTTGGCAGACCCAATCTTATTGCGTTAAAGTTCATATGAATTTACTCAATATCAATGTCAGTATTTATTTTTTGTTATTCTAAAGTTTGAAGTAGTTTGTTAAGTGTTGACGTTGCCTACAAAAGCCTGAACTAAATTAAAAAAGTCTCTATTTTGCTTCTGTACAGTTTGTGGTGATCGAAAGCATTATAACTGCTATTGTCGATTTATTCTCGCAACATCTGAGACGAGGATACCGCAAAGAATTGTTTACAGCTCTGATGTGTAGTCTGTGGTTCCTTTGTGGATTGTCCATGGTTACTAAGGTAAAGCTTTATTGACGGGTCTTGGGGAGAGGCCTGGGAGGTCTGCTTCTCCTTATTTGAAGGCCAAACTGAAGCCCAAAGGGTTGTGAAATGTTTTTCTAGGAAAGATCTGATTCTAGCGCTGAGGTTCTGTAAATAGCTCAGTGAGCGTGCTTTTTATAAACTAAATCCAAACCCGAAAGTTATAACATAAGTTATTTCATAACTAAAAGGGCCTGTTTAAATTAGTAACCTCTGCTTTAATCAGCTCTTTCAAAATAGTATCATCAAATACGAAAAATTCAAGTGTTGATTAGCACGTACATTCCTTGTAGAAATTCAGTTTTATCAGCTGCATCGCACACTTCAAAGAAAGTCTGGAATGCAAGACTGAAATATTCAGGAATAATTAACCATGTTACCTGCTTTTAACATTCAGTTATCGTTTTTAAATCGTTTAGAAAACGAGAAGCGTCAACTTTAATGAGGAGAAAGTGTAAAATGTAAATGTAAGATTTGCGTTTACGCGCCAGTTGTCGGTACATTGTGATAAGTCCTTGCCTTTGAATGTAAACTAGAAGTATCGATGACACAACATTAACATTATTTTTTAGGGTGGTATGTACGTGTTTCAGTTGTTTGACGCATATTGTGGTGCCGGAACAGTCCTGTTGTTAGTTGTCTTGGGTGAATGTTTGGCCATTGGATGGTTTTATGGTGAGAAACCTGCTTGGACTTCTACCTAGAGAAATTAGCTTTCTAGCTAGCATTTCCCAATGCCCAAAGCACCCTTCATTGGGTCAGCTATATACATTGTTATACTGTGTGTTGTTTCCCTGACATGCTAGTTAATTCCCATTTTGTAATATTACTCTGCAAATATGGTAGTTCACACGTGCTATTGCAAATTGACTACTACTGAATCAGTGTCGTATTGATCCAAAATTACTGCATATTGAAAGGCTACCTTGTTTTCTGCAGCTCACTTTTGGATTTCTAATGTAGAGAGGTATCAATCCAATACTGAACCGATACTAACCCAGCTAGTGTGTGAGTAGTGTGACAATGTTTCAAGGAACCTGGGTACACGAAGTGAAGGCTAACAAAGACGTCAGGAAATAGTGCATATACGTTTTTCTGCACTCCTTAGCCCACCAACTCTCCATGGCAACCCTAATTCAAATCTTGATCAAAATGTATTAGTCAAAGATCGTCCGTGGTTATATAAAAGTTGTTTTGTCTTAACTTGAGTGCAGGCAGTGAAAAATTTGTTTGAAAATCTTTTGAGGAATGTTTTCAGAATCTGCGAGTAAAAAACAACAAGCAAACACTGAAGTAAATGACAGGTTACTATTTCTTCTCTTAGAGATGCAACTATGTCGATAAAAAATACTAATCTCGTAATCATCTTGTATTGGTTTTGTGTGCGATTCCTTTTGTTTATTTTGGACAGGTCGTGACCGTTTCTATAGCAACATAGAGGCTATGTTGGGATTTCCTATCAATCCCTGGTGTGGCTGGTGCTGGAAATATCTGTCACCAACTACTGGCAAGACTATGGCAAGGCAAAGACGCATTTTATCTGTCGCCACGTCAAAAAACAATCCAATTGACCTACCTCTTTTAAATAGGTTTGTGATCCATCACGTAATGTCGATTAGAATCATTCACTCGCCAGCCTTCAAAAGAATAAAGAGCTCAACCCACGACCCCTTCAAAAAAAGTAAAAAAGGGCGTTCCTCTTAAAATGTGTCCTCTAAAGCACCAATTAGTCTCTGGAATAGTTTTCTCTAAAGGGACGGACCATTAGAAAATTTATGGGGGAGATGGAGGAATTTTTGAGCCAAATTATATTTTTTCGTTTACATTTCCCTTACATGATTTATTTGAGGCCAGAGCATGAAATTTTTTTATGGTTACTTGACCTGCATGATTTTTTCCGGTTATTTTTCCCTTGTGCGAATTTTTTTTTCGTACTTCGCCCGCCCGCCTCGCCTCCATAAGTTTCCTAATGGTCCGTCCTTAACTAACGATTTAGTGTTTTGGGGCAAATTCTTTATCCCCTGACTTATTTTTCTTTTCTTTTCTAGGCTGTATTTGTTTTCTACCTTTCTACTTATCAGCCACTCAAGTATCGAGAATATGTTTATCCTGCCTGGGGACAGGCGATTGGCTGGCTGATGACCCTGTCGTCACTATCCTTAATTCCAGCTGTTATGATATGCAAACTGATGAACGCCACTGGATCAATCAAAGAGGTAATTATCTGCTGCTGTTGTAACAATAGCAACTCAATTGGCTCAGTATGCATAATTCATCAGAGCTAAAATAGACAGACGGCTTCATGATTTAAAAATTTTTAAGCAATGGCACTGGACTATTCTTAGTCGCTTATTAAGGGTCACTAGCCTCTAACTTCTCCCTTCAGTAATACTGCTCAACCTTTATTATTATCATTATTATTATTATTATTATTATTATTATTATTCAAAAGTAGGTTGAGTTTGATCGTCCGGGTGAACGTAGTCCTGAATAGGACTGTTGTTGTTGACAGTGACTGACGTTTCGACAACCTGTGCGGTAGTCATCTTCAGAGTCAAAGACTTTGACTCTGAAGATGACTACCGCACAGGTTGTTGAAACGTCAGTCACTGTCAACAACAACAGTCCCATTCAGGACTACGTTCACCCGGACGATCAAACTCAACCTACTTTTGAAATGACTCCTGGGTTCAAACCTTTCACAGTTATTATTATTATTATCATTATTACATCCAACAGAGAATTTTTCCTGTTTTGACGGCTAATGAAAGGAAAGGAAGAAATTGTTAAATAAAATTATGTATTATAAGAAAAAAGATGTCTAGGAGCTAAATAAACATACGTTTTCGTACGAGCGCTTAGCTATAAAATGATATTTTTTTACACAGTGGTGACAGATAAAATTGTAGCAAAAAACACAACAAAACAATGGCTGCCAAAAAACACACAAATATCGAAGAAATCGGTCTATAACAGGAGCTCCGTTTGAGAGCTCCTTCATTCGTGCCGACCGCGTGGGCATCAAACAATGATATAGGATGTGAAAATATAGGAAATGATCGACAAGTGTAAAACTAGGTCTTGATTGTTCAACAAATTCACCTCATTAGTGCCAGAGGGAGAGTATTGAGTAATGTTTGGAGAATATCCATGCTGATATCAGGGTTTAAAGGGTCAAAGACCTTTTCTTAACTACCCCCTAGTGACGTACTCTTGAGAAAGCTGTTACCTGTCCTAACATTTTCCACATAACCTGTTTGCTTTCTGTACTTAAGAGTGAGAGAGGTTTTAAAACAGATAGCAAGAGATTATCCTTAGGCCTCTATTTAAAGACCTTTCTTAACTCTCATCCCATTGAGGCATTTTCTATAGAGAAAAGTGTCCACCGCCTTGCACTTTCCTCGTTACTAGCCAGTCAGATCAATCATAATTTAAGGCAGTGTGATAGAGGATTTTAAAACCAGACGTGCGTTAGGACAAGAAATTCCATTGATAAGGAGTCTAGAATACAGTACCGGGAATTCAGAATTCAAGACTGTCTTTGATGAACCGTAACTGAAAGCAAGTTGAGAAGAGGCCCTAGGTAGTTTCCGAGTAAACAAAGACATCAGTTTTATGAAAATCGTTTTGAGGTGTTCCTTATTTTTTCTATTAATAGAGCTAACCCTTAAAATGTGAGATTCAATCAAATGCTTATTACTACCAAAAGGTTTTCTGATTTTGTTAAAATATCCCTCCATAAATTCACCTACCATTTAATTTCAGCGATATCACAGTATCCTTCATTGATAACCTTAACTGTCTTTATCGCTAGTTTTTGCATCTCTTGTGTGGAGGCGTGTGTGGCCGAGCAGTTCATAACACCTCGAACTCTGGATCTGGAGGTCCGGGGCTCAAGCCTCGCCCGTCGCGATGTTTCCTTAGACAGGGCACTGTACTCAACTTTGTTTCTCTTCACCCAGGTGTATGAATGGGTACCGGTGACATACACTGTAATGCACTTGCATCCTCTCCAGGGGGGAGTCGCAATACTTCTAATCATGCGTCATGCTAAGGAAATGGGTTTAAGCTCCGGCCGTTTGGGCCTTTGGCTCTTGTGCGTCTTTACCTTACCTTACCTTTTGCAACTCAAACCGTTATAGAACGAAATTTCATTTCCTCACTGAGAGCGATAAATCAACTCATATCATCATTATTTAGTGGTTGTTGATTTTTGTTTATTACAGCGGCTACGAGAATTGACGATACCCGTTTTGTTTCATCGCCAAGAAGACAACGAGACTGCACAACTTATTCCCAAAGAAAGCAGCAAGGCCTAATAGTCGTCGAAAACAACAGTTTGAATAGAATACAGCGCGTATTCTCTGAAGAAGCAAATGAATGCTAGAATAAAAGCTAAGGCTTCTGTATCTAAAAAAAAGAGGTAAATGAACTTAATAGGAAACATTCACAGAAATTTGCTTGAAGGGGATATTTCACGACGATATTGCTGTTTTAGGTCAAATCTGTGTATAAGTCATTGCAAAAAATTGCTCCCCGGGCAGAGTTATGAATGTTTTGGTGATTTTTGCATGCATATCATTAAGCCTTGAAAAGCTTAACCCAATTTTTTCAAGTTTCGATCCATGTCCATCCATCCTACGTCGCCAAGCGACCATGTCTTTGATACGACGTCAGCAACATCTTAATCTATCTATGAGAGCCAACTGACTTTCTCAAGTCAGTTGGTAAAACCAAAAGTTTGGGAATTGCTGGGGCTAATGCCAGCTTTAAATGGAGTCACAAAGTTTTCTCTCGACGTTTTCCTCAGGATTACCTATATAACACGTCATCAAAGGACCCTACATAAGTAGTAGAAAAATTCCTTTAGTTACATAATAATCATTCCAGTGCATTAAAAGAAGGCGTTGCGAAGCATATACTTGGGCGTCGTTGAATAACTGGGTAACTGGTGCAATGGTGTTGTTTATTGTTAAGGGTTGGTTGAGATGTGTAAAGTAAAGTTGGACGTGGACCAAGCGTTGCTTCAAGGGGAGGACTCGAACTTTCCCTCAAATACGACCAAATACTAAGAAATGATATAGCCTACTTGCAAGCTCTCCTACTTGCAAGGTGTTTCTAAACACACTGGGCTTGTGAAAAAAAGGACTGTCCCAGATATGGAAACCAATGAAGCTTCCCCAGCTAGCGAAACGAGTCCAGCAGCCTTTGTGAAAACGGAAGAAGAGAATTCAAAAATCAGTGGCCGAAACTACTTGCGCTGAAGTGGGCGGGTGAGATCAACGCGCGGCCAAGCAATAGAGGCCTGGGAACTGTACAAATCAAATCCATCCAGAGTGACCTGGGGTGGCCTTTCTAGGGACCAGTACGTTTCTTGCCCAAAGTTAGCCTCCCCCTCTGGAAACATAGTTCTGAACCACTCTCAAACTGTCTTGCCCACTCTCCAGACCCACATTTACAATCTTAGAAACTCTTACAACAAAGAAACATAATTCGCCATATACCTTGTTACTTACCATTAATAAACAGCACCATCAGAGTGCCTGCCTTAACCTGTGGATCTAAATGAATTTCCACTCAGACAGACAGACCATGAACGAAATAATGTCAATAGTGCATATTACAACTTGCTTCCCAGTACGTCACGGGAGAAACTCGTGGGAAGTCACGCTTTAAGTGCTTTCTATTTTTCTCTGAAGATCAGAACTTTTTACGTAAAGAAAACGAGCTTCTGACCGCGCTAATCAAACTAGAAAGCTGGATTCTGTAGTGAAAGAAAACAAGGTATAGTAATTATCTTCGTGTTTCAGATGAGCTGAAGATGCATGTAGGGTCATCATTAGAGGCCACTGAGAACTGTGCTGATTAAGCAGTACAGACAGAAATTACTAGAAGCAAAATAATATCAGTCTCAGTTCAGTTTCAGCCGTTTAATGTCCGTTGTTTGAAGTAGGCCTTCCCCATTGACCTTCAAGCCTATAGAGGAAGCTCTCCATGCTTTATTCGAATCCCACATTAATATGCACTCTGTTTGCCTCCCAAAATTTGCAAAAGTTAATTGTTTTCAACTGTCTCGGAAGTATCCAATACCCTCAGGGGCATTTGAAGACAACAGTTTATGCAAAATCTGGGGGCAAACAGAGTTTATGATGCGTGATTCGAAAACAGAGAATTTCTGAACTCGTGAGAGTTTATACAAGGTCACGAATTTTGCTCGCGAATCAGGCATGATTTTCGCCTCTTATAATTTGTGCACCGTCACTAGCCGGTGTAAAATTATGTCACCCTAGATGATTTGTGGCAACAAGATCACCAGTACTTTGCCACGATAAATAATCACAGCATCTAGTTTCGATCGATAAATATACACAAACTCGAACCAAGTAATCTTGAATCATAGAAGAAATTTAATTAAAGGAGGTCAACTAACGAACCGCGCGGGCTTCACCTAAAATTTAGTATATCGTCATGCTTTAATACATATAACAAAATGTTCTCTGCTATTGACTTTAAAAACATGAAGTACGTGTTAAGCGTTTAGAAAATGGAAGTAGGAGTGGTAGATTTCTCTGTTTAAAAAGGAAAAAAAATTGTCTGTAGTTTTCCACCCTGAACATCTTTGCAAAAGGCCAAAACCTGTAAATGATTTTTAGACGAAAAGCTCCAGATTTTTTAAGCATATAGTTTGACTTTCTCTCCTGCTTACACAGCTCGTTTGGTTAAGGGAGGAATTTTGTAGAGCTAAGACGGGGAGTAAGTTGGACTGCCAGCCACATGATTCTATCACTCTACGGAATCTACTTTCAGAGAGACACGTGACATATATAAATGCATTCTAGGGTGAAAATAGAACAAAGTACAATTTAACCGGTTAATGTTGTGCATAACGCTTGGGAATCTACCACTGTAAAAGTGGCTGAGCTTGGAAAAATACCGCTTAAGGATTGAGAGGTAAGCAAAGTAATTTTTTACCACCCTCAGTGTAAAACAGTGCCTTTCATCTTTTCTAAAAACGTTAATCATAAACAATAAAAAGTATACAGGGAATTCTCTTTTTCTAACCGCCTATCGACCTGTAGGTGAGATCTTTATTGTCCATTTTATGAAAAAACAAAAAAAATATCGATTGTGAAAAATTTAATAACGAAAAACTACTACACGCGAATTTGTTTACAATGTTACAAGCAGTAGCTTGGTTGAGGCTTACAGATTTAACGTCAAATCCTTGGGCTCAAGAATTTATATAAACATCGTAAATTTTGTTAATAACGAAGAATTTTATAGTCATATCCTGCAAATATGTATTTTTTTGTATTTTTGCTGTTCACACCTTAACATGAACGTGATTTTACCGATAATCATTAGGTATAAAATAAGTTCCTTAGCTCTGTCTTTTTATACTTCCTGATGAAGTCTGTGTGATCAGAAGAAACCGGTCGGAGAAATAAATCAAGTTTTCAAGCTCACTAGTGTTCATTAAAAAAAATTATTGTTTAACGGCGCCCGTGGACGTTAGAGATGAGATGAAATCTACCTCTTTGTCGCATGAGTAAAAGTACGTAAGTCATGTGCGAAAGCGTCAAGTGCTTGAGGAAGTTTCACTGCGTGTGGTTTTTAGTTTTCTACCATACTTTTCGATTTAACGCCGTGCCCTGAATAAACGCCACGTCTTGGAGAGGAAGTTGTAGATACACCCCCCAGACGTTTATTTGTGGTATAATAAACTAACGGTATAAAGGCAAGATACATGGCTGTCAAGAATAAGGCATAAAAACTTTTTTTTAGTAACAGTAAATTGAATAAACTGCAAATTCAAACAAAGGCCGGTCCACAAGGCCAAGCTTGAATTAAACGCCGGGGCCGTTAAATTGAGAAAATACGGTAATTGTGATGTTAAACGTTTACAATTTTCGGAATCGATTATACATTGCTAGCTAGTGTCTAGACGTTATACTTCGCAATATGCAGGGGCTTGTGTCCCCCCCACCGGGGGACTCCCATATAAAAGTGACGGGGATGCTCGTCGTTTCGCTTTGGGGCCGGTAAATTGCTAGCCTGCGAACAGCAGACGCATTTCCGGTCGTCGCTTCTCTCCCTCCGAAAAATAGCGTCTGCGAACCCGAGCGACAAAACGATTTTCCGTGACGTAAAACATTTTTAGCCAATCGCGGCTTAGCTCTTAAAATCAAGGAACTAACTCGCGAGACTTCTCGCAGGATCGTGCGCGATGGATATGTTTTCAAGTCGAAATTGAAAGGACGACGTGGCTTCTGTATAGCCGTCCTTTTTTCTCAGAACGACGCGTTTACGAAAGTCAATTTGCCAGGATTGTGGGACTGATTGACGAAATAAGTATCAAGAGGATTCATATCGAAGAAAAGATTAGAGGACATTTTTCATCTATTTGCCTACGGAGTCAATGATTTATCAGACGTAGTTGTTTTGATCATATTCGAAACGATAACTGTCCTAATGACAGTAGACGCATCATGCCGTTTGTTGCTTCTGTTCCTTTCTGGTTCCTGGCAGGAAAGTATGCCTTGGAGAACTCTTCGATAGTTTGTCGTGTGCCGTTTTAGATATTTTTTAGTAGATATCCTTTATCTTTGAAAGGTAGGACATGTGGTAATTGATTTCCCATGCGTGGTTGCTTCTTGGTTCAGATAGAACTTTGATCAGATCGAAAGCATTTTATATTTGCTCCGGTATATTTCTTTAAATACATGTTCTTTTCAAGGTTCTCATTTCCATAGTTTTTTGTGAGATGAGTAGAAGCGTCGTAGCTGAAATGTCATTTTGACTATGATCTATTTACTGCTGTAACTATTTATTTCACGCTGGGTCTGGCCCAGGTTTATAATATTTCAGATCATTGTGTTGTGGCGATACTAGAATTATTAACGAGCGATTGTTAGAGATTTCTGAATCAGTCAAGGATGTGTCTGTGTAATTGATTCACCACCTTTTGTCAGCGCTGGTTAAATTGAAATAAATAAGTCTGAGCGCGATGTCATTAAGCTATGTTGCTTTCCTTTCGCTGTAGCGATTATTTTGTCCAGGTTTTGTTTATGTCACGTACTACCGTATTTTATAAAGCGAAACCAAAGGCCCACATCACATACATAGCTTAAGAAGCAGTTGCTTCATAAAGAAGTCAGCATTCAACGTCGCAGGAAACCTTGTTATGGTCGTGAAATTCACGTTCCAAAGCGTATTTGGTAATTCTCTCCAAAATCCAAGACACTTCAGCGCGCGAGGTCGCGAGGAGTCACTCGAGCTGTATTCTATCCTTTGATCTGATTGGCCTACATCAAAACAAAAGGTTTTACGTCACGGAAATCGTTTTGCCGCTCGGGTTCGCAGACGATATTTTTCGGAGGGAGAGAAGCGACGACCGGAAATGCGTCTGCTGTTCGCAGGCTAGTAAATTGCAGATTTTGGTCTCACTTAAGGTGTTTGGGATGGAAAGATACTATATTTGCCCATTCAAGTATCGCTTAGTACTGTGTATAACGAAATTTACAAAAAATGCCCTGCCACTGACCACAGAGAAATCTCCCTTAGGGGTCATTTTAAGCTTGAGCAACATCCACATTTGTCTCCTTTAGGAGTTTCATTGTTAAAAATTTTCTGACAAGCAACCCTGTCTCTTTTATATGGTAGTCGCCCCCCACCCCGGGGTTCCACGGTGCCTAGTCCACACTCGCGGCAGGGCAATTCCCTCTTATTCTTTTTCAGTTCTATTTTTTTGCTCTTAATTTTGTCAATAACAAAATTTTCGAATCTGTTTGGTTCTCAACTGACCTTTATCTTTTGCTTAACTTGGCTGATGCAAGACCAGAACTGTCGAATTTGACGTGTCCGATTAGAATCTGCTTGTATAATTGAACAGGTCCGAATCGGACAGTTGAACAGCCAAATAAAAAATCGGGCATCAATTGTTGATGGCCAATGAAGTTTAACAAATTAAACCAAACTAGCAAACCACAACGATATTGCAGCCTTTGAAAAACACGAATAGTTTTTATGACCCTTTCTTTCTTATAAGTCGATAAATTTGTGAAAGCTGTAATAATTTTGTGGCTAAAAAGGTTTGTTAAAAATAGGCTCTATTGACAATTTCTACCGTTCAAAATTATACGGATAAAAAAATGCAAATTTTTACAATGCGCTATAACTTAAAATTCCGAAAAATGACTTTCTACTGCTTAACTAGGCCCCAATCTATCAGAAAATCGAAACAAATCTCTGGGCAAACGATTTTAAGTAGCCCGCAAGACGTTAAGTTCAACCCTAATTTTGCAAAAAAAACACGACATTGTAGTGGTTAAAAATAGCGTGACACAGCCCGTCACGCCAGTGTTGCCTATAGATATGCTTTAAACAATTTACTTAAAGGCAGATTAAACGCCAATTCGAAATTAAATCGTTCAGTAAACCTATGATTCTCATTGATTGCAGCATTTTCTTCAGATACAACATATAGGGTCCCTGGGATAGCGTCACACACTTTCATGTTCAGTTTCAGACTGGCGATTTCCCTCAAAAAATGGTATATAAACAGAACAAAATCTAAAAACTAAAACTGATTACTGAATGAATTTTTGCATTGAGAGATATTTACGAATTAAATCATCGCCAATCAATGCCATTTGGTTTATAAAAACTAATTTCCTTGAAGCAATTTTAAAGAATAAAAATATTTTAGACTAAGTATTGGTGCAATAGTTCTTTTTGAAGTTTTTACCCGTGCGGGCTCTCGAAACTGAAAAAAAAAAAGCTAGGTGGATGTCAAGGAGGAGCCTATATACTTGTATGACAACGTGTATGAATCATGAAGCTACTGCATGACTATATAAATGACCCATTAAAACAAACTGAGAGGACACTTTGGTGCTTTGCCAGGCTTACCATTAACTCAGTTTCGGGTTGTTTTCGACGTTTCAGTGGAAAATTCCTGAAACAAACGGAACGTCTGAGAAGGCATTCGCCTATTTTCCTGGTCTTCCTGGTTGGAAACTTTCAGGCGGAAGTTCGGGTTTCATGTCTTCAAACCTTATTTGAATATCAGTTTCAGGCTTTCGCGGCCGTTTTTCATTAAACGAAACTGACTTATATTAGGCAAATGGTAAACGCGATTACCGAACGGAATCAAAATTAATCAGTCCTGAATTCTCCTCACCATTTGCCAAAACCGTGGAGCGACCGGTTTACCCATGTAAATAGTAGAAAAGTCTTGTGTCCAAAAGCCTGCGATACAGCTTCCTCTCATCGCTATCTGCCGCTAGGAACATTTCAGAGTGAGTGAGACTGGGGAGAGGATCGAAAAATACGTCTAAAAAATACGGTAGAAACTGACAAAGAAAAAATAAAAGAAAGAAAACAAGAAAGAAGGAAAAAAAAATTCGAAGTCTAAAAGCAGTTGAAAAGTTAGTACTACCAAATCCTTTCCTGCTGATCAATAACAAAGCGCCAAAAGTGCTCGACGCTCAAGTTGAATGCCGTATTTATTCGAATAAGCGCCCAACCTCAAATTAGCGCCCACCTCGAATAAGCGCCCCTCCTAAAGGCAGAACAGCTAATAAGCGCCCAGCCTCGAATAAGCGCCCACCACCGACCCACTCCCTCCTACACAAACTTAAATAAGAGATAATAAGAGACCCTCCCGGAAGACGGAATTTTCTTCAGAGCATTTTACAGAAACCTTGCTTTGTTACATCTCCGCTATTTGTTATTACCATTTATTGTTTTGTTGCAAAATAAACATACTACACTTGCTGAGAATGGCGAAATTTAATAAGCGCCCAGCCTCGAATAAGCACCCACCTCGAATAAGCGCCCACTCTCAAGGTCCAAAAATTTAATAAGCGCCCAGGGCGGCTAATCGAATAAATACGTTATATACCATAAAAATTTGTAAATAAAGGACGTAGGTAACCTGTAACAGGCCTTCAGATAGTTGGAAAAACGCAAAGAAAAGTGGGCTAGAAAAAAGGGCGAAGGGGCGGGGTTAGGGATTGAGGGCGAAAGGTCCTCCTACTCTTTCCCTCTTACTCTTTTCCACGTTTGTTTTCCTCCGTTCCCCATTTCTCGCCACTGTCCTCTATCCACTATCCACTGTCCACTACGCCTGGAATGGGCTAGTTCATAGTGGGCCAGAGAGTTTTTTTCCAATGGCGATGCAAGGGATCTATAGACGTCCATTTAGGAGCATTTGCCATTTTTAAAAGCTCATGATCACGCTGCAACTATTCCTGCTTTCGCATTAATAAAACGCCACTTTTTTTCTCTATTTTCTGTTTTGCTGTAGAGGAAAGTTTTTGGTGATTTGTTTTTGATGATGGCGTTTCATCGTCCATCGAAACGAGTTAAGACGTTTTCTGAAACGTTCGTTACAATGTACCTTTATAAGCGTGATAGTAATACATCCAAACGTACATTTATACTTATACATAATTACTTGAAAGAGAAAACTCGCAAGAAAAAACATTGTTCGAATTAGTTAATATTGGTTATCCCCGTCTTAAATTTAACGTATTTATGCCTTTTGACGGATGCTTAAATTAATGAAGCACACCACTGTACTTGTTCAAAGTTTGTTTTCGTTGGGTTCGGTCGTCGACGTGTTGCCGACGTCGCTCAAAAAAGTCGACTTTTGGGCAATTCTACACTATATATTGTATCCAAACAAAATGACTCTTCTAAATAAGATCAGGTTATTGAAAGATGTAATATAGATTTTATGCTGGAATTCGGCATGTGATCAGTGTTGAATAGAATGTTGAAAGTGAATCTGTCGTCAACACCGCTGGCGTGACGGGCCGTGTCACGCTATTTTTAAACACTGGAATGTTGCGATTTTTCGCAAAATTAGGGTTGAACTGGGCGTCTTGCGGGCTACCTAAAATCGTTTGCCCAGAGATTTGTTTCGATTTTCTGATACACTGGGACCTACCGGTGAAATTGTCAATAGGACCTATTTCTAACAATACCTTTTTGGCCACAAACTTATTACAGCTTTCACAAATTTATCGTCTTATGAGAAAGAAAGGGTCATAAAACTATTCGTGTTCTTCAAAGGCTGCCAAATCTTTGTAGTTTGACGTACGAGTCAATGAAATTTGTGTAAAATTTCGTTTTACCGGAAGTGTATTTTGAGCTTCGAACGAGCAAAATGAGTTTTCTCGAATTTTAACAAAAGAATACGTTATTTGGGAAAACTAACTACAGCATGTTTCATTACTCATCAAGGGTTATCGATGAGCCAAAAATGAGCGAAATTCGAATTTTGAACTTGTGCCTCAAAAAGACGATTTTTGGTCGATATTTACAGACAGTCGGTCTTAAACCTGTCAGTGATGTGACCTCTAAAAAACAGACGAACACCTTGCTCTGTCCCTTTGGTGACCGTATTTGAAAGGTTAAACTGCCATTGCTCGTTGAGGGAGGGCAGACTGCTTGACTGCTAGCGTCTCACGCAAAGGTTCTCCCACGCAGAAGTTCTTAGGGGTTCGTTGGAGGGGATTGCGTGACGAGCCAAAAGAACGTATGCATGGGCTAGCAAGACTGTAAGCAGTCCCTCTGGATTTTCGCGTAGGCGAGCGAACAACGTTTTGCGCTTTTGCCTCGCTCGCGCGCACGTAAGAAGCTCGCCCGTGCGACAATCCCGAGGAATTGCTTGCAGTCTACTGGGAAGTTAGGATCTCTTCTAACGGTACTCTTACCTCCCCGTTCTTGCTTAACAGAATATAGTGAAACCTCTATTCAGGGGACACCCTCGGGTTCAAGGAAAGTATCCCCTGAATAGAAGTGTCCCCTAAGTGGAGATGTCACTTGAAAAGAGATGTCCAATAGGAGATGTTCCCCTGTATTTTTAGCGCAACAGAGCGTTATAATATTGTAACAATGTTGCAACCATTCGAAACAATATCGCAATAATGAAGCAGCGCTGTGTTGCGCTTTGTGGCGCTAAAAATCGTCGTCGTTTGGTGTAACATCACCTTAAAAGAAACAAAGGCTTTGTTCACACTATTCCGGATTACTTTTTCGCTGCGACGAAAATCATACTGGATAGGGCTTCTGTTCAAAAACAAGAACGGTCGAAAGTGGAGTGTCACATATCGGCCAACCGTGCCGACACGATTTTCAATGTGTGTGAACGACTTGTGTCGTCCCGGGCTATTGCTATATTCACACTATACCGAATTGCTGGTTTTCAGTGTCACGACATTCCAAATAGATCATGAAATTAAAATCAAAACCGTTCAATAGATAAAGTCCGGAATCTGAGGTAAATATACCAAGTTCCTTGCCAAGATTCAGGTCAGAGGAATATTCCGTATACGAGATATCCGAAGAAAGGTTTTACCCAGATTTATAGAGATTTGTATGGGGACGTCATGCTGGTGCCCACCTGGATGGGCACCAACATGGCGGACGGAAACCAACAAAAACATCTGTTACCGAGTTTTGGTACAAAAACGTGAATTTAATCGTTGAGGAACTCATAAACATTAAAGTAATACTTTTTCTAATCCATGAAATGTTTAGATAGCAAAATTCTCCTGAATACATCACTTCTTTAACCTACATGACAGCTCTCCTGGCCTTCGCGTAAATGCCACGTCACGCAAAAGCTTAGAAATTCAAGCGTACTCTATCACAAAACCAAGTACCCTTTTGAAGCGAAAATTTGTATGAAAATTAGTTTTCAGCTGCTCTAATACATCATGAAAGTAAAATCTCAGTAGGATCGATAATTCTGTGTTTTGAATTTTAGTGACGTCATGTGAAAACCAACAATAGCTTTGTGTGTCGGCACGAAAGGTTACCCTGCATCGTGTGAACATTGCTTAAGTGCCTAATTACGATCATTTTGTGTTACTTTTTTCACATAATCTGCGTAATAAAGAACAACTACAGATTTAGAATGGTTGACGTTGTGAAAGAGCGAGAGATCTGGTCATCGAAGATTGATTTCCTTCTTGCATTAATGGGCTTTTGCATCGGCTTGGGTAACATATGGAGATTTCCATACCTTTGCTTCAAAAATGGTGGAGGTAGGTAGGTTCTTTATTTAGCAATTACTGCAATTAGAATGCCATATTGTTCCCTGGGTAGAAGAAGCATTTTAGGCGTGCGGTGGGTTGTGTCGGCTAAAGGCGGTAGCTACGAGCGGCACAGTCATGGTAAAGACTTCATATAAAATTGCAATTCTAAGGCTATGTTTCATTATTCAGCTTCCACCCCAGACCATGTTCACGCTATACCGGATTGCTTTCACTTCTGGACTAGTCAATCTTGTTTTCTTTCATCAAACTTGTTTTTTGAGTGTGAGCATCCATTTATACATACATAGATGATCATAACTGAGCTAGCCTGTGTGCAAACGCCGCCTCCCCTACAAAAAATCGATTTTTTCTAAGGGGAGGGGGACGTCTGTAAACAGGCTAAACTGAGCCCTCTCTACCAAGCACATGGCTCTTAGGCCTGGGTTAGAATCTATACCCTAGCAATGCAGTGGCAGGTCCAGACCTTTAGATAAAGGGGGGGGGGGGGGGGGGGGGGGGGGGGGGGGTGGTCTCAAAAAATTTTGTTTTCGTCCCTTCGGGCCTCAGTTTGGTCTAAAGATAAGGGGGGGCGCCCCCCCGGGCCTCGCCCCTGGATCCGCCACTGCAATGTGTCATACACGAAATGAGGTCTCATTTTAAAACTCGATTAAACTAAAAGAACTAATTCTGAAATGGTTTCAAATTATTAGGTAGTTTTCTCATTCCTTACTTGATCTGCCTTATCGTAACTGCACTACCAGTGACGGTATTGGAGGTTGGCTTGGGGCAGTTTACGAGTCAAGGAGCAATCACTGCTTGGAACATCTGTCCACTTTTGCAAGGTAACCGAAATCCTAATGCAGTGAATACAGTAGTCACATGACATCACACTTGGGGCAAGGGTGACGCAGTGGTGAAAGCACAGTTATCTCGCGGCGAAAAATGAAGAAAAACTCATCTGCTCCACTACTCTAACTCAAGACAAGAAGACAAGAAGATTTTGGCCATCTCAGCTTAAGAAGACACTAAAAGCAAACTGCTGTGAATAAAAACAATTGGATAAAAAATACTGTGCTAAAATGTTTCTCATATTAAAAAAGTTAAAAACGACGACCTTTCAACGTTCAGCTAACGTTATTATCAAGTCATATTTAATTGTAGGAAAATTTGCATATAATTAAAGCATGCAAACTATAAAAGGTGAAGTTTTTCACTGCCGACATTTTAATTCAGAGAATGTTCCAAATCCATAATCAGCAGAGTTTCCTTTAGCCTGCGAAAACATCAGTGTCTCCTCGCTCTTCGCCCCTGGGGACGTTTCGCGCGGAGGAACGTCTGCGACTCAGTGACAGAAATTCCATACTGATGAAGTAAAATATGTCCAGAATCCGGTCAGAAGCCCTGATTGGTCGACGGAGCAGTTACATTGTTTTAGCTATCGTTTACGAATGACAGACAAAAGACAAAAGGCCACAAAGGTCAAATGTAAAGGCGATGAATCTCTAACAAAACGGTCAATATTTGTGGAATATAGTCTTCTCTAGAACAAGCATTTGAGTTTTGCTGGAGCTTGTTCGCAGATGAACACAACACTTTACCAAAATCGATCAGAAGAAACCTAACATTGACTAAATTTACATTTGGAACCCCATGACTACCGGATTTATTAAGTAAACATTGATTTGCGTCATCAGTATGGAATTTCTGTCGCTAAGTCGCAGACGTTCCTCCGCGCGAAACGTCCCCTGCTGCGAAGAGCGAGGAGAAACGGATGTTTTCGCAGGCTAAGTCTCCTTTATCTTGCAATGCGTGTCCTACTGTCCTCTTGTCAAAATTTCGAAATGGTCCCTTCGATGTTGTGACCTGTTGACGTGATATGATCGGCAACAGCAGATGAGTGATATTTTTTAAATCAATTTTTACAAGATTTCCGAACTTTCATAAAAACTACACTACAAAGCAGCGTATGAGGCAATCCCTACCAAAGGTTAAACTTAATTATGTGAGAAGGACCTTTCTGTTTACTGGCGCGAACATTTTCATTGAACTCCCGTTAAACATAGCAAACGCTGAGAGCATTTAGACTTTCTACCGCCGAGCAAGACATTATTTCTTATGATAACTTTAAATGAAATTTCCTTGAAATTGTATAATATTTTAGCCTCATTGTATTTCCAGGCTTTTATAAAATGTAATTTGAAATTTTTAATGTAAAGTAATTTTAAAGACACAGGGACTGATACCGGTCTTTAAGTCTGAATGGGCCACCTTGTTGAAATATAGTTTACGCAATTAGCCACTTTGAGGCTGCGCGAGAGACCGGCTCGAGATGGTTTCAAAGTGCATTGTGGGACTGTTTTGGGGGACGCATTTTCAACATGGCGGCAAATTCTTCCCTTAAAACAGTCCCACAATGCACTTTGACAACCACTCGAGCCGGTCTCCCGCAACCTCAAAGTGGCTAATCTGATAAGTGCGTTTGCGCTGTCTTTGTTGTTTCACTAGGTATCGGCTATGCAAGTATTCTTGTAGTGACCTGGCTCCTTATGTACTACCTTGTGGTTCTTGCGTGGTCGTTGTTTTACCTGTTTGCCTCGTTTCAATCGACACTTCCTTGGTCGCACTGCAATAACGAATGGAATACGCCAAACTGCGTGGATCACAACAGTGGACACAACCAAGACGGAGAGCATAATAACACATTCCAGAATGTTACCTCTCTCTTTAACTTAACGGTAGCAAATGTATCCAAGCGAGTGCCGGCAATCCAGGAATACTGGGAGTAGGTGTCTGTTTTTTTAAAAGCTATTGGAATTGAATTTAGGAGAAGATAAAAGGGGTGATGCCAGCCTAAGAGCGAGCACAATGCCATGGCAAAGTAAATATCGAAGAATTACTGTTACTAAACATCTGCATTTACAATTTGCACAAAATATTTCTGTCTTTATCAGTTACAGGGTGTTACGTCTTTCTAATGGTCTGAACGAACCAGGACCAGTGAACTGGGACCTGGCCTTGTGCCTGTTTTTGGCGTGGATTATCTGTTACCTCTGTGTCAGTAGAGGGATTAAGACAAGTGGCAAGGTTAGTAAACACTTGTTTTGTGTTAGGCCTAGTTCATACGACGTGCTTCTGCCAATTTTATTTAAAGGAAAAGTGTGACGTCACAAAACTTCAAATTTGCGAAATTATGGGATTGGTCGCATATTCAGAGACAACAAGATGGATAAAGCTCCCTTGCCAAAAATCAGCCTGTTAGTAATTGTTGTGGAGAAGCAGTTTTTTTAGTGATGACCTCTTAAAAGAGGTCATCACTACTCTTCTCTGTTGGGTTTAACAGACGAAGGGGTGTAGCGTGAGATTTTGAAGGTGTACGCATTGGAAGAAAAGTTAGAGCACCAACAAGGGGGTCTGTACTCCCCCAAAAAATGTTAAAATTTGCGGTCTCGGAAACGCCATTTCGGAACTAAATACGAAGGAAAATGCTGTGAGGGGGCAAGGAAGAGTACATTTTTTCGTTTTGAATATTTTCCAGCTTACAATCTCATTAAATCAACATGTTATTAAAGCTGTTACCTCCCCTCTCTTTCATTGTATTGAAACCATTAAGATTAAGACTCGGAATTAAGATCTTTTTACGAACCTGCTCACTTGGCTTATTTTTCAGGTTGTCTACTTTACAGCCACTGCTCCATATATTTTAATAACGGTTCTTTTGATCCGAGCCGTTACTTTGCCAGGAGCAGGAGAAGGAATCAAGTTTTATCTCAAGCCTGATTGGTCAAGACTTAAAGATGGCCAGGTGATTTTATTCTAAGTTCATTACAACTTGCTTACAAGAGGTTTTAACAGTGTGAACTGTTAAAACTGTGTCCCCCCAAAACTAAGTCGCTTACGAGAGATGGTCGTTTACAAGAGGTTTCAACTGACATAGTAATTTGCCTTGGAAAATTTCGGTGTTTTTAATTTTCTCTTACGGGTGGTGGTCGCATAGTAAGGTTCGATTTTATAACATTTGTGCCTGTAGATATTTTAAGAAAACAGAAGACAAAATTTCCATATTATTTCGTTTTATCGACAAAGTTGATAAAGTCTATTCACTAAAGTAAAAGATTTAAAGCCTGACGTTTTGAACGTTAGCTTTTTGCCAGCGTAAATCTAAAGGTTGCCGGAGACAAAGGTTACAATCATCTCTTTCAGGGAAATCTATGGGAATAAAAGAAAATGCCAAGGTGTTTGTCTTATAGAGAGTCAAGGACAGTGACTGCAGAACGTTTGGAACCAACTCTAGGTGTCTGCTTAAGGGATGCGTCCGTTATTAGAGGGTTGGCTGTAGAACCACCACTTCATCATCATCTGTCTAACATATTCACGGCGAAATAAAAAACGCACATGTATCAAAAATAGACTTTGGTATATTAGACAGCACCAAAATTAATCATTTATGATATTTGGTCATCTATGCATCCAAGAAATTTGGGTTGTGACAAAATCATTCGCGCGGCCGTCCGTCTTTACGCACGTCCTCCTTTCATGCTAGCGGAGTCCAAGGCATATACAATGTGTGTTTAACTTGTTATGGTCAGCATGTCATGGTCAATTGACAGCTGTGAAAAAACGGTATCTGTATATCTGCTTACCAGTGTCACATGACTGTGTCGCAGACTCGGGTGTACAACACATAGAGGTTACGTGTTTATTTTAAGTTCTCTGCTAACCAGTTATTAATTTTCAATTGATCGCAGGCTCAGGTCCATTTTTTGTTCTTGATGAATTAGTTTGCTTTTTGCTTATGGTTAAAGTTGAAAAATACAAAAACATTTCTTAAAAGATCTCATGAGAGCTTCGCTTCTGGCCTTGGCTAAATCTATATGTTATCAACGCCTTTCTTTTCTCCCGGCAATATGTGCCCGGCACAGACCTAGCAATTGTAGATTTGTTAAGCTCTCCCATTACTCAGATAAAAGTCATTTTTGCTTTAAAGGTCTGGTTGGACGCTGGTACACAAGTTTTTTATTCATATGCCATTGGATTGGGCGGCTTGATTGCACTCGGAAGCTATAACAAGTACCACAACAATTTTTACAGGTACAAACAAACAAGCAAACAAACAAATGTGACTCAAACAATTCACCTTTACCAGGTGCTGAAATATGCCCGATTGGGTTACATTTTAGTAGTCCACGTTTCGCATGCCATATCCCCCTGCTTTCCCCCGAGCTTATGCTTGTTTCATGTTTGACTTGCCACGTATACGGCAAGATATCATTAACTGACGTGATGCAACTCACTTTGACTCTGAAGATGACTACCGCAGAGGTTGTCCAAACGTCAGTCACTGTCAACATTTAACAGTCCTATTCAATACTACGTTTACCCGGACGATCATACTCAACCTTCTTATAATCTGTCCAATGTAAGGAGGAAATAGCTAAAATTAGGTTCCAATTGTTGGCGGTCTTGGGAAACTCTTTTTAGACTTTGAAAAAAGGTTGTAAACACTATTTCATTATTTCGGTGACGACAAGCGGTGGGGCTATGGAAACATTGACATGAAAGCCCAACAATTCTCAACGTCGAAACAAACAGACAAATTAAAACAATAAAAACGGAAGGAGTGTTCATAAGGTGTTGAGGTAAGCGATCAGCTGAGAATTTGTGTATTTTTCCTGAATGATTGTTTTCTTGCCTTTCAGGGACTGCATATGGAACGCATTCTGCAACAGTGGAACAAGTTTTTATGGCGGATTTCTGATTTTCTCTGTGTTGGGTTTTATGGCGAAACATCAAGGTGTTGAGGTCAAGGATGTAGTTCAGGCAGGTTCGTTTGCTCACGAGCAGTTTGAGCTGCCATGGTTGAATTTATAAACGGAAAGGTATATAATATCCCCGAAAAGGAGCGAGGTCGGTTTCCACCTGCGCTGTACGTTTGTTAGCGCTCAGTGCCCAGGCCGAAAAGTCGTCGTATTATTCTAGGCGCACATTCGTTTGATGGACAGAGGTCACTAAACATGCATATGATCGACTTAACGTCAGCATTTTCCAGTTTCATTCATCCCAATTTTCAAAACAAAAAATGAACATAAAATCTGCAGAAGCCATGGAATGAAGGGCTTTCAACCTAAAATGTACAAGAACGCTCTTTAAAGCGTTAGCTCGAGCTTGCTTGGAGATTTGATAAGAAATGAGGAGGAGTTTAATCCTACAAGAAACAGGATTTCCTGGCGTCCTATTTTATCGACGGTCAATGTTGGTCTTCAGGATATTTACTTTTTATATCGTATTCGACAATTTGTTCCTGACTTGATTGAGTACACGTGTATCAAAACACGAAAACCAAGGGCCTCGATTCTAGAGAAATTACGTCATTGCCAAAGAGCAAATGAGTGATGAATATGCGCCTCATATCAATCATCGCCTAAAATACATCGCATACTCATCACAAGACTTAAAATGAAAGTTTACTCCACCCGACCAGTTTGCCTGTCTATCGAAGTTTTGCTTATAAAGATTCTTTCTTTTTTTTTTCAACGCCTGAAGTATTCACTTGTTCCAAAGTAAGCAACGCTTTCAAATCGGACAGAAATCATGGACCGACCCGTTCCGGAAAAGCTCGGCATCTTTCGAATTAATCTTTCCAAAACTTTCTTAACAAGACATGCATGACGCTAACGAAAATTTTATATGTTCTCAGTCACGACGCGATTCTTATCCCCAGTTTCCAGTCTCCGCTAGGAACGCCTAGGACAATGAATACCCTTTTAGCGCACACAAACGAAAAAAAAAACAAAAAAAGCTTGTCTTTTTAGAGTGCTCGCTGCTAAAGCAAGCTCTACTAACAAGAAGCCTATGAAAAGCCGGTCAGTCAAGGCTTGTTTGTATAACGAAATGTGAAGTTTTTTAACTGATGAAACGCCAAAAGCAAATTGTTGGAAGAGACAACTGCTCACCTAGTATAAAATAAGTAACAAACAATTCTTACCAATTTGGAGTTGCGTAAAGTTTTCCAGTTTTTGTGATTGCACGTCCCAGGTAGCACTTTTCTCTCCTCGAACAATTTTATATTTCTCTTTACAGGACCTGGTCTTGTTTTCTTAGCTTATCCTGAAGCAGTTGCTCAGATGCCTGTGGCTCCTCTGTGGTCCGTGTTGTTTTTCTTCATGTTGCTTTTGCTTGGTCTGGACAGTGCGGTAAGGTGAAAAAAAAAACAAAGCCATTCAGACTTAAATACAACTTATTGTCATAACTAAGTTATTTACGTCTTTTTGTTCTGGTTCCCGGGTGTTGTTTCCACCACTAGAAGTAAAACAAAGAATAGGATCACTGTGTCCCTGTACTTGGAGAAATTAGTTAATCTTTATTATTATTCATTCAAAATATTTCCCCGGTTCTGATTGGCTAAAAACACACGTTTAATTCACCATAACCTGTTACTGATGACCAAATTCGGAACAATTTTGACTTTAACGAGGAAATGACGTCAAAAATGCAGCGTTTTCGCAGGTTAAGGCACCGTTAACCGAGAAGACTTGGGGACGAGGTTGAGTTGTTTTGGTTGTGAACTTGAAAAAATGGCGGACATTTCACTCGTTTCAAGAGTAAGAACTAGGCGAAAAAAATAGCTAAAAACACGGCAAGAACAGCAAGAAGACAACTCGAAGGACGACATCTGCTATTTGGAGAATATTTGCGGAGCTGGACAAACCTAAACGTACACTATCGAAGATGAACTGAACATCGATGGATCGACGGAGGTAAGCATGTTTTAGCTATGTTTTTAAACTAGGAATTATTTTGAATGAATAATAAAACAGTTATTGAATTCGGCTTTCGTATCATATGAAGAATTATGGAGACCTCGGAAGGTGTTATCCGCCTCGGCCTATGGCCTCGACGGATAACACGCTCCTCGATCTCCATAATTCTTTATAAGATACTCAGCCTCATTCATTAACTGTTAAATAACGCATCCAAAAGTATAAAAATGCGGAGAAACGTTCTATCATTCGTGTCGGCAGACCAAATCTTATTATGTTAAAATTGATATGAATTTACTTCAATGTCAATGTCAGTATTTATTTTTTGTAATTCTAAAGTTTGAAGTAGTTTGTTAAGTGTTGACGTTGCCTACAAAAGCCTGGGTTAAAGGCCCTTAAAGATTAAGTTTGAATACATAAAAAGTCTCTATTTTGCTTGTGTACAGTTTGTGGGCATTGAAAGCGTTATAACTTCTATCGTCGATTTATTCCCGCAACATCTGAGACGAGGATACCGCAAAGAATTGTTTACAGCTCTGATGTGTAGTCTGTGGTTCCTTTGTGGATTGTCCATGGTTACTAAGGTAAAGCTTTATTGAGGGAGCTTGGGGAGAGGCCTGGGAGGTCTGCTTCTCCTTATTTGAAGGCCAAAATGAAGCCCAAAGGGTTGTGAAAATGTTTTTCGAGGAAAGATCTGATTCTAGCGCTGAGCTTCTGTAAATAGCTCAGTTTGCGTGCTTTTTATAAACTAAATCCAAACCCGAATGTTATAACATAAGTTATTTCGAAAGTGAAGAATGATCATCGCAGTAAATTTTCCAATGCAATTGGAAAGTAGAAGCCTGAAAAAATTAGGGGCTTCAACGGGATTCGAACCCGTGACTTCCGCGTTACGGTGCATCATCTACCAACTGAGCTATGAAGCCACACATTTGGAGCAAGGTCAATTTATTAGTTCATATCTCCCGTGAGGAGTGAAATGATGTGAAGTATATATGAAATAATTCATTTTTGAACTGCGGTTGTAGATGAAAGTGAAGAATGATCATTGCAGTAAATTTTCCAATTTACTGCGATGATCATTCTTCACGTTCATCTACAACCGCAGTTCAAAAATGAATTATTTCATATATACTTCACATCATAAGTTAAATCCTAACTAAAAGGGCCTGTTTAAATTAGTAAACTCTGCTTTAATCAGTTGTTTCAAAATAGTATCACCAAATACGAAGAATTCAAGTGTTGATAGGCACGTACATTCTTTGTAGCAATTTAGGTTTTCCAGCTGCATGGCACACTACAAAGAAAATCTGGGATGCAAGACTAAAATATTCAGGAATAATTAACCGTGTTACCCGCTTTCAACATTCAGTTATCGTTTTTAAATCGTTTAGAAAACGAGAAGCGTCAACTTTTGATGAGGAAAAAGTGTAAAATGTAAATGTAAGATTTGCGTTTACGCGCCAGTTGTCGGTACATTGTGTAAGTCCTTGCCTTTGACTGTAAACTATAAGAATCGATGGCACAACATTAATAAAACTGAAACACTTTTTTTAGGGTGGTATGTACGTGTTTCAGTTGTTTGACGCATATTGTGGTGCTGGAACAGTCCTGTTGTTAGTTGTCTTGGGTGAATGTTTGGTGATCGGATGGCTTTATGGTGAGAGATCTGCTACTTCTACCTAGAGAAATTAGCTTCCTAAAGCGCAATTCCCAGTGCCCAAAGCACCCTTCATTGAATCAGCTATGTACATTTTCCCACTATGTGTTGTTTCTCTGACATGCTAGTTAATTCCCATTTTGTAATATTACTCTGCAAATATGGTAGTTCACACGTGCTATTGCAAATTGACTACTGCTGAATCAGTGTCGCATTGATCCAAAATTACTGCATATTGAAAGGCTACCTTGTTTTCTGCATCTCACTTTTGGATTTCTAATGTAGAGAGGCATCAATCCAATACTGAACCGATGCTAACCCAGCTCAATTTTGCCTTTACCCTGGGTTGAGTAGTGTGACAATATTTCGAGGAACCTGGCTGCACGAAGTGAAGGCTAAAAAAGACGTCAGGAAATAGTGTATATACGTTTTTCTGCACTCCTTAGCCCACCAACTCTCCATGGCAACCCTAATGCAAATCTTGATCAAAATGTATTAGTCGAACATCGTCAGTGGTTATATAAAAGTTGTCTTGTCTTAACTTGAGTGCAGGCAGTGAAAGATTTGTTTGAAAATCTTTTGAGGAATGTTTTCAGAATCTGCGAACAAAAAACAACAAGCAAACACTGAAGTAAATGACAGGTTACTATTTCTTCTCTTAGAGATGCAACTATATCGATAAAAAAATAATAATCTCGTAATTATCAGGTATTGGTTTTGTGTGCGATTCCTTTTGTTTATTTTGGACAGGTCGTGACCGTTTCTATAGCAACATAGAGGCTATGTTGGGATTTCCTATCAATCCCTGGTGTGGCTGGTGCTGGAAATATCTGTCACCAATATTTTGTTTGGTTAGTACATGATGGCTTTCTGAAAAAGCTGTATTCAAGGCTCAGACTACAAAATAATACAAACAAGTCGGTAGCCTCATTGGAAATAAACACGTGATCGGTTATATTTCTGCTACGTAGCTCTTTCACTCTACTGGCAAGACTATGGCAAGGCAAAGACGCATTTTATCTGTCGCCACGTCAAAAAACAATCCAATTGACCTACCTCTTTTAAATAGGTTTGTGATCCATCACGTAATGTCGATTAGAATCATTCACTCGACAGCCTTCAACAAGAATGAAAAGCTCAACCCACGACCCCTTCACGAAAAGTAAAAATGGGGCGTTCCTCTTAAAATGTGTCTTCTAAAGCACCAATTAGTCTCTGGAATAGTTGTCTCTAAAGGGACGGACCATTGGAAAAGTTATGGGGAAGGTGGAGGAATTTTTGAGCGCCATAAATTTCTTTCGTTAACCTCTCCCTTGTATGATTCTTTTTAGGCCAGGGCATGAAATGTTTTTATGGTTACTTGGCCTGCATGATTCTTTTCGGTTAATTTTCCCTTGTGAGAATTCTTTTTTCGTACTTCGCCCGCCCGACTCTCCCCCATAAGTTTTCTAATGGTCCGTCCCTAGCAAAAGATGTAGTGTTTTGGGGAAAATTACTTATCCCCCGACTTATTTTGCTTTTCTTTTCTAGGCTGTATTTGTTTTCTACCTTTCTACTTATCAGCCACTTAAGTATCGAGAATACGTTTATCCTGCCTGGGGACAGGCGATTGGCTGGCTGATGACCGTGTCGTCACTATCCTTAATTCCAACGGTGATGATATACAAGTTGATGAACGCCACCGGATCAATCAAAGAGGTAATTATCTGTTGTTGTTGTTGTAGCAATAAGAACTCAATTGGCTCAGTATGCATAATTTATCGGAGCTAAAATAGACAGATCAGACGGCTTCATGAATTAAAAGCTTTTAAGCAATGGCACTGGACTACTCTTAGTTCGTTATTAAGGGTCACTAGCCTCCAGCTTCTCCCTGTAGTTATACTGCTCAACTTTTATTATTATTATTATTATTATTATTATTATTATTATTATTACATCCAATATAGAATTTTATATGTTTTGATGGCTAATGAAAAGAAAAAAAGAAATTGCTACATAAAATTATGCATTATAAGAAAAAAAGATGTCTAGAAGCTAAATGAACATACGTTTTCGTGCCAGCGCCTACAATCGGCGACAAAATGAGTTGAGACACTTCGCCCAAAACTGGGCTTTTTTACGTTTTATTAACTTCAAAAGGAGGAAATATAGCTTTCCTCCCCCATCCCCTCCGTGCCATGTTGTGCCCTTGTTCTAGCTGCCTATAGGAAACAACAAACACCCCAACTTTGAATGGAGGGGACAGGGGAGGGGTGCGGATTCCTTTGTTCTACGAAACTACCCTATTTAAGTACAATATCTCAACAATTTTGTCGCCGATTGTAGCTATAAAATGATATTTTTTACACAGTGATGACAGTTTAAATAGTAGCAAATGAACACAACAAAACAATGGCTGCGAAATAACACACAAATATCGAAGAAAATCGGTCTATAACAAGAGCTCCGTTCGAGAGCTCCTTCGTTCGTGCCGACCGCGTGGGCATCAAACAATGATATAGGATGTAAAAATATAGGAAATGATCGACAAGTGTAAAACCAGGTCTTGATTGTTCAACAAATTCACCTCATTAGTGCCAGAGGGAGATTATTGAGTGATGTGTGGAGAATATCCATGTTGATATCAGGGTTTAAAGGGTCAAAGATCTCTTCTTACCTGCCCTCTATGGCCAGGGACGTATTCTTGAGAAATTTGTTACTTATCCTCACATTTTCCACATAACCTGTTTCTTTTTTGTACTTAAGTTTGACAGGGGTTAGTAAAACGAGGATATACTTACGTCAAGTCAGTATTCTTTGAGTAGCAAAGAATTTTTCTTTGGCCTCTATTTGAGGCACTCTCCATTGAGGAAAGTGTCCACCGCCTTGAACTTTCCTCGTTACTAGCCAGTCAATCATAACTTGAGGCAGTGTGATAGAGGATTTTAAAACTAGACGTACGTTAAGTCAAGAAGTTCCATTAATAAGGAATCCAGAGTAACAGCACCTGGAATCCAGAATCCAAGACTGTCTTGGATTAACCGTAATTGAGCGCAAGTACACCTATTCGACTAACTCAATGTTTTACCTAAATTCAAACCCTTTGGGAATAAAACGTTTTGTTCCAGGAATTTCCATACAATTTAAATATGAATGCCACATTATAAAGCAAATACAATACACAAAGAATCTTAACCCCGGGAGATTTGAATTGGGTAAAACATTGAGTTAGGGCCTGTTTACATGGAGGTGGGGACCCCAGGTAGGTGAGGTAACCCGCTTAGGTGGGGTAACCCGTTTGTCCATATAATCTCTCATTTCAATATGATCACGTTGACATGATAGGTGGGGTGACTCGCCATATTTTACCTCACCTACCTGAGGTCCCCCACCTCCATGTAAACAGTTCCTTAGCCGAATACCGTAAAATTCCGAAAATAAGCCCCTCCAAATATAAGCCCCCGGGGGGCTTGTACTTGGAAAACAGAGCAAAAACGGTAAAATTCCTTCCATTTATAAGTCAGGCTAGCCCAATCAATTTTGAAGCGCAAATTTCCCTCCGTAGATAAGCCCCTCCGAATATAAGTCCCGCCAAAAATAAGCCCCTCAAAAAGGGCCGTTGAAACATATGAGCCCCGGGGCTTATTTCTGGAATTTTACGGTAGGTCTGTTGAGAAGAGGCCTTAGGTTGTTTCCGCGCGCGAGTACACAAAGTCGTCAGTTTTAAGGTGTTCCTTAGTTTTTGCTGACTTGACTCTTTAAGTATACTCATAGAGCTGTCTCTTTCAATGTGAGATTCTATCAAATGCTCATTACTACCCAAAGGTTTTGTGATTTAGTTAAAATATCCCTCCATAAATTAACCTACTATTTTATTTCAGTGATATCACAGTATCCTTCATTGACAACCTTGTATGTTTTTATCGCTTTTGCTGGCTTTTTCATCTCAAACCGTTATAGAAAGTAATTTCATTTCCTTATTGAGAGCAATAAACCAGCTCATATTATCATTATTTAGTTGTTGATGATTTTTTTTATTACAGCGGATACGAGAATTGACGATACCCGTTTTGTTTCATCGCCAAGAAGACAACGAGACTGCACAACTTATTCCCAAAGAAAGCAGCAAGGCCTAATAGTCGTCGAAAGCAACAGTTTGAATAGAATGCAGCGGGTATTCACTCAAGAAGCAATTGAATACTAGAACTAGGGGTACTTTCCGGCAAGTGCCAACGAGGGGAATTCGTTTATCTTTTGTGGAATGTGCCTATCCAGATCTTCGCGATTTGTTACATAATTTTAGCGGTTTACAATGGATTTCGCTATAGTAAAGGATGGCACTCAACTTTAGAAAAAAAACTTGGGTACATTCTAGGCTTTCATTTCTATTAAAAAATAACAACATGGCTTGAAGCTTGGTTGTCTTTGTTGGTAAATTAGTGCAAGTTAGCACTTATATTTTATGGAAATTCAAACCTATAAACGTTAGAAAGTAAAATATAGTTCAAGTGAGGCCTTTGGCTGCTAAAATTAAAAATTAAAATTAAATTCCAAGCTTTCGCCGATCAACGGCATCACCGGGGATAAGAAAAATATTCCGCATGATAATATACATATGAAAAATTGGTTTAAGCAAAACCTGTGAAATTTGCAAGAATGGAGCGGAATGTACCCGGAGATATAAAAATATAAACTTGAATAAAATACAAAGATCTAATGTGTGACTGGCACAGGACAAAGAGTCTTTCGAAAGGAAAAATGATTCATAATGATGGTCTTTAAAACAAAAGGTTTACAAGTTCGTTGCATTCCTCACAGGAGGTAAGGACTAGCTCAATGTAAATAGAACTGCGAAGAACACGCTGGTTCTGGCAAACGTTTTGGGAATACAACCCTATTCCTTGATTAACTACCGCTATAGAATTCAATTTACAAACGAAAAGATAACACTGAAAACCCTGGTTCTGAGTCGAGAAGCGACTATCTCAATGGCATAAATCGAGCTGCGAAGAACAAGCTGGTTTTGACAAAAGTTGGAGTTATAAAGCAAACCCAAGCACAAATAGCCCTTTCAAACTAGAAATCGTATTAAAGCTTGCTCACCTGTCAGGACCTCTTGAACCAAAAACGAACCGCTGCACGCAGCCTCACCCTATTTCGAACCACGAGTTGTAAATACAAGATCATGACGTCACTGTCCAAATATCGGGTCTTACTTACACCCAAATATGGTCAAAAATGCAAATTTTAGAGGGATACGCAGAATTTGAGAGTTTTTGCTTACATTGCGTGGGATTATGAATCTGCCGCCGAGGCGGGCCCCTCCCCTGGATCCGCCACTGAATTTACCAAGCTTTGCTTCAAAGGAAGGACTCGAACCGTTTTCCTCGAATACGACCGATTACTAAGAAATGATATAGCCTACTTGCAAGCTTTCCATTTCGAGTAACGAACGCGGCGAGCTGCAAGAGACCGTGCGGCAAAGCAGCGAGGAAGGAGGAAATTGAAAACTGTCTCTTCTTGTTATACACTGTTAACAGCCTAACACCATTTAGTTTCAATAAAATTATCAAACTGCCGAAATACTCTATTTTTGGCCGCTCATCACGTGTACATTTCATTCATCTCGACGAAATCTCATTCCACTCATCTTATGCCTCGGCTGCATGCCGATCACGATATTTTGTGTGACATCTTCTTTGTTTGAATGTCAAGAGGGGACATCAGACTTCAGACTTCAGAACATCGGACATCGAACGTCGTAGTCGCACGGGTAACCCAGGCTTTACGATAGTACCACAGTACGAATCCTATAAAGTTACAATGTTTGTATGGGGTAAGGCTACGATCCTACGATTTGTAGGAAATACTAAATAAAAGTCAGTGAAATACTCTGCAGTTAGCTGTTGTTGTCTTCAATGCTCACACGAAGTTTCGTGACGATATGCTTAAATTCTCCCTCCATACAAAAACAACTGACAAGGTAGAGGCAAGAGATGAACTCTCAGCCGCCATCGCTCACTTTCCAACACCACTTTTTCCATGAAATTCGAACTCCGACAGAAAATAAACACACTAGGCTCGTAGAAAAAGGACTGTCCCAGACATGGAATTAATGAACCCCCCTCCCAACCAGCTAGCGAAACGAATCCAGCAGCCTTTGTGAAAATGGAAGAAGAGAATCCAAAAATCAGTGGCCGAAACTACTTGCGCCGAAATGGTCGGGTCAGATCAACGCGCGGCCAAGCAAATGAGGCCTGGGAACTGTGCAAATCAAATCCATCCAGGGTGACCAGGGTTGGCCTTTCTAGGGATCAATACGTCTCTTGCCCAAAGTTAGCCTCCCTTGCTTAAAACATATATGTCAACCACTCTCAGACTGTCTTGCCCACTTTCCTGACCCATATTTACAATCTTATAAACTCTTGTAACAAAGAAACGCAATTCGCCATTACGCACTCGAAGTGTCTAAAAGTCGCCACTCGAAGTTATTCGTGGTTACTCGTGGTCTCTTGTGTGTACTTTTAGACACAATCTGAGAGTGCCCTGCCTTAACCTGCGGACCTAAATGAATTTCATTTTTTGGGCAGCGAGAAGCGACAGCAGCAAATACAGTAAAAACCCGCATATGAGAACCTAGAATTTTCGAGGTCAGGTAGAACAGGTTCTTTTATTTTAGGGTAGTTTTTCACAATTCAGGCTGATTAGGTTTTTAATGGGTTCTTCTTTTGGATTCTTCTTTTTCCGAGCTTGTCATAGTGTAACCATTGGCAGAAACATCGTCCTACTAGTACACAATGGTTTATCGAAAAAAAATATTTCTAGTGAAAATGCAGACAAATGTAAATCAAAGAAAACAACAATAACTTTTGTCAGAAGTTTCTCACACAATTAAAATGCAGAATTTTGACCATCAAAATTGGAGTGATTTTTTTGTATAGGAAGCTATTTTTCTTTGCCAGGCCAAACAGTTTCTTATATTTTTGGGTATTTAGATGCCAAATTTCAGCCTTGGCCCGGTTCCTGAAAGGCTGATTAGCGTTAATCCAGGATTAAAATTTTGTTGCGTTTTTGTTTTTTACGTTCCTATACATTGCTAAGGGTAACATTTTGTGTTATCATTACTGCGTCTCGTAGTAAAGGCTCAACACTATTCTGTAACCTCGAGTTGCATGTTGTTAGACGAGAAAACCGTCCCTGAAATTTGGCTTAATCTTGGGTTAAACTTAACCATCTTTCGAGGAACAGGGCCCAGGTTCTTATATGTGGGTTTTTACCCACTGTACCTCTGTGTTTGCAGGCTAGGCGTGGGAATGTAACATGTTTTGGTAAATAAAAGTATCTTGTCACTTCTGGTTTGAGATAAAGTAAGCTACTGAGTATGCAATTTAATTCTTGAGATTGAGTGTGGAAAGCAAATTTGACCCTTTTACTGCAAGAGGCGGGGTAGGGCTTCCAGAACTTCACCTGAACGCCACACCCACCAAATTTGTCAATGCATCTCCCAAGCCCTATACCTTTATGTTTTGGATCATTGACCTCTAGTTTAATATTCTCGCATGAAACGTAAGGAACCTTTCATTTTTTTTAGGGAGCTTCAATTCACTAAAAAATTTAAAATGAGCAGGTTAATAAATTTCTAAAATAACAATAAAGACTTTCACAATTATACAACGGAAAAAGAAAAGGTCTTTCTTTGACGTTGCGAGAAAAAACAATATATTTTTTGAAAGAACTGATGGTGCTACAAAAATAATTAAATAACTCCCTCTCATTTAATACATAGAGGATATGACATGGCCGCGCGGGGATACGAATTTTATCCTCTCGTGCTGAAAGTATCTCTCTCTTTCAGCAACTCGAAGATAAAATTCGTATCCCCAAGCGGCCATGTAATGTTCTGTTTATTTTATAGATACTGATGAAATTCCTACATAAACACTAACTAATCATGTTAGTAACCACGGTGACACCAATATCCTCACACGTGAAAGATAAAAATAGTATCTTCACTGTGTGCGATGAAGATATAATTTTCTAGGAAAAGGAAAAATCCTGGTATTTTTTCAGTATCTATATAATAAAGTCGAACCTCCATTTGAGTCCACCTCTCGTGAGCGATGACCTCCCGTAAGCGACTACTAAATATTTACATTTTGCACATTCTGGGTGATCTCTTACAAGCGGGGTTCGACTGTAAATTGAATTTCACTCTCTTCCTTCTTTTTGATTCGTAACGAAAAAAGAGTCCTTTTGAGTCAATTTCGCAAGATAGGTAATAAGCGGAAGAGTTATGTAGCCCTTTTTGTAAACTGGGACAGACCATAAACGAAATAATGTCGATAGAGCATATTACAACTTACTTCCCAGTACGTCACGGGAGAAACCTGTGGGAAGTCACGCTTTCTGTAGTGCTTTTTATTTTTCTCTTGAGATGAGAACGTTTTACGTAAAGAAAATAAGCTTTTGACCGTTCTAGTCAAACTAGAAAGCTGGATTCTATAGTGAAAGAAAACAAGGTATAGTAATTATCTTCCTGTTTTCTTTGTAGAACGAGCTGTAGATGTGGGTCGTAATTAGAGGCCACTTGCCACGGTACTGATCAAGCAGTATAGACAGACATTATTGGAGGCAATATAATATCAGTTTCAGTTCAGTTTCAGCCGTTGAATGTCCGTTGGACGCGGGCCTTCTCCATTGACTTCCAATGGACCGCGTTTTTTGCGCTACACGGTGCCAGTCAAGTTTAGGTACTGTTTAAAAAACTCGCAATCGTGTATTATCAAGTTTAAAAACCTTATAATATACGACTGCGATTTTTTTGAACGGCTTCAAAATCTCTGATATAGATCAACCCATTCTTGCACTAATATTTAGATTTGGGGTTACTGTGGTCTAAAAAATTGAACCTAAAGTTTAGCCGTGTCTTTATCACATACAAAGACACTCATTAAACATTAATTTCTTTTGTTTTTTCTTTATGAATTATTAATGAGATTTTAAAGAAACTGTCTAAGTCGTCCCTCCATCTCGTCCTCGGTCTTCCTCGATTCGTGGTGTGTCCTAGTGGCGTTCAGAACGTAATGCGGGTTGTCCAACAGTTGTCTGTTCTTCTCGCTGCATTACCTAGTCTGCTACACAGCTGTTTTTATTGTCGTCACGCAACGCTCCTCTCCACTCGTCACGCAATGCTCCTCCCCAGCGTTACGTAACGGCACTAAAAACGGCTGTGAAGCAGACTATACCTTACCAGCCTTCAATATGAAAAGTGCAGGGGATGATCGTAGTCTGGTTTAGGGTATAAATTTTCTACACATTAGTTTCACCTAGTCTGTTCACGACAGAAACGACAATATGTCGTTTAAAAGCAGGAACTGAATGCGATGTTACTTTACATTGCATATAATATGGTATAGGGGACAGAAATTAATTACAGGACTCAACGTACGGCTTAAAGTCATATCTGACATCGGGTAAATTGATATCTTAGTTAATTGGAGAAACGGGGGAGGGGGAAGGGGGTGTGAAGAAAGAGGCGTGCACCTCCCCAGTACCACGCTAGTCTCGCTTTGCTCGCCTATTTTTTGCACCTAGTTGTTTGCTATCCGCCTCTTTTTTTTTACCTAGTGGCCTGGTTGCAGGATAATAGTTCAATCGTTTGCCTTTCGTAATTATTGATTTTTGTAAAAATGACGTTTTTTCATTTCTAATTCACATTAGTAACCTGGGATACAAGATGGGCGTTGAAATCAAGGAGCGAGAGACTTGGTCTTCAAAGTTGGATTTCCTTCTCGCTTTGATGGGTTTTTCCATCGGTCTCGGTAACATATGGAGGTTTCCTTACCTTTGTTTTAAAAATGGTGGAGGTAAGTGCAGAATTATGGCCATAGGATGAATTTCGAATTCGGTTAACTTACAAAAAATAAAATGAGGAGGAAAAGTATTCTCTCGGTAGCCATGTAGAAAAAATAAATATTGAAAAAATATTTTAATTGTGGTTTGAGGCCATTCGATATAAAGGCTGCACTGGAGTTCCAACAAGAAGCTTAAATGCTGATTTCTGTATTGGTTTCCACCATTAATGAAAATCTGTTAGAATTTTCAAGAATAGATATATAGTAATGCATACCCCTGACACGCCACCCTCCCACCCCTCTTTTTGCACTTATTTCTTTTTCTGTCCACTACTGTCACCTCCTTGTTTTCTATACTGTCTCTTTTGCCCCATTGCGCATCCACTGCTTACATTACCCTACCGTCATGTCACTAACTCATCTAACACTAATAAAAACCTTTTGCACATTTACAGAAAAGATATAAAATATAGCGCAGCCCCTCCCCCACCCCCCCCCCCCTCTTTGCTAGAAGCTTACACCTTCGTTGTTTGGAACCCGGTAGCCATCTATTTTAATACCTAAGATCTAGGCCTGAAGAGATCCCTCCGTCTACAGTGGAAACCCCACCGGAGCAGAAATATCGCGGCCGATTCGTTCTGAAAATCATCTTGATGATGACGATGATGATTATCGTAAACAGAAGAGGCAAACTCGGTGTTCCAGATGTAGAACTGTGCCTTACTAGTATTCAAAGGGTCAAGAATTGCGTGTGTTACTTGTGCAGAATATAAATGATCTACAGACGCAAAAAGAATATATGACATCATCATGTCCTAAATAAGGTCATGATTCATACAACTGAACATAAATAATGACATAAACTATCTTAAAATAACTCAAAACCTGTCAAGCATTTATACTAGTCTCAACGCCACGTCCGCCAGGTTGGTGTCTCAGAACTATAGCACGGCGGCCATGGGAGTGGAACTTTTCTCTCCTGTAAAATCTTTCCTCTGTCTTAATAAATTTGCATAGCTGTTTCCCACGTGAGTGAAAAGGCTCTTATGGAGCGTGGGTTAATTTATGATGCCTATTCATGATGTGATTGTCGCTAATGTAATCCTGGGCAAATTAATGAGTTAGCTGTGGAAAAAAAGATTACTCTTTACGCGTGTCCTATACTGCTGGTCCGTTTCTGGGTATCGAAACTGAGACCTTCCATGCTACATTTCAGCGATTCAATGTTTGTGACATCTAATCTCATTCTTGTGAGAGCCGCCACATGACGATTAAAGCCACTGGATAACCTGGTTCTCCCGTATAATATATAGATTTAGCCAGGGCTAAAAGAGAAGCTCTCTATAATTTTTATAGTTTGTTCACACAATATATAAAATAGTTAATGCTAAGCGGCGAAGGCAACGAGAACGGTAAAAAAACAAAAAAACAACAACAACAATAGGTCTAATTAGCAAAAAAGCAACTTTGCACGTGCAGCACACTTTTTTGTACATTTCTTTGACGTTGTTTTGCACAACTACTACGTGAAACTTCCAGAAACATCCCAGTTACACGTTTTATGGAGCGAATGTCGGACGTGTTCTTGTTCACTCTTTTTTCACTGTCGCTCATTTTCACCCCAGTGGCCGCTAGCATCCCGCCACTTCAAAATTTCATGTTGTTCCTCCAACAGAAAACGTCTCCTTTTGTTTTTTCTCTCTCGCTCTAGCTCCTTTTCTCGTTAAGCTTTGCTGGCCTGTCGACCTATTTTCTCTTTTTCTCTGTGTTTCCCTTTCTCTATATTCCAAATTTGTTGACAAGACAATTAATTTAAGCTTAATATATACTCAAAAAAAAAACAACAAAAAAACAAAAAAAAACCCACTGATACAGAAACATTTTCCGCTTTCCGTTCTTGTCTTTATTGACTCCTTAGGGACGGTCCATTAGAGAAGTTATTGGGGGGAGTGGAGGGATGAGGGGAATTTTCGAGCCGCAGGAATTTTTTTTCGTTATCAAATTCCTGGTATGAATTTTTTTTTGGGCCATAGCATGAATATTTTTTAGGATTAATTGGCGTGCAAGAATTTTTTTCATTTAATTTTTCCTTGCACGAATTTTTTTTTCTTCGCTCCCCCCCCCACCCGATAAGTTTTCTAATGGTCCGTCCCTTAGTTATGTCTGCTTCACGAGACGCGGGTGGCCATACGCTTTTCGCAAAAATAATCTGACATTTGGCATCGGCTTACATGTAGTGGGTGTACGGACGTTCGTTCGCACGCTACCCCATAACCACATTTTCTCGGATGGATAGTTTACCAAATTTTCTTACCCATGGTGCTCCGCTTGCGCGCTTCGCGCGAGAGCTCCGCAATAAGGCACTCTATATGCTCCAGGGATACTCTCAAGGCCTTATACGCAAAATTGTTTTAGCCATGCCTTATGCATCATGAAGTATGGGGTGGCTTTTATGCGAAAGGAAATTAGTTACTCTACTAACCTGTGGGTAACTTCATATTTGCAGGTTGTTTCCTCATTCCCTACTTGCTTTGTTTGATTGTGGCTGGTGTACCCGTTTTAGTAATGGAGATTGGTCTGGGGCAATACACGAGTCAAGGTGGAATCACGGCTTGGAAAATTTGTCCACTTTTCCAAGGTAAGAACAATTCAACCGTAACCTCTTGAGTAGAGACGTTTGCTGGACAACTGAGAAACGTCTTGTGTTCGCGGATATTTTGCACATAATAAAAAAAAAACCCTAGCCGGGCATACTTCTCAGGAATAACCTATCTAAAATATTTAATTTGAATATGAATAGCCCACTTTTGACATATTAAAATTCTAACATGCCTCTGAGGCTTTAGGGTCAAAATTGCAAATTTTTCACGACTCCATTGTCTCGCAATTCCCAGAACAGATTTGAGCACAAAGAAAACCAGCCAAATATAGAAATATGACCAGAAAGCGCCGGAGTCATGTTAGAATAGTCCTCAATCACGATACCCTTCATCTTTGCACGCGCTTTAGGATTGATGATATAAAAGCAATGTCACGTGGTATTTCAGGGAGCAAACAAGTGTTAAAATTTGCCGATACGAGTAATCGAGGTCAAGTTTGGTTATCCTTTCAAAACGATAAGGCAATTTTAAATTTGCAAAATGTACCGTTCAAGTACCGAAAAGTTTCATGTCATTATTGCTTGCTGTGAGGGCATCTACGGTCGCCACTGCATTGAAAAAATAACAACGATCACTTCTACCCATAATTTGCCATAATTGTCTTTAAGATAAAAATATATTTATAACACAACCGCGATTTCTTGTATTGGCAGGTTTTATCTCTCGTTTGCCCCCTGAAAAACCACGTGACATTGCTTTTAACTCATCAGCCCTTACGCGCGTGCAAAGATGGCGGGCATCGTGAATAAGGTCTATTTTAATATATCGAACGTGGTTTATTAACCGACCCTTAATAGACCATTTAAGATATATTATAATTCATACTTGGCTACAAGACTAAGGGGAGTAAAACAAAAGAAACCGTCTCGACGCTCAGCAATGAATAATGCATTTCCTTTGTCTTATTCCTCCAAGTCTTGAAGCCAAGTTTGAATTTTACGGTATCGAAAAAAGACCTATTACCGTGATCAGGTAATTTCAAGTACTTGGGGTGCAAGGTTGTCCTTGAGCTTTGCTGCGGAAGGAGCAAATTGACCAGACCTCGAAAAAAATAATTCACCGGTGAGGGTGCTTAAAACATTAATGACTCGCGTCAAAGTTCGGCGCATATATTTTTTATATCATTCTGATGAGCACAGTAGTTTACTATGTGCCCTACATGGTCATGGTTTGGGAGGACATGGATGGACAACACTGTAAACATGAACAATTTAATACTTATGATAAACAGGGATGCCCAGAAAATTATATTAGACCGTTCTCTCCATTCATCCGCTACCAATGAGCCTGAGGTTTGGATTGGTTTTCCCTCGACGCACGCTTTTGCGCTTTACCACCATAACCTCTGATATATGTTTTGAATTGCGTCAATGAGATACCAACCCACAGGCTGGATTTATCGGGTGAAAAAGATGACCATCACTAAAAAGCATGACAAAGAGATGACCTGAGATCGTCCCGTGCAAAGAGAACATTATCATTCTTTCTAAAAGAATTAATAATATTTGTATCTAAAAAAATCGCATTGCGACTTTAAACGGAGCTCTATGGGTAAGAAAGTTTGGTTATCTATACATCCAAGAAATTTGGTGCTGACCTAAATCATTGCGTACTTACGTCCGTGCGTCCACCCCCGTATAGAGTCCAAGACATATACTATCAGGTATTTGGTAATACTTGGTAATAAACATCCATGTCATGGTCAATTGACAGTTGTCAAGAAAGGTATCTGCTGACCAGTGTGACGTGACTATATCGCGGGCTCTGGTATGTAACACATTGAGGTGACTTTTTAAAAATTTATTCTCTGACCAGTTTTTGGTTTTCACTTGATCGCGGAGTCAGGTCCATATTTTAAAGGTGGAATTCAGTATGCTTTCTGCTTACGGCAAAAGATGCATTATTAAAGAAAGAGATTTCTTCAAGTTCCCTCGAGAGCCTCGCTTTTGGCCTTTGCTAAATCTATATATCATACAGATTTGTATGTAGTACAATCAGTTCTTAAGATTTGGAAGCTATTTAGCTTTTTGAATATGCTTTTGGTTTATCACTATTTGCTTTTTATCGTTTGATTTTTGAAAAGATAGAAAATAGCGCCAAGAGGGCTAAATTTCGGTAAATTTGGAATCGTGTCATATTGATTTAGAAAGCCCCTTTCAAGTTATGTTACTAAGGTTTTATTTTTATACCAGGAATTGGCTATGCCGGTGTGCTTGTAATGCAGTATATCAACATTTACTACACGGTGATTCTTGGCTGGGCTTTGTTTTACATGTTTGCTTCATTCCAGTGGACTCTTCCATGGTCTCGATGTGGTAATGAGTGGAACACGCCAAACTGTGTGGATTACAATAGTAAAGGAGAAAGTCAACAAGATTCGCAAGTAAATGACACCATTAGGAACCTCACGACCATTCTTGCCAAAAGAACAGTAGCAAATGGCTCAAAAACTATACCAGCAAGCCAGGAATATTGGGAGTAAGCAGAATTACAGTTTGTAGTTAAGACGTCGCATTGTTGGGACTCAAGCGTTTGATTCTCGACAGATCTTTTATAAGTCCCTGTCACCTTCCTGATGTTGTTTTGAGCACTTCTGACTAGCCAGCAGAACAAGATTAGAGCGTGAGGCACGCGCTACAAGGGAAGGCGCCTCCCTTCTTCGAGCGTGTCTTTTCATTTTAAATCCACTTCTCGCTTGCCTTCACTCTAGTGAAAAATGTGAAGAACCAACGCCTGCTCCGCCGGCTAACTTCTGACGGACGTTCGCGCACCAGCAATCCTGTTATAACTTGGACAACGGCAGTTAGCATGAACTCAGTCATGTGTTTTACCTGACCCGAACAGATATGATTCAGGTTTATCCCCGACAAGTCGATTTCCTGATTCCTTTCTTTCTTTTCGAGACAGCAAAAGTTGCGTCTAAAACTGCTATAATATTTTTTCTTTCTCTTAGGAACAGGGTGTTACGCATCTCTAATGGTTTGGGCGAACCGGGACCAGTGAACTGGGATCTAGCCTTGTGCCTGTTGTTGGCCTGGATTATCTGCTATCTATGTGTGTGTAAAGGAGTCAAATCAAGTGGAAAGGTGAGAAGTCACAAGGCTGTAAACTTGCCTTTCTGAAGATATTGTGGGTGGCAGGCGTTTAAAAGGGAAGGAGATATGGGAATTCGGGTGCGCAAAGGGGCGGAAAAAGGGAATCTGTACAAAAAACGGAGAAAGCAATAGCGTCACTGCAGGAGTTCCTTTATCCTCTGCCTCGCTTGCCCGAATTTCCCCATTTCTTCCCCTTTTAACGCCTGCCACGCATGGTACGCTACCCGCCTGTCACGCATGCTACCCTAAAAGGATGGACCTTTCAGGTTCATCCGTCTGGAGGATGTTCAATGTTCAGCCCTCTCGGCGGATGATGTTATCCACCTCGGCCTTCAGCCTCGGTGGATAACATCCTCCTCGATCTGCCCAATTATTCACATCCTACTCAGCCTCATTCAATAATTGCTAATTATCTTAGCGCCCACACGTTAAAGGCTCAATATACCATATACTTTTCAAAAGTCTTTATATACCGAGTTCGAAGATGTCTTTAAGATAAGATAAAGAGGAGTTTTAACAATCTACAAGGGGACGGAAAACTACTTATTCGGCGGAAATATTTTTTGAACAGACGTAAGACTCATGCAAATTATACACGCCATAGCGCATGCTGATGGCACCACCACGTCACTCCCTCAAAAGCTAGGCAGTTAAAGTAAACAATTGAAAAGTGAATTTTATGTCTCGACCAGATCTCGCCTTCGGCCTCGTCGACAAGAAATCAGGTACGAGATTATATTCTCTGCTCTGGGACAGAAGTCAAAATAGCGTCTTATTTCGCGAAAGTTCTGGAAGACGCAATTTAAGTGATAAATGTACAAAAAAGATATCATGAAAGCGACTAAATTTGGCTTGTCAGTGTTTACTGGTAAAAATCATTTTCTTACTGAATTTGCAGCACTATCCAAAAATTCACTTGACAAATGTCCGAAATATTTGTAGACAAAACACTTTTTCGATCGTTCTAACGGAAAATTTCCGGGAGCAACGGACATCTGAAAAGGTAGTCCTGTTTTTCCGGACGGAATATTCCAAACAGAAATTCGGTTTCCATTTCTTCAAAGCCATCTTTGATACCAGCTTCAGGCCTTCGCGGTCGTTTTCCGGTAGATGGAACTGATTCGTACAAGTGGTAAACACGATTCTGGGGCGAAATTTACCAGTCCTGAATTTTGCGTACCATTTGCCCAAACCGTGGACTGACCGGTTTGCCCATGGAAATGGTAAACAACCTAAGATTCACGTTTACGCCAAACGGCAAACGTGAATTTGTACCACGTGACCAAGTTTTCCCTTAATTGTCGTTCACTCTTTATTACTTCTACACAAAAATAAGTAGTTTCATACCAGTTTTATCCATAATAATTGTTCTGGAACAGCTTTTATCTGCTTATTTTCTATTCTGAGAAATTCTCAACTTGAATCTGACGTTTGCCGTTTGCCGTAAACGTGACTCTTAAACTTTCTATTAACACAAGTCTCTCCCCTCGGGTCGTTGCATAGTGCTAGATATAAACCACTATTCACTTCTCCCTAGGGGTATGGTCGCATCTTATTGGCTGCACCTATGTAACTGTCTAGGTGACTTACTGCAGTGCAATCTTAAAGCTCTGTTATAAGCTGAACTTTTTATCTTCTCTCCTTTTCGTTGTCAACAACAACAACAATCCATTTTATTTGCCAACTTTAAAAACGTTTACAAAAAACAAAATATATTAAAACAGATCAGGCAACAAACTACCCAGAATGGTAAAAAAAATAAACGAGCTGAGTAGTTACAATAATTAAATAACATACTTTAGGGTTGTGACACACGAAAGATAAAGAGGAAAATAACTTAACTATAGGAGAGAAAAAAATGATAATAGTAATGAAAAGAAAAAAAAATTGATTAATTAATACAAATAATATTATAGAACAACACAAAGCAAAACGGTACCAGATAACTATAAAGCTTACATTAATAAGGGTAAGTTATACCATGCTAGCCAGCATCACGAGTAAGTTCCAGAAAAAAGATTTGCCTGCATGTTCTCCTTAATTAGACAAGAAAATTGTTTTCTGAACGCGCTCTGTTTTCCAGGTTGTGTACTTCACTGCAACAGCTCCATATATTTTAATGACCATCATCTTGATCCAAAGCGTTACCCTGCCAGGAGCTGGTGAGGGAATAAAGTTTTATCTCACGCCTGACCTTTCAAGGCTTAAGGATGGCCAGGTAGCTACTTTCATTTTCTTTATTTCCAAGCGATTGAATGGGCATTTTCAACCAACGAAACTAGTAAGAAAGAATTGAGTGTCTGACAGTTTGACTTTGTGCCTGCCGCATTGTCAAAGAATTCAATAAATTACGGAATTAAGCACGGTAATTTTTAATTCGTCATCCACAAGACCTTGAGGAAAAAGACACGTTATAACATGAAAATTTTCGAGGACACCTCTTGTGGTCTCGATGGCACATAACAGTACATGAAGTCGCTATCTTTCACAAGACGGTGCTGAAATACAAAAACCTCTGTGAAGTGTGGCAGACATTTCGCTCTGATCTGTCCCTTGAATTTGTGCTTAGAGGAATGACCAAGAGAATGCTGCTTGTTTCCCTTCTCTTTTTTCGTTCTATCTGTTAATCTTAACCTTTTGTATTGACTTTTGGTTAAGGTTTTCTCTCAATATTTTTCCCCAAAGCGCGACTTGTTTTGAGATTGAAGAATATATTCCTCTTGTAACGTTGATTGTAGCAGTAAAATAAAGTTTCATACCTTGTCAGGTTTGGATCGACGCTGGTACTCAAGTTTTTTTCTCGTATTCCATTGGAACGGGAACCATGACTGCATTAGGAAGCTACAACAAGTTCAAGAACAACTTCTACAGGTACACGAGTACTTCGTCACCATTAACAACCTATTCTGCTTCGTTTTCAGTTCCTCGCGATCGTAAGTATTTGGATGTCACTTTTAATAATAATAATAATAATAATAATAATAATAATAATAAAATTAACGGTAAAAAAGTAAAAAGTATTTCAGACGACTTCAGGTCATCAATGTCAAATGCAAAAAAAAAAGTTAAAGTACGTATCACTCCAAATATGTTCATAAATTGAATAAAAGTGGAAAACTTATAATAAACTATACCGCAGATTATTTTCGACTTTTATAAGTCTCTTTTTTTTTCTGCAGATTCTTAAATATTTTTCCTTGATAGTTTAGGCTGTGAAATTTTGGGCTGGTTGCGAGTGAAGTATTTTGAGGCATTGGTTTTCTCGATATGCCTATAGCACGCATGTCAGAGTTCGATTTCACGTTTTGTAGAAGACGTAAACACAAGGCAATGATCTTCTAATTCTTTTTTTTTCAACCTAGGTCAAATCCTTTTAGTTTTCAACTTCATAAAAATCAACATTTGACAAATACGACAGCCTTCGATTGTGCATCAAAAGAGTATAGCGAGGAAAAACGAGATCTAGAACAATTTGCTGATTAATCACATATTTATCTCAGAAGCACGGTTTTAGTAGGGTATTAGCACCATTCTCACCTTCTTCTCTTTGCCCTTGATTTGCGGCGGGGCAGAGCTAAAACAATATCTCAAAAGACGTTATTGTTTCACCCGACCCAGGAAAATATCTACACGCTGTTCTAAGGCCCGTTTCAAACGTCGTCAAGACTTCTAACCAAAAGCTGCTCATATAGGCAAAGAAACAATTTCTGCTTTCCGTTTTCGTCTTTATCAGGGAGCTTAAGCAACTACGACGACGATCACATCGACGACTAAAAAAAAAAACAATAGGTTTAATGATCAAAACAACAGCTCTGCACGTGCATCACGCTTCTTAGTACATTTATTTGACGTCCACTGCACGACTACGACGTGAAACCTCCTAATTTGACGTTTTAAATACATTTACATTTATTTGACGTCCACTGCACGACTACGACGTGAAACCTCCTAATTTGACGTTTTATTGAGGACGTGGACATACAACGACGAATTTTCCTTCCTCCTTTTGAACCTGAATGAAATCCTTAAGAATTCAACTCCGGGAAAAGTCGTCTGTTTTTGACATATTGAGCGGGTCCAAATAGACGCGATTAAGTTTGAAAGAACGCAAATTCATTTTTTTATGGTCGTTTTCACTGTCGTTGTCGTTGTCCTCACTTAAGGTCCCTGTTGATTCTTTAGATGTCTCTGCTTCACAAGACGCGGGTGGCTATGCAATTTCCCGCCAAAATAACCTCGAGTTGCAAATGGGTTGCCGCACCTGTTGATTAAGTTATTTTACATTGGTGTGCCTATGGCGCGGACGGACGGGCGGGCGTCAGTCACTTGATTACCAAAATTTCTCGGATGGGTAGATTACCACATTTTCTTAGGCATGTGGCTACGCTCGCGCGCGCTTGCTCTTGCGCGTGGAACTTCATTAAAACTTGTAGCGTTATAAGGCTTAGAGGCAAATGATTATGCATTAGCTCACCGCTCACTAAACTTTTGACTCGCTAAGGACTCTGTTTTCCTGAATTTTATTTAGGGATTCCATACTATTCACTGTTTTCAACAGTGGAACAAGTCTCTACGGAGGCTTTCTGATCTTCTCTGTGTTGGGGTTTATGGCCAAGAGACAAGGCGTAGATGTACAAGATGTTGCTCAATCAGGTGAGAATTAGGAAAATATGCCAACAACAACAACAATAAGCTTTATTTGCATGACCATAACAAAGTATTACAGTATTGCAAAAGCTACTTGAAATTACTTATTTATTCCTTGTAAATTAAATATTTAAAATAATTTGAAACTTATCAATCATTGTTTATTTCTAACCATCAGTAGGATTAATTATTCCGGAGATAAGTTTGTCTCTTTATTACATCCACTTTGAAATCACTGGCTATCCGTGCAATCTGATTGGCTCTCAGCAGTGTGATTTATTCCTAAATCGCACCATTTTTTGCGCTAAATCGCATCTGTTCCAAATCGCGTCATTCATGTTCTAAATCGCATCATTTCTGTTTTAAATCGCACCATTTTTGTTCTATATATTGCATCATTTCTGTTTCGAATACAAAATGAGATGTAAAAGCCTTTTTGTTTCGGCTTTTTAACAAACCGGCTACTCGATCAATAAAATATTAGTAGTGACTAAATTCTGCGATTTCAAAATGGATGTAATAAAGTGGTAATTGAACTTCGTGTCGTGCAATTTTGGTCTGAAATCATACTTGTGATTTCAAATCAAACTCGCACTGCGCGCTCGTTCGATTTTGAAATCACGCGTATGATTTCAGACCAAATTGCACTCCACTTAGTTCAATTACCATTATCAATTCAAAGTAAGTTGATATAAATGAAATTAATTGGATGTTAATAAAATAGTCAGGAGAATTCATCAGATGTGATAATAAGGACTCATGTGATTGTAGTCGCAGAAACGGTATTTTAGGATCTAGTTTAGAGAAGAACATATCTCTTATGGAAGAAAAACTTGGACAATCTAATAAAAAGTGAGTTTCATCTTCAATTCTGTTACAATTGCAGAGATTACATAACCTTTCGTCACGTGGTAGATTGTCGTATCTACCTGTCTCAATCCTAAGTTTGTGACTGCTTATTCTCAGTTTCACTAATGTTTTCCTAGAAGGGTTCTTTCTTGTTAAATCTAGGTAGACAGAAGGGCTATAATTCGTTTTGATTTTATAATAAAAGTTAAGTTTTTGTGAATGTTGAAGGGTATGATTCCAGTAAGTGATATATTTCTTTTGCATAAGATCTACATATTGCTTAATTTTACATTTATTCAGTAAATTACAATTAAAGCCTGGGAAATCATAGTAGTCAGTCATCTTCTTAAGACTGGAGTAAAAACTATTTTGACCACTATGATAAAGGTCAACAGATATTTTTAAAGATTGTTTAACTATAGAATTTTCATCTTTTTCTTGGAGATAGTTTAAGTAATTAAGTATCTTGTTATTTATATCAATGATCAGAGGGAATCTGCCAAGTTCAGATCTGCATGCAACATTGGATGACTTGTTATGGACTTCTAAATATCGTTTACAGAAGTGCAAATGAGTTTTTTCGATTCCGGAGTTATCCCATGACTTAAAATCTGATTTCACAAAGGCACCCCAAACTTCACTGTTGTAAGTTAAAATCGGTGAGACCATTGTGTCAAAAATTTTATTTGCAAGGGAAGGTTTCAGTTTACTAAAATCAGTGTGGCGTCTTAGACTAAATAGAGCATGAAGGGCTTTTTGCCGAAGATGTTCAAGTGAGAGTGTAAAATTTCCGGGAGACGAGATGCGAGTCCCTAAGTAAGTATAGTCTTTTACAATGTCTATCATTTCATTTCCTACGTGAAAAACATAATCACATTTTTTTGCGCCTTTTTGGAAAACCATTATTTTGGTTTTCTTGGGGTTGATTTTAAGCATCCAGGAGTTGCAATATGAAGACAATTTGACAATTCGCCGATGCCTTGGCTAACTAAGTTTTAACTCGTTTAAAAATCGGCTCCACATATAGCCGCCTTGAGACCAAGGCTGAGTTCACAATGTTCTGGATAGCTGTTCGTGCCGACCCTGTATAGTATGAACACCTATCCGATATGTGACTCTCCATTTTAGAGATGGGCGCGGCCCAGCTTCTCTTCGTAGCAGAAATCGCGCCGAAATCATCGCTCTTATGTGTAAACAGAAGCCCTATCCGGTGTGGTATTCCTGTGGCTGCAAAAGCTATTTCGTATAGTGTATATAAACATAGCCCAAATGTGTTAACTTTCTTTCTCTCTGCAGGCCCTGGCCTTGCTTTTATAGTTTATCCTGAAGCAGTTGCCCAGATGCCATTAGCTCCACTGTGGTCCGTGTTGTTTTTCTTTATGTTGCTTTTGCTTGGTCTGGATAGCGAGGTAAACGAATGTGAACTATTTGTTAAGCACGTTACACATGTATATCTTTGTGTTTAAAATAGGAAATTTATGCCTTTTCCTAACCATTATTGTCAGTTCTAATAATTATCTAGTTATTTTTGGTTCAGGGCAAAATGATGTGTTTATTAAATTGATACCCCCAGGGGTTGTATGGGTACTCACGTGATGTACTACATTATACAACGAGGGATACTTTCTGTGAAACGTACACAAAATATTGAATCTTTGAATCACGTAATTGCTGAGTGATCCTAATGTAGTTTTAAAGTGCAGTAAGACGCAGATCCAAGCTAGCAAAAAGCCGTTTTAGCTGTTTGTGACTGCTTGAAAAAATTAAATCTGGCCGGTGAAAAATTACTTCCACTGTAACAGGTCTTTCGTCCCATACAACTTCAAGGTCACTTGACCCCCCTAAGTTACCATAGTGACACTGCTACCATACATTTTTGCCATCTGCACAAGGGGGGTTGTCAGAAAATCATTGGTAGTATTTGCCACCTTGATCAGGTGGTGACGATCTGCCATTCTTCAGCGCTTGGCTCATGGGCTAATATTACGGACCTGATCGCGCAAACCATCTCTGAGGAAATCGCAATTTTTTTGGCCTTCGAACGGAACTCAAAAGGTACTTGACCTAAGTTGAAATGTGATAAGGACGTCTGTGGAAATCAATCCCGATACAATGAATCCCTTTATCTGAACGCAGAGCCCAGTGTCAAGATTAGTTCTCAACCTCTTCTGCTACAGAGAGATGTAATAGGGAGCTTGAGCAACAACGACAGCGAGGGCAACGAGGACGGGAAAAAAGCAATAGGTTTAGATAAGCAAAACGGCAACTTTGCACGTGCATCACGATTTTTTGCACATTTCTTTGCCGTCACTGCACGACTACAACGGGAAAGCACCTCAATTCGCGTTTTGTAGAGGACGCCGAGTACAAGACAACTTTCTTTTTCTTTTCCTAAAACTTGATACAGTCTTTTGACGAATTAAACGAGATGGAATAAGCGCGATAAAGTTTGAGGCAACGCGAATTCACTTTTTAAGTGACGTTTTCGTAGACGTCGCTGTCGTTGTTGCTTAAGCCTCCGAATATCCCAAAGCCAAAATGTACCCTCGTTATAATCACATATTTCAAGTGCCTTGCCGTTTTCAGTTTATCTGGGTTCTCCAATGTACGTTCTGGTGCCTGTTTTGACTAAAACTGACAAAAGAGATTTTTCGTTAATGAAAAAAGTTTTGTTTTGTTTTTACCACAGCTGTTGAATAAACGGTATTCTGATCGTTAGATGGGTTGAACTCGCAAGGGCCCGCTCTTCGGGGAAGTAAGAATGAAGGAAATTGGAGCGTCTGAAAATACCGCAAGGTTAAACCATGTCCACCATGTTGCCGTATGATTATGTCGATTATCAGTGGACTAAACAAGGCCGTTTTTTATTTTTGATGGTGACTTTACATCGATGAGCGGTAAAAATACTCATAAAAGTCTACTTTGTTCAGTTTGTAGGAATAGAAGGTGTGGTGACGGCCATTGTTGACTTGTTTCCTCATTACTTCAGACGCGGTTACCGCAAGGAACTCTTCACAGCTTTTGTATGCATAATCTGGTTCGTGATTGGACTCTCCATGGTTACTGAGGTAACACCTCAACTTGTTTCTCTCTGGTTCCTTCTAAGGAAATTTGCCTTCTTTTACGCTTTCTTGTCGCGTTCGTCAGAACGCATCCCAATCTTGGTGTTCCTGTGGTTCAAAGCCATAAATTTTCGAGGTATAGTGGACGACTGCCGATTAGCCGCCCCCACTGATTTTATCAGGGGCATCTTGGCCTGGAAACTGGACTCCTTTCGACTCGATTTCTTTTCTGTTATTGACAAACGCGGATCCGTAATCAATGATCATCTCTAGTTAAAAGAATACGTTATCACAAATCAATGATTGAAAATAGCAAAAAATTATCAAACCGCAAAGACTTCTTTCCGGCTCAAATAAAATTTAAGATGAAACTCAATTTTCGTTGGTCTAAATAATCAGCTCCTAAAGATACTGCAAAGAAAACTGCCTTCAGTTTCATGTAAATGTTACAAATATAATGTTAGACACTTGGTTTTATTAGAGTGATTTTACTTAACCCGTTAAACAGAGAATAACAAAGAAGGCAAAGTAGCTACACGTAAACAAAAGAAGACAATTGAATTAGTGCATAAAAACGCGTAGTATTATACTACCCATTTCACGGGTCAATTAAAATCACTCTATCTTGCAACTTACTTCCATAAAAGGATCATGTAATATTCTGTTACAAAACATACAATGAATCATAGCCTTCTGCTGATGCTTGTTTTCGAGAAATGTTACTGACTTGGTGTAAACATACAATGGGGAAGTTGTATAAAAAAATTGTAATATTGGACTGTAGTTTGTGCTGTGCTCTTTGAATATTACTTGGACACATTTTTTTAACTCTTTTAGAAAATGATAACCGCATGTTAATTGGGTGCAAACAGCCTTTCCAGGCCTATTAAAGCACGGGGTTCACGCCCAAATAGGTGCTGCGGTCAAACCTGTCTTAAGCGGCCAACGTTTGGGAATGGTTAGCTTACTGACCTCTTAACACAGGTTTGACAAACTTAATTTAGAGTTATTCAAGAAAATGAAGGTAGTTAAAGAGCGAGATGTCTACGCCACGACAAATGGAACTCCACCTGTTTCTAGCTGTTCTTGGGCCAATGAAAAAAAGTTAAAGACCACTTGACGCCATACACAGTGCGACTTGTTGCACTAGTTTGGTACGTCTTCCCAAAGTGACCTTTTAACAGTCAAATCGGTTCAAACCTGAATAAAGCGGACCTCTATTAAACGGTCACTTACCAAAGTCCTGGAAATCATTTCCCTTAATTACTGTAAAACTGACCTGTATTAAGCGGTCGTGCTCACCTTTTCCGAGGTCCCAACGACTTATTTTTTGTTATCTTTACCTCCATTAAACGTTCACTTTGGGAATACGTACCATACTAGTGCAACAGGTCGCACTGTGTATGGCGTCAAGCGGTCTTTAACTTTTTTCTTTTGGCCCACGAAGGGGTACTAGAAACAGATGAAGGTCAATTTGTCGTGGGATAGATATTTCGCTCTTTACCTTCATTTTATTGAATAAATCTCAAGTTTGTCAGACCTGTATTAAAAAAACGGTCAACCTGTATTGAGCAGTCCGTGAGCCATTCCCAAAGGGTGACCGCTTAATACAGGTTCCCCGTTTAATACAGGTCAGTTTTACAGTAATTAAGGGGATTTCCGGGACTTTGGTAAGTGACCAGCTTAATGTTTGACTGTACATATAAACTATGAATATCGATGACACAACATAAACAAAACTGAAAACTTTGTTTAGGGTGGTATGTACGTATTTCAGTTGTTTGACGCTTATTCTGGTGCTGGAACAGTCCTGTTGTTGGTGGTCCTTGGTGAATGTTTGGCAATTGGATGGCTTTATGGTAAGGAACATACTCGCAAAGATGCATAACATTTTGTAATTAGTACCCCCGCCCCCGCCCCCGCAAAAGCCGTTGTAAATTACTTGCTGCAGGAGAAGTTATGTCGTTGGGGGAGGCAAGCTGAACAAATAGGAATCTGCTAATCAGAATCCTCGAATCTTATGAGTATACAAGTATCCCTGTTATTTTTCATGTGCAAGTCATTATTGTTATTGCAAAATATCCACTGTGGGATCAGTATGAAGTTTGTTGAGCAACCTTGTGCTTTCTAAGAGGGTCTCAATGGGGTTAACCGATAGGCGTAAAACGGCCAAAAATTTAGCCGATAGCCGTAAAAATTAAAAAATTTTAACCGTTAGCCGTAAATAGCGTAAAAAAGAGTTAACCGTAAAAGTGTTCCCTAGATTTGCTACTTTTAAGGAAGGTACTAAACTCATTTTTATTTCCCGGCTAGTGTGACTCCGTACGCACGTTAGGCGAAGCGCCTTTTAGGTGTTAACCAAGACCTAGGCTCCATTTCCGGCGCTTTCTTGGGGAACTAATTTTTTCCACAGCGAAAGTGTGGCTTCTTGCTGGGGATTAATATTTGCATTTATCAGGAAGCCGTGCCCTCGAAACACTAGTGAAACAACACGCAGAGATGTCACTGTTTGTAAAACACGTTGCCGATAAACAACATTTCCCTGTCTTTCTCGGACGCTACGGTAGACATTGCCATGCCTAGTCCCTGTTCGGCGTCTTCCCACGCAATCTCGGTAAAGGCATTTCAGTGGCGAACTCGCTCGGACCACGTGACCAGAAAGGCATCAGCCGCGCGGAATAATGCGGCCTACTGACAAGGCAACGGCAGACAGTCGTTCCCTACAGTCCTTCGCTATCATTAAAAACACTGGACACGGAAATTTTGTTATTGGCCGTTTTCACACTAGTCCTAGAAATGGATCATCCGTTTGAGACTAGACTGTGTACAGTCGCGCCCTCCCCACAGACATCCCTTCTCCGATTTTTTTCTGAGGGGAGGGGTGGCTGTACACAGGCTATCTGGAACGGATAATCCTGTCTTCAAAAGTCAGGCGGATTGTTCATTCTAAATTAAAACTATCCTATTGCCAAATTAAGACGTATCACCTATCTGACGCGAATCATCAAACGGATAACTCGTCTCACACGAATAATCCTTCTCTAGTGTGAAAACGGCCATTTCTGTTATAATGAATGTCGCGCCCCGGCCTTGAGTTGGGCGTTCGCGTGTCTGCTTTTGCTTTTTCACAACAATTATTTTTAAATTGACTATTGACATTTCTATGTGTAAAATAATATCAGAAGTGCAATACTTTATAAAAAGTGTGATCTATCAAATGTTAAAATTTTTCAAAAGAATAGCTTATTTCATCCCGAGATGATCCGAAGACCTTTATTTTGATTTAAAGATACAAAAAATACAGGTTAATTAATATTTAACTTTTTGAAACAAAAGAAGTTAATTTTTAACTTTTTCGTTAACCGTAATTGAAAAAAATTAACCGATAGCCGTAAAAGAGCCAAAATTTTAGCCGATAACCGTAAAAGCCACCACCCCATTGAGACCCTCTTCTAACTTTTGAATGTCTAATGTGTCTCACCAAATCTCCAGAGCAAACCTTAATCAGTTCTTTTTCAAAAAATCAGCCGAAGATCGTCAGCAGTTGTGTAAAATGATTTGATGTCTTAACCTGCGTATCAGTGATGAGACAATTTTTGAAAACCGTCTGAGGATTCTTTTCAGAATTTGCGTCTCCCAGTTATCAACAACAACAACAACAAACATACACTGAAGCAAATGCATTTGTCCTCTCGAAGATGCGACAACCTCGTGATAAAAAATTCTGATCTCGTTATACTTAGGTATTAGTGTTTTGCTTACTTTCGACAGGTCGTGACCGTTTCTATAGCAACATAGAGGCTATGTTGGGATTTCCGATCAACCCATGGTGTGGCTGGTGCTGGAAATACCTTTCACCAATATTTTGTTTGGTAAGTACATGATGGCTTTCTCTAAGCTTTGTATTTAACCCCCAGACCAAACTAAGGAAAGGAAAGAAGGAGGGAGTCATGGATGAGGGGACAAGAGACATGCCCTCTTTACAATATACATTAAGATACGAACAGTAAGCTCGGACGTCAGCATACAAAGGCTCCACTGGCAGCCGCCATCAATCCATTTATGAGCTTACTGTACCCACCCACCCCATGATGTGAATGATGTGTAACGGTTGGCCACGCCACCGGGATCTACGTCCCCTATTCTTTTCGAGCAGTGGTTCAAACAAAGAAGCAACCAAAACGACAACAACCAAAAATTCGGAAAGCCTGTGGCTTTACTGATGATAAACACTTGATTCCTAAGATTTCTGCCACGTGACTGTTTCACTTGTACTGACAGTAACTTTGGTGTTTTGTCAATTTTATCTCGTAAATAAAATAAAATAATTAGCGTACATTTTAGTAATAAGTTGTGAACAATCACCTCAGTGATCCGTGGGTAAACAAATTACAATTTACAATTTTTTTTTTACAATTCACGTCGATCAAAACTATTTAACCGAATAACAACGTCAACATGAAAAAGGTTCCCTCCGTCCCAAAAAAGCCGTCGCTTCTAAACTGCGACTGCGTCCTCGATGCTCGAAACCTGAAGGTGAACCAGTGAATATCCCGAGTTTGAGTAGCCAATCACAGCGCGCGAAAAACACTATCCACTATTTTAGAAGCTTAAAGCATTACTTAATCTCCGGATTGATTAGTGTTTACACTTCGTGGTTGGTGTTTTGGAGTGAATTTCTCTGGCATCTCAAGTCGAGAAATCTAAGTATAATTTTGCTATTCTTTGCTAGGCTGTATTTGTTTTCTACATTTCTACTTATCAGCCACTCAAGTATCGAGAATACGTTTATCCTGCCTGGGGACAGGCGATTGGCTGGCTGATGACCCTGTCGTCACTATCCTTAATTCCAACGGTGATGATATACAAACTGATGAACACTACTGGATCAATCCAAGAGGTAAATATTTGTCTTTTAATATAGCAATGAAAGCTTAACTGGCTAAGACCCCATAATTTATCAGGGTTTAAAAATGACAGAAGCAGTAATAAAGGTAAAGCGTGCTTGCTCCTTAGATGTTTGTAAGAGTTTCTTGACGTTTAAAGTTTTATTTGGATCAGATAATTGTTAGGTCCCTCTCTTTTTCCCTCGGTAGAATCTATCGTGCAAAGGTTAGAGGAGAATGAGCAAATGACAAATACAAATAAATCAAATAATCGTAGCAAGGTTGAGATTTCTAATTAGTTGTAGGAGAACCCGTTGGTTATTTACCAGTCTGGTCGAGGATTTTTTGATTTTTTGAATTTTGATTCTCACGATGACACTGACCAAATCGTCGTTGTTAGAAGGTATTGTAATTCCCTTTTTATCTGAAAGTTATAAATTCACTCATAGCATCACAACTTATAAATACTTGTTTTAAAGAAAATTTTTTTGTTGTATTTTGCTTGAATTGCAGCGCCTGCGAGAACTGACGATACCCGTTTTGTTCCATCGCGAAGAAGACAATGAGACTTCACACCTTATTAGCCAAGAAAGCAAGGCCTAATGGCTAAGAATATTTTACTTTAAATGGAGTCCCCGGCTTATTCACTCAGGAAGCAAGTGATAAAAGGATAGAATAAAAGGCTTCTGGAACCAAAAAAGCAACTGATAAGTTAACTAAACAGGTTGTAGACCAAAAAAGGAAATTGATTAATAACACGCATGCGCAGGCCATTTATTACAACGCCGATCGGCGCTGCAGTAGGTATGTCTCCAGTGCCCTTGTGAATGAACTCTTAAGATTTGATATTGGGAAGCAAATTTGACCGTTTTTGAGGTTAAGAGGCGGTAGAGCTTTCAACTATCTCCCAGGCCCTGTACGCTTTTGTTTTGAACTATGGACCTCCAGTTAATCTCGCATAAAAACGTTAGGAACTTGATAGTCTTTTCACAGTTTCCATTCGCTTGAGCTGGTTTATACATTTTTAAAATAATAATACAGTCGAACCTTCATGTGCGATCACCTCTTGTAAGCGACCACCTCCCATAAGCGACCGCCAATCCAAAACACCAAAATTATCCTAGTCAATGCCTTACAGTAGGAGCTTCTCGTAGACGAGCATCTCCTGTAAAGAACCACTACCGCTTTTTGGGCCTGACAGTCGATGATTTTCCATTGCTTTAAACCCCTTGTCAGCGACCACTTGACGCCTTCTCTGATCTCTATGTTTGCACCATGCTACTTAAAATATATGAAGAACTTTAGTGACAACATGGAACTACACATATCGTAACGACATTGCATGGAATAAACTACTTCAATAAAGTAGATGTGCCTGGACCTCTTATCGGAAGAGGCCCTCTGTGATTATTCTTGTTTCATTGAACTTACATAGCTTTTTACCATGGCTATATCTAATAAATCAGGGTTAAAGTCAGGAAGCTTAAAGTATTCTGACATATTCATCAAATGAGAGTGGAAGAAGAAAAGAAAGAAAAAGGGAAGGGAAGGCCAGGCTGCCCCGCTACAGTCTTAATGGCTATCTAGAATTTTTTTTTTTATCGACAGAAAAAAACGATGAGAAGCAACGACTTTAACACAGAAACTAAAATAATAACTATAATCTAATTAACACTAGACGACTATAAATAGCTCTGAAGACCTCGTGCAGAACCCGTGTTTCGTAGATCACAGAGAGTCCAAAGGTTCGAGATTGAAACACTCTGCCGATTTGGGGCTATATTGATTTTATAACATTTTTTTTAAACCTCTTTTCGTCTTAGAACATGTCAGAAGGCTTTACTATACTCAAAACAATTTATACTTGCTTTCCTCAAAACGAAAAGCAGGAATCTACCGCGAATTGAACGTCATAATCGTCATAATCATAATGTGTAAAACATAACGTCATCGTTACAGGATTTTGCGTGCTGCAGATTGATTTGATTTGGATTGTTGTACTCTCAGTGCTTCCTGATTTGCTGTTTTTCGTGTAAAAAATATTGAAGCACTAACCCGCTGTTTAAAGACCATGACCGACAGCCCATATCACCGGCTTCGCGGGAGAATAACATAACTGGATCATCCATTCACATCCGGACAGGATATCAACGCATGAACAACTGAAAAACCTTATCACTTTACTCCCCGAAAAAGGAAACACAGTCAAAGCAGAGGAGTAAGATTTGACCTTAATTCGGCACTGTTTTAGTGGTGCAGCTTTGTCTGCACAAATAAACGTGATCTGAATCGTAAAATTTTGCGAACCTGTTACTTGTCAGATACAACTTAAATCAATAGAGACAATATACACTCCGATCAAATGAAAAACGAATTTCATTTTCTTTTTTACTCCTCTCAGTCACGAATAAGGGTTAATTTTCATTGTATGTTGTAATTTTGGACCCAAACATAAACCAATTATCTGTTGACAAGTTGATTCGCATTCCAGGCCTGTTTTAAACGATTTCTTCCCGAGATAATTATTTGACCTGCGGCTAGAGGCAAACGGTTTCCTCCTTTCGATTATATCCAAATCTGTATCAAGGAGCAGTTTGTAGCCACCGTAATGTTCATCTATATTTCTTCTATTGAGTACAAAAGACCGATGCTCGTATACAGAAGACAGCAATGTCCATCATCTGCCCCGGTGTTAGCTATCATGAGGCCCTTGTTATTCTGAACTTTAACGAATTAGCAACCCACCATGACGAAATATGAGTCACTTTTTCACACAAGTGCAGATGACAACAATCACCGCCTTTACAAGCCATTACCTGCGCCTCACGAATCTACCTATTCATTAAGGCTGGCGCGACCTTTTAACATGCCACGTTTTAAAACCGAGCTTTTTTTTTAGAATAGTTTTATTATCTTTTCATGTCTTAAAGTAACTTATTGGTTAGAGTTTTTGAATTTCGTATTTAACCTTTTTAGCATCTCATCTCTTGTTAGCTTTTTTATTCCTTTCAATTAAGACAGATTAGTTAATGTTTTTGATCTATAATTTAATTTTTGTAACGTAAATACGCAATTCAGTTTTCGAACTGCTATGTATTTACGAATTAATAAACTTCAAACTACAAACTTCAAACTTCAAACAACCGACAACTAAGGGTACACGAACAAAAGGTGGTCTGCCTGTGGTTCCAAGGAAAAGAATGGGAGAAGAATCTTGTTCCTCAGTTCAACCTTATCCTCAAAGTCTTCTCAAAATTTATATACTAGAAAAAACCTGACCACGAGGATGGTTCCACATCATTTATTGTAAGACGATGGGATATTGGAATCTTTGGAGCCCGTTTAATCGTATCAAGATGCATTTCGTTCTGTGTCCAACCTCTCCCGGGTTGTCACTGTTGAAAGACCTCAAAAAGTACGCTGGCTAGAATCCGTGTACCGCGCCCTTTTTAAGGTCTTCCGGTTCAAGTGAAATATTGAAAGAGGTATTTTAAAACAAGTTGTTAAGGATTTCTGTACCATGGATTGCTCTAAAGGTGTATTCAACGTATAGCTTTCGCGTTTGCCCACTGGAATATATATATATATTTTTCATCAGAAACTGCTTTCATATTCGAACTTCTTGATATCAGCACCGATCATATTTTACGACAGAACAGATAATAAGGTTGGTCACATGAAAAAACTAATCTTGCATGACGAATCAACATGGATTTTACCGTGAGGAACGTAGGTCCTAATCAAACTATGTTAATGAGTTATGGTTATCTGTATATCAGTAAGCGTACTTCTGAGGCGTGTTAACCGGAGCGAAAGGTTTTTACAAATACGCGGGGGTATTTGTTGAACGCACAACAAACTAGACACTTCTGGACCCTGTGGTAAATCCTTTTCACTACTCAGTGGTTAGTGACCATCTCATTGCTGTTAATTTGACGGAGAAGTCACCGGTATGTAACAAATTAGTATAAGCACATGGCACGCTGTAGGATTGTATTATCTTTAGACCGGCAAATCCAGCATTTTGAGACTAAGCTTTAATTTGGTCGCGTTTGATGTCGACAGAAAACTTGTCCCACAAACTGACTTCCGTCCGAATTACTTAGCATTAATGCGTTCAACGGGCTAGGCAAAATTGCCAAAATGGGAAGAAACAGCTGAAAGCGAGTTAACTTACAACTTGTTTTAATGTTGATTCGAAGTCTTGGAGCCAATATCTTTCAACAGATCTTAAGATTACAATTTACCGGCCTCGGTCAGTTCACCAAAGAAGTTAATATTTAAAATACTTGGGATGACCGTACTATTTTAAAACCAGTCGGCCTTCAAAGATATTGATCTCGTGTTTGGCAAAACTCGCACGTTTGTTTAGTGTTTGTAATGTATGTACTGGAGGATGCAAAAACATGATAAATTACTTGCACCGGCGAATTCAGTTACAAGCAGATGAAACCTCTACCGATTTGTGAAGCTGCCGATTCATTACTGATCTTCTTAAAACGAAAGACACTAAAACACTAAACATGGTCACTGTTGTTATCAACTTCATAATTCAGTTTGTTACGTCTCGATTTAAAGGTCATTGTTGAAATATTAGGCCTGTCTTTATTAAAAGTTCAGAGCTCGTCAACTGAAAAGAGAAATGCTTTAAGATGATGTATTATTATGTACTAAATATCATCTACGCGACTTTCTGTCACTAGAATTAACGTATTCATTCTTGTCAAGCCGTTAAGTCTAATTTTGGACTAAATGTTCGCAAGGTAAAGCAACGTGCATCTGCAGCCGGTATCAAAACTTAAATACTGACAGAACTGCGTGCATAATTCAGTATTAATGAATTGCACTGAGTGAAATTGATCGATAATATTCGTACATTTGGTGCTTTGGAATGCATTCGCATTTTGAATGTATTCAAATTTTATTCATTGCCTGCGGTACAATTTGGCCCAGACACAAAACTTTCAGGAGCCAAATGTTCCGGCTTAGGGAAATGCAAAGGTTGGCGGTCGATTTTGCATTTCCGACCATCCTTTTTCTTTAGAAATGTCTCAAAAGTTTGGCCTCAGACGTTTGCCCATTAGAGTCGACTGCTTAAGCTTCTTTCAGTGCAGAGAGGGACTAATCATGCCCCAAACAATTTAAAAAAGGAGCGGTAAAGTCAAAATGCCTTTGTTTAAATAAACCGGGTCTATTGTGTTCATTCATTCACGTTAAGTAGTAGACTCGATATTGAATCTTCAAAGGCGCATAATGTTAACCATAAGTATAGATTGGCAAACAAAAACCCATCGATATAGACGCTTTTGCGGCTTGACTTTTTTCAAGGAAAATAAAAACTTATCGGGCATAGGGTAAGTCAATAGTTAACATTTTTTTTGCTCTGTACAATGTTATCTTGGAAATATGTGTATAATTTTGCTGCTTTTTATTGCATGATGTTGTGTTAAATTACTTCTCCGTATAAAAGACAGTGACCTGGAATACAAGATGGGCGTTGAAATCAAGGAGCGAGAGACTTGGTCGTCAAAGTTGGATTTCCTTCTCGCTTTGATGGGTTTTTCCATTGGCCTTGGTAACATATGGAGGTTTCCTTATCTGTGTTTTAAAAATGGTGGAGGTAAGTGCAGAATTATGGACATATGATGAAAAAAAAATTGACTTGTAGTTTTTGAATTGTGGGAGTTAGGAGAATGTCGAGGTCAATGTTCCAGAAATAGTATAGTCGTTGTGACAGAATGCAAATATTCTAATTAATATTCTATATTTTAATAATTATTATTATACATTGTGCTCGTTATCCGTCTTCTCATTGGCTAAGAGTCTACAGCTAATTTTGGAAATCAGCGCAACCTACAGATTAGTTAGTTATCTGCTAGCAGATAACTGACTTATTTGGAGGTGGGGCATGCAATGCATGATTTCCAATAACTTAAAGACAATGTAAAATAATATCCTAACCAATCAAGGTCTCGGTAAGTGTTATCAGCCTCGGCCTTCAGCTCGCCTGATAACACTTACCTCGACCTTGATTAGTTCGGATATCACAAAAACCTCATCCAATAATTGTTTAAAAACGAGCGAAAAAGCTAAAAGAAAGGTCAAATATAGTAAACATTATTTGTATTAAGTACACCGAGCGTCAACAGCCAGGGGCACCCAACGAGAATATAGTTCAAAACCACTTAAATATATAGCATTGTTGAACGTATTTTATTATTTAAAAGGTAGATATAGGCATATTTTTATCCCCTAAAAATTTTTCATCTGTTCGGATTTCCTAGCTGAAAGTCTAGTGATCAGAAAATTATTGGGATCAAAACTTAACTTTTCGGAAATTTCAGCCAGAAAAAGGGTTCCCGAAAATTCTAGGTGACCTTTTTAGGTTAAAAATCCGTTAAAAATGGGCTATTATACCATTTGTTAGATGTTCGAAAATCCCAGGAGAGGCAGGCAAGCAAGAAATTTTACAACAAATGTTCCCAAAAATTCTAGATCTCAAATCGTCTTCCGAACAGATATTTTCCAAAAATTGACGTTGGGTGCCCCTGAATAGCAAATGTAAATGCTTCACGTACGCTCTAGTTGGTTGGCTCGAACGTGAATGACGGCCGAGCAGCCGTTTTAAAGTGGAAGGAGCGTAACACCACACTTTGCTGGTTTGATCACCAGGTGATACAACAAAAAAACCATTTGGTCCGCTGGCTAATGATTTGTGCGGTGTATAATATAATAACTGTTCATCTCAGTGTCTGAGAAAGAGGTCGATATACTGGGGTCATATCTTTGCCTTCATTTCTTGCCTCATTGCTTATCATTCTTGAATCAAGCTTTTAAAATAATTTCTGTTAATACTGAAAGAACATAGCTTAGAGAATTTCGCTTTGAAAAAGTTGAAATTTTAATATGAATGTGTTCCTCATTAACGTTTTTTTCCATTCAGAAACTTTATACTTAATGATGGCAGATATTTTCCTTATATTGCAAAGCACAAAATTGCTCAGGTTAATCAGCTCTTTCAGCTTTTGAATACAGTTCTGTTATTCACGTATATGGCGACGCCATACGAGATGAGCAAAGATTCCCCCAACATTATATAACCCTTTATGGGGTTAGGTTCCGCTCTATGTCAATTAAAACGAACTGACTTGCAGCTCAAAAAGAATGAAATTTTAGCCTAGTAAGTAAAGTAAATTTTTTGCGTAAAAAGAGATTGATTTCATATGAAATCAAGAGAGCAGCCTTAAAGTAGAACTACAGCCAGTAACTCGAAAAAGAGGACATGATTTTTAGGTGTCAGTGACTGTTTATATCAGGTGAGCCAATCCGGCCAGCTAGGCAGGCTCGGCTAGACTGTTCACAGTCCCCTATTTTTTCGTGAGATCGTTTAGATATACCGCGTCTTACCGTCACGGGTATATTGATTTTCAAATGTACCGAGGGGGCGGGCGTCGGGAATTATAGCTCTGGGGGAGGGGGGGAGGAGGGGCGAAAAAAATAGAGAGACTGTAATAAAATCACTGCAGCTCGCGTTCACGGAGCGCGTTGTACCAGCAACGCAGGCGTTTGATTGGTCATTAGGCAATAGATGTTAATTTGCGTTGACAACGGGTCTAATCTAAGTTGCCGACATTGACAAGTCGTTGACAAGTCGTCGTTTCCATAAAAACGTACGCTTTCATACCGTAAGGCACATCTTGCGCAAACACACGAAGGATTTTTGGTATTTTGATTAGGAAAATGTTTCCTTGTGCATGTTTGCCGGTTTTATTTAGAGGAATGGCCCAGAAACATTATAAAATCACTGTTTCGCAAGGAGATATTTGTAAACACGCGTAATCGATGCTAAACGTGTTTGGCATGTTTTTCATCACCAGCGGAGTTTCTTAATTAACGAATGGTAAAAGGCATGAAATTCCTGTCTCGCCTCCTGAACGCGAGATGCAGTGATGTTAATATTACAGTCCGTCTATTTTTCTCGCCTCCTCCCAAACCGCCCCCGCCCCCTAACAGAAAGCGCTCGATCTCGATGATCTTACGGAAAAATAGAGGACTGTGAACAGTCTAAGGCTCGGCTCGTGACTTGTCTGTCATATGATGTTCGCTATGTTTATATGAGAAGGGGGACTGGCCTAGCCAGCTTGCCGAGATCTCGGTAAATGGGCATGCAACAAGCCATCCCGGTCAACCAGGCTGGCTCACCACATATAAACAAACTCTCAAAGAGCTATTCTCATGTATCTATGCAAAGCTCTACTTTTCGCCAACGATCAGAGCGATACAAGCCAGCCTTCACACTCTGTTGTCTCCCCTAAAACACTCTCATTTTCATTTAATTTTCAATGCATTTAGCAAGAAAGTAGCAATTGTGAGACACTACGTACTTTAAAATATAACGTTTCCTTCTGAGGACGGGACCGCTATTTTGTCATTGGTCATTCAAAGCACACGAAGCACCCTGTGAGCATAGTCTCGTTTTGTCTTGTTGATCGAGGAGGAGAAAAAGAAGCCCTGCCTGAATCGCGTCAAACCTAAGTCGCCGAAGTCCAAACTTCGTGACCATTCAATTTTGTTTTCTCTCATCAAACCGATTTTTTTTGTGAGTGCGATCATCTGATTATTGATAAACCGATGGTTATAACCAAACCCGTTGTGGCAAGCGCACGGCTATTAGGCCTGGGGTAGAAACTATTTTGGAAATCAGCGCATTCTTAGATATGCAGTGTTTTTCTCGGTTATCATTAGATCCCATCGACCGTAGCCCCTTCAGACACCTCATGAAATTTACACAACTTAGTTGTTTTACCTTTTACTTTTTAGGGTTAAGCACTGCCTTTACTGATTAGGGTTAAGCACTTTTTCGAAACTGGTTAGGTTCTTTTTTCGTGGGTTGGGGTTGATGCTATATATACTTTCACACCAATTTGTTTTTCTTTCAAATTGAAGAGACTTGCTCTTTCATGAACGTTTCCAGCTTGAAATATCATCTAAGTGTGATATAAAGGCAGAAAACAGTTCTACCTTGTGTAAATTTCATAAGGGGAGAAAAGGGCTACAGCCGATGGGATCTAATCCTGACCGTTTTTCTCGACTGGTACTCCGAACACGAGAAACCGAAAGAAAGACTCTGCTTACAGGGTGTAAACGAAGGCGCAGCCGTTCTCAAGGGCGCGGTACCTTCAAAGCAGAAACATACCTTCATTTTTTCCGTTACACTGGGGATCGAGCCATCGACATTCCGCTTTTCAGTCCGGGGCCTGTTTCTCGAAATTCCCGATAACTTTTCCGTCCCGAAAAGCTGTTCTATGTTTGCCGTGTTTGCACTCAAGATCAAAGTTTCAATAATTTTGAAATTGATACTATGAAACTATCAGTTAATGAAGCAAAGTTGACCGGTGTGTGAGCTGGGAACTGTTGTACTATTAAACTGGTTTTCATTTCAAAATTTGCCTTTGGTTATCGTGCCTTTCGAGAAAGGGGCTCCTAGTGCTCTAATCTCTGCCCTAACTAGTCCATGAACTGTGCTAACTTGTGAGTAACTTCATATTTGCAGGTTGCTTTCTCATTCCCTATTTGATTTGTTTGGTCGTGGCTGGTGTACCCGTTTTAGTGATGGAGATTGGTCTGGGACAATACATGAGTCAGGGTGGAATCACGGCTTGGAAAATCTGTCCAATTTTCCAGGGTGAGAACAATGCAAATTAAATCTCGTGAACGAAAAGATTTGCTCGGATAACGAAAAGTAAAAAGTATCTTGAGTTCTTTTTTTTTTTTTTAACAAACCAAGCCGAAAATTATTCCCTGGGAATAATTTATCTTAAATATTTTTACAAATATTCGCTAACCGAGCCTTTAATGGCTTGTTCACATGCCAAGCACTTCAATGTAAGGCTAGCTGTCCTCTAATATCACCTGGATGGATCAGATTGACTATGCTTAGACAAGAACAATTCAGTAGTGGTGGTCTTTAAACAGAATTGCAAATTCGTCTTTACGTTTTTGTGTGCCTCCTTTTCTAAATTTTTTTTAATTATGTCGACATTGGTTGGAGGAACAAGGACAATGCTGTGCTCGAGAACAATTTAAATTTTCTATAAAACAAGCTGCTAAAATTATATTAATACCGTTCTTTCCTTTCATCCCGGCTACCGATGAGCTCGAAGCTTTAGACTGTCTTTACCAGTCCAGCACAAGGTTTACCGCTACTGTTATGAGATCTCTACCCACGGTACCAATCACAATCAGTTAAAGATTATTAATCAATTTAGCTTTTAGGTTTAACAATCTTTTGATGGCTTTTTATCGTTTGTTTTGTCATTTTTTTATTGTTAATGTTTAAAGCCGTGACTGTAAAAAAGATTGAATTGTTATTTGTTACCATCGTTGATTCTGTCTTATTTTGAATTGTAAGATTTTCCAGGACCTCTTTGAAAATCACATTAACGAATTAGCCTCTTGGTTAAACATTAATTAACATTAATGAATTATTATTACTATTATTATAATTATGATTTTTATTACCATTAGGAACACATTTATATAGTTATGAGAGTTTGGTACTGACATACCCGCACATGTTACCGTGGTTATACTCTTAACAAACGCACTACTTAACCATACTATATGCTACCTTTTGATTTTTGAATTGTTATAGTTATATCAACAAACACGTCAAATTAACTTACTAATTATAAAGTTTTTTTTTTCTCTTATCAGGAATCGGCTATGCCGGTATACTTGTGATGCAGTACATCAACATTTACTACACCGTGATTCTTGGCTGGGCTTTATTTTACATGTTTGCTTCATTCCAGTCGACTCTTCCATGGTCTCGATGTGGTAATGAGTGGAACACGCCAAACTGTGTGGATTACACTAGTGAAAGTCAACCCGCAACTGAAATAAATGACACCATTAAGAACCTCACCATTCTTGCCAACCAAACCATTGCAAATGGTTCAAAAACAATATCAGCAAGCCAGGAATACTGGGAGTAAGCGAAGTCAATTATTAAACTGTTTGTAATGACAAAGTATGGCTGGTGCCACATATATATAAAGTTTGTAGTATTAGGAGTCAAACATTTCTTTCTTGACATATACAGATGTCTATCAAGTTCTTGTCATGTTGTTGACTCCGTTTTGAGTACTTCTGATTAACGTTCGATTTTCAGCAGACCATTTGTGACAGGGAAAACCTGCAATTAGCATTATTTAATTTATTTATTGTGATTTGTTTTACCTGACCAAGAAAGCTGTCATTCAGGGTATCTCTCTCCAGCTAGTCGATTTCCGAACCTGCTCTCAGAGGCTTGTTAGCTGCGCCGGTATCGCAGAGGTCAAAGGTTCGAATCCTGTACAAGCGTGAATCCTTCCAGGTTTTTTTTTCGAAACTGCAAAAATTATTTTAAATCTTTTCTTTCTCTCAGGAACAGAGTGTTACGCGTTTCTAATGGTTTAGACGAACCAGGACCAGTGAACTGGGATCTAGCCTTATGCCTGTTGTTGGCCTGGATTATCTGCTATCTATGCGTTTGTAAAGGGGTCAAGTCAAGTGGAAAGGTGAGCAAGCAGTCACAAGGCTGCAAACTTGCTGCCCGGTGGATGGAATAAGAATGCAATGGACCCCTCTTTGGTTTTCATTTCAACGCAACATTACTGATGTTTCAACGTACGGTTTCTGCAAGTGCATTCTCCTGTTTTTCTGAACTAAAGTACTATGTCTCTGTGTTTGTCAATATTTTTTCAAAAATGGTCATATTTGCGAACCGCTGACTTCAAACCGAGGGTAGTCCGACTGAGGGGGTGCGGGAGGCACAAGGTTGAATTTGCACGTTTGTAAGTAACATCTATAACATTAAAGAACTGAAATTTTCTTATGAGGATACATGACAAGGTTTTAACAGTAATATAGGACTTTGGAATTCTCATAAGTTGCCAGAAAGTTGCTCCAAATAGCAAAAGTTGCAAAACGTTGCTAAGCAACTTCTGACTGAGGTCGACTCCAGGACTTTAAGACTCTTGAGGTTGGCCTTGCCGTTGCCTTTTTTTCTCGTAGACAAGAATCTCACTCTTAGTTAATGACCTCGTTCTGTTTTGCAGGTTGTGTACTTTACTGCAACAGCTCCATATGTTTTACTGACAATAATCTTGATCCGAGGCGTTACCCTGCCAGGAGCTGGTGAGGGAATAAAGTTTTATCTCACACCTGACCTTTCAAGGCTCAAGGATGGCCAGGTAACTACCTTCAATGTTATTGGTTTGAACCGATTGAATGAGCATTTCGTTTTCTTCAATGTGATCGTTTGCATCTTGGGGCTCCAGAATAGACCTTTTTAGCTTGCATGTTTTGTTTTCCCATTTCAGACAACATAATGGTACCCCAGAGAACTGTTTCTTTCAAATGTCGTCATATGCACGTGCATGCACGTGCATATGTATGCGTAATCAATGAAAAGACAAAAGGAAAATTCCCTGGAGAGCACCACGCGGTCTGAATTGGGAAAACAAAACATGCAAGTTAAAAAGGTCTATTATGGCTATGAACTATGAGTTTTAGAAAAAAATCGGAATTAGCCATCGTAAGTTGAAAGATGTCGACGAGATCCCTCATATGTAACGAGAAGGCGTTACCATCCTTTTAGATAAGAAAGAGAAACGCAAATTCTCTACTTATGTATAAGCCATAAAACGTGTTTGGGGGCACCTATTGCTATGATGGTACTAAAATGGGCAAGGCCAAGAATGCTGCTTGTTCGCTTCTGTTACCCCCGATCGCCAATCTTAACCTTTTAAAGATGACTTTTCTACTAGGTTTCTCTCAATGTTTTCCCTTTAAGTGAGACTCGCGAGTTTGACGAATATAGCACTTTTGTAACCTGCTTGCTTGTCAGGTCTGGATTGATGCTGGTACTCAAGTATTTTTCTCGTATTCCATTGGAATGGGAAGCATGACAGCATTAGGAAGCTACAACAAGTTCAAGAACAACTTCTACAGGTACACAAGTACTTCGTAACAATAAAGCATACGCACGAGTACTACTTTTACTTTTTTCGGGTTAATTTGCCATAGCCCCATTCGATATATTAAAATTCTAACATGACTCCGAGGCTTTCTGGTCATTTTTCTGTATTTGGTTTGGTTTTCTTTGTGCTCAAGTTTCTTCTAGGAATTGTGAGACAAACGAGTCGAGACGACGGAGTCATCTCCATTCTATGTTTCACTCGTTTCACTGTTAAGATGAACTCAACAAATTGGCCTGCTCCCAATGTATGAGTTCTCATAACTCAGTTGGTAGAGCACTGCAGCGCTAACGCAGCGGCCACGAGTTCGAATCCCGCTGAACCTTCAGTGAATCTAAACAACCGTGTTTCCCCCGGCGCTGTACCATAGGGGAAGATCAAAGAAAACAAACTTGTTAACTTAGGGTCTGTTTTCATGAAGGTGCCTGACCTCAGATAGGTGAGGTAACGTGTGGCGGGTCATCTCACCTATCATGTAAACGTGATCAAATTAAAATGAGAGATTATATGGACAGGCGGGTTACCCCACCTAAGCGGGTTACCTCACCTACCTAGGGTCCCCCACCTCCATGTAAACAAGCCCTCAGAGGTCCTTTTCGGGTAAGTCTGGTTGGAAGCATGTTTTTCGTTTATTTCCGTTAAATATCTAGCCAAGATTTCATTTAATCAAAAAATGACTCCATTAAGTTGGAGGTCCTTGGTTTAATCGTTTTTGCAGAAATTTAAGACGATTTTTCGTTTTTTTTTTAATTTACAAAAAATTAAGGGTGGACGTTTAAAATGTTGGAAAAGTAAAAGATATTGGAGTTTAGGGTTGTTAAAAATTAAAATAAGATGTGAATAAATAGTAGACAAATATCAGATAGTTTGTATAGCTTTCCTACCCTCATTTAATTCCTCCCAAATCAACATCATTTCCCATAAAAAACAACGATCAGGCTCCCTTAAGGTCTGTTTCTTCTTACAAGGGGACTATGCTATTGGCAAATGGTATTTCAGCAGAGTACTCCTCAGTTGGCTTCTGACACTCTAAAGACTGTGTTTCGCTCTTGTGTAGGGATTCCATAATCTTCGCGGTTTTCAATAGCGGAACAAGTTTCTATGGAGGCTTTCTGATCTTCTCTGTGTTGGGATTTATGGCCAAGAAACAAGGAGTAGATATAGAAGACGTTGCCAAGTCAGGTGAGAAAATGTTTCAAGGTAAACAAAGTTAAAAGGCTCCATTGACAGTTCCATGTCTTTCTTTCCCTCTATAGGCCCTGGCCTTGCTTTTATAGTTTATCCTGAAGCAGTTGCCCAGATGCCATTAGCTCCACTGTGGTCCGTGTTGTTTTTCTTCACGTTGCTGTTGCTTGGTATGGATAGCGAGGTAAAAGACTTAACAAAGCCGGTTTTAGCTGTATTAAAGTACATAAATTTTGTAACGGCTGTGTATGTATTTGTTTGAGGGACGCCTGTTAAAACCCCGCTATAATGAGACTGGGACTTATTGAACTACTATCTGGAAGAGGGTTTGAAAAACACCGAAAAGTTACCTGATCGCAGAACACCTATAAGTGGGAAGGTTCATAATTTTAGTCCTTACAACGATGATCACGTCATTGAACTATGATTTTTTTTAACAAAATCAGTCGGCCTTATCTCCTTCATACTTCTTTTATTGGTCAAATCGAGGGGACCTAAAAACCTAACAGAGCTGTTCGAAAAGAATAGGGAAGTCTCCCCGCTGGTGTGATCTAACTTGCACATATCATTCATATCATGGGCTGGGTTGGGTTACAGTGAGTTCATAAATTGACTGAAAGCGGTTGGTAGTGGCGCCCTTGACGTCCGAGATTAAGACATGTTAATGACATAATGTTAATAGGACGCGTCTGTTTTTCTCTAATCTATTTCATTTCATTTCTTTTATTAGAAATACCTATTAACGTCTCACTTTTTCAGTTTGTAGCGATAGAGGGCGTGGTGACGGCCGTGGTTGACTTGTTTCCTCGCTTCTTAAGACGCGGTTACCGCAAGGAACTCTTTACAGCTTTTGTATGCATAATCTGGTTCCTTATTGGTCTCTCCATGGTTACTGAGGTAAGTATTTTGACTTATAGCGATAGTCTCCTTTGTCAAATATTGACCTCTGCAGTTTTAGAACAATGTGCAGAAGCAGGTTACCAGCAAATCATTGTAAAAAAAAAATAATAAAAAAATTAGTAAATTGCTTTTTTACCCACGAAGCTCTTAAGAGTTCATATGAACTCGTTTAAACGTGTCTGTGCGTTTCTGGTCTAATTGGAATTTGGAAGTGTTGGTGTTTGAGGAGAGGGAAGATCTTATCTACTAAAGATCGATCCTATCAGCCTTCGTGTTACGAAGTCCATCGCTATAAAAGAGCGTTTTCACTTACATGGCCAGCATCTATGCTAATTTAGTGGGTAAACTCATCGGTAACGTTTACAATATTAAAATTTATGCATTAAATTAGTCCTTGTTTTGATTTTGTATAGATATTAAATGACCAAACATGTTGAATTATTTTATCAGGGTGGAATGTACGTGTTCCAGTTATTTGACGCATACTCAGGAAGTGGTTCAGTTCTTTTATTGGTGGTAACCTGTGAATGTTTAGCCATTGGATGGGTTTATGGTAAAGTGAATGGCTCAATTTAGATATCTGGGAAACTGCCCACCTACCCCTCCCCTAAGCTAACATTAACACTCACTTCTCACTTAGGGCAAAATGATGGCTTAGGGGAGGGGTAGGTAGGCAGTTTCCCGGAAACCTAAATTGATCCTGTTCAACCATCTCAGTACTAAAATATTTATTTCAAATAGAAATCAACAAAACAGAGAGAGAAAAGGGCTGCAAAAAATTTCCTTTTCATCCTTGAAAAAAATGAAAGTCTAGCAACGTTCGGTTGTGCTGGTTTTAATCTTGATAAATTCAAATGAAAATCATATTTCTTTCATTTTCTACTTGGTGATCTGACAAAACCATAACTAGTACAAATCATGTTATTCACAAGCAAGACCTTCTAGACAGGTTTCTTTTCTCAGTTTTTGTACGAAGAGGAATGGTCAGCATTACGGAGCGACTGTTCGAACCAGGACACTTGGAAGAAGATTATCCAATCACAGTGTTTTATTGAAAACAAACGATTCTCACGGTTTTTTTGCTAACGAACCAAAAACATAAATTTCAAGCCTGTTTCCTGCGACGTCAGGTATTTTCAAACGAGTTGAACCTTGAATTTTACTGGTCCTTTTGCAAAAAAAAAAAAAACTTGAGAATCTTTCTTTTGTTTCAAAAAGCATTGTGATTGGGTAATTTTCATCTAATTGCCCCGGTTCGAGTTGTCACACTGTAAATATATACCGTGTGCCTGTATGGGTAGTAGGGAAGGTAATATTGTATTGAAAAATTTCACAAGGAAAACTCATCACCCAAGGAAAAACCCATCCAAGCAACTTAGTACATCACGGCCTAGTTTAAGTTCTCCCCAGAGTCAAATACTTAATCACTCTCGTTTATCCCATTTTTTAATGAATACTGTTGCTTTAATGCTTTTTACTTGAAGTTTCATTACTTTAACCGGATTTAACGGAAACTGGCATGAACCAGCCCCTGAAAGTTGAATGAATGATATTCATCATTGTGTTTTTTTTAATTCTTTTAATTAACAGGCCGACGCCGTTTCTATGACAACTTTGAAAGCATGCTTGGATTTCGTATCAATCCCTGGATTGGCTGGTGTTGGTGTTTTCTTGCACCGATATTTTGCATGGTAAGAGTGCCATCGCCATTCAGAATTAAACGTATGCCGTGTGCCTGTATAAACATAACACCCAACTATTTAACTTCCCAATGGAGAAGACGGGCTACGTATTTTACGACACTCTTCGCAAAGCAAGCTTATCAGTTGCCTGGAAACCAACAATGCGATGACGTCAAGGCGAATACCAACCAAACTCGATAGAGTTTTAGCAAAGAGATTCACAGGCGGTGCACCTACGAGCTTCGCGCTTGACCAGATTAGAGGCTTCGCGCCTCGCTCCCCTCATTATTGTTATTATTATTATTATTATCACTATAAAAAGGTCGCCACTTTATTCTACCATTTTTTATACTTAGCAATAGTGGGGATTTTTCGTGATGATGAGGAAAACATTGTTGGTTCTTTTGTGTGTTTTGGCATGGTTATTGTTCAGAGTCTTTCAGTCTTTTGCATTCTGAGCTCATTTGATGATCGCATGCAGGTCCGCAATACCAAGAAACAAACCAAAATGGCCCTAATCATTCCAAAATCGGAGAAAATACTGATTTAAATCGATCTCGAGTGGAAATATCAATAAAACTGAAAAAATAATTTATTTAATCAGTATAATTAAGAGAAGAGTGTTGCGTAGTTGAGAATAAAGACTATCTGTGCTCAATTTCTTTTTTATTACCTCGTAGTTCATCTTCCTCTTCAACCTTGTGACCTATTCTCCACTTTCGTACGGAAGCTACAAATATCCAGGCTGGGGACAGGCGATTGGATGGATTCTCACTGCGTCTTCGTTGTCTTTAATTCCAGCTGTCCTCATATACAAACTCCTGAATACCACTGGAACTATCAGGGAGGTAACAACAAACAAACTAAACTTAATCAAAGATATTTATATTTGTTTTTCAGTTGTCAAACTTGGTGCTTTGTAAGAAATGCTGGAATCTCTTGGGGCCAACTGTAGTGTGCCAATAGCTTTTATTTTCATATGAGCTCGGTTTCATTTGTTGTTTGAGCAGGGGGAATATATGACATAATAATCCACAAATACATGTAGGCTATCTGAAAAGCTTTGATTGTTTGAAGGGAAGCGCGGGGCTAACGAACGCACGAATATGCGAAAGTAGCAAGTCATATCATTAGTGGCATATTAATGCTAAACCCCTTGCAATTAAATGTATATCCCCCGGGCATTTTAATTTTTTGTTCATATGATTAACTTTTTATTCAAGTCCTTTTAAACGCGAAGCTATAAGTCAGGTTTAATTGTTGTGAATTCGAACAATATTCGCTCGTTCGTCCTGTTTTCGAAGGCAAACTTGTTATTGACTAGAGATGAATATTCAACATTGCCAGAATACGTTTTTTAAAACTGCAAACCTGTATGCTGCTGTTATTTCTTGGTAAAATATTGGGCTCTTTCAGCCAGTTACCCTAAACACATTCCAGGACCCGTTGACTTCTTTGAATTTTGCATTGTACTTATAGCCGCGATACCCCACCCAGATTTTTTTAGGCAAATAAATCGGTCAAACAATCTTCTGTGTGCAAACTGAAATTGCAGCTGGTGGCTCCCTTCTCTTGATAACTAATAGAATGTAATGGTTATGAAGCCTGTGAGACTATTTTGTTATTTGTTTTCGTGGACTTGACGATGCATGACGTTCAACAGCATTCCTATCATTTTTATCTTTATTGACCAGTAAAATAAAGTCACAATTCAGTCACAATTTTTGAACAGAAAACAAAGAACTTTGTTTGGTCAGGGAGCTCCCTACATAAAGTGCAGCAAATTTCTTTTTAACATGGACGTTCAACGCCTTTCATAACCAGTCTCTTCTACTAACTTTGCCCTCTTCCTCAAGGGGGGGCTACTCCGGATTTCAAGTGACAGGGATGATCGAAGGATGTTTGTGGGTTTGACATTTTCGATTTCGGGAATTATTTGGGTAGGAAAATTTTGGCAAGTAGTTTTTTGGGCAGCTTGATTTCAGTAGGAATTTTTTTGGGTTTTCAAAACAATCTGAAGATTCATGATAGTTCCCGCGTATCCTGTCCACGTAAGTTCTTCTGGAAATTTTTATGGCTCGGAAATTCGGCGTGGGATTTTTGGGGGGTTTAATTTTGGCCCTGGGATTTTTTTGGGTTTTGATTTTTGCAACCATTCGATCATCCCTGTCACTTGAAATCAGGGGTATCGGTCCCGGCCCCGGCCCCGGCCCCGGCCCTCTTCAACTGCCTCAAAAAACGTAATACCTTTCAGACGGATTTCACGAGGGATCCAAAAATGCAGTAGCTCTTCACCTGTTTTTTTTTTTTTTTGCTTTTCAACATTCTGTGTTAACATTAGCCGCGTTTACAAGGCTTCAAGCTTTTTAAAGTGATTATCCGAGGAAGACGGGAAGCAATTTCTTTTGTTATGGCGCAACACGCTCTTTTCTACAGGAATATTTTCATTTCTTACACAGAAAATGCATAAAAGGCAGTTCAAGGAATAAAATGTATTTTGACTCCATTTTAAAGGGCGTTTTTTGTGTTTTAATTTCGACCAACTATAAGAGTTGCAAACAACAGCCAAGCATAGTTCACTATTTTTCAAGTTACTCACATAGGATTTCTGTGTTACTTAGACTCAGAGTTAGACGAATTTTGTTATAAGGAAGCTGGTTAGAAAACAAGGAATTTAAGTATACATGCTGATTTCGCCGGTAAAACTTAATGCCTGAACAAATCAGAAACGTCGTAGAGAAAACTGTCAAGTTGGCACCTTTTTGTGTTCCTAAGTGTTCATTGAATTTGGTTCTTTCCTCCTCATCTGGACAATCACTTAATCATCTCATTTTCTAACGCTGCGTTTCAAATTGGTTGTTTGTAGTCATGCATAAAACAGCAACGTTGAGTGATTCTGAATCACTGCGTCTTCTTACACATTACAGACAGCAGAACTGAACCTTCCATTAGCAAGTGGGTTTATTTGCCGTAACTGTTAGGTTAATAACACTGTTAAATTCATAAAATGATAACTGAGGGGAAAAGAAGTAATTAACGCATGAAAATTATGCGTTATTTGCGCATGCCACGAAAAACTTCAGTGAGCCAATCAGCTCCAAGAATTTAGCACAAAGCACTATTCATCATGATTAATTACACGCTTTTGTGTTGCAGCGCTTGAGAAAGTTGATAACCCCCGATATTGACGAGAAAAGAGGCGAGGAAGTTCAACTGAATGGCGAAATAGAAGAGAAGGCATCGAATGACAATGTTAAACTTTTCACGAGTTTGTAGGCCATTCAAAATTTTAAAAGCCGATAACACAGTGGGCCAGTTTGTTTTAACCTTCACCGTAGAAAGATAAAAAGACACATGAGCAACACTAATGACTTGTGTATTCCAGGTTTGGAGTGTAAAAACACTCACGATTATCTTGGGGGTGAATTTCTCGTGTCTTGTATCAAAATATTTCATTCTTTTAAAAGTAAGGTAAATGATAATGTTAGTGGTTTTGTTGCAATTTTAAAGGAGTTTATTTCTGAAAGAAATAAATAAGTTTATCCTCAATGTGACTGAGTGATAAATATTACGTTTCTCTGGTTACCAGTGAGGGGGCGTAACTGCCATCCGGGACATTATCATGGAAATTAGTTCTTAAGACATGAACGCGAGGCACGAAGCCTCTCTGCTAAAGAAATTCAAGAAAACGTTTTCTCTCCCGAAAGCTCTACTTAACTCCAGTGGAAGGCGTGTGTGCTCTCACACCTTAATTTGCTGGAAACAACATTCTTGTGTATCTGGGTTTCCTAGCTTTATATGCTGTAACTGAATAAACCGTGAAAACTCCTCTAGTGGCCAAATTCATCACGTAATATGGACTTGTCAATATTTTGTTTCCTTTCGAACAGAGCTCACCCAAAGCAGGACCTCTCCATTCCAACATCAAAAAATTGATTTAACATGTGAATGAATATGAAGCAAGAATCATATCATATGATTCTTACTTACAATTTGAAAAATACTCAATGAAACATTAACTTATTCAATTATTATGAAATAATTATCAAATCTTTTAGTATCTTGCATTGTTTGTTTAATTGTGTTCTACCAGCCATTTACTTTTCATGTTTTTTCCACGCTGTCTTCTATATCCTTAAGTGATTACTATTCTCACCAGAAGTCTTTTTTTGATTCTTGTCTTTTTATAAAGTTTATGTTATTTCACGAAACTTCAATTTTCATGTTAGTGAATTTTATTGCGGACCTCTCTTTCTCTTCATTTTTGGGTGACAAACGGCAAATCATAATTATGAACAACAACAACAAAAAAAGGAATGAATGAACGTGTTATATTTTTCAATGACAGTTCTCTTGGAAAGTTGCCCTTGCTCGCTTTTGGTTTTTCCACTTTGACTGAACAAGACGTTAATTTACGGTTACTTGAAGGAAAACTTGTACAAGTCGTAAAGTCGTATGTGGTTATTTTGGTTGTAGTTATTCGTTTAATTCAAAGGAAAAACCATCCGCACTCAGGATTCGAAGAGAACGCTCGGTTACCAAGTGTTAGCGAATGCGGATCGACTTCTGAATCAAAACAAAGCGTGTTTCTAGGCTTTCCTACGAGAAATGTACGGGAAGAATTGACCAGAAACGAGACAAACGTCTACTTCAATGGAAGTAATTCAACGTTTTTAAACAAAAATTCAACCTTTATTAAGTCGAAACCCTTGTTTCCTAAAGTCCATGGTTAAACCTATCGTGATACGCCAAGAGCTGGTGATCAATAAAGCAAAGTTCGAAATGTAGACGAGCTTCACGTGACCCCACCTATCCAAAAACCCGTAGAAACCTTTCGTACACTGCAACTTACAATCCACCATTTTCATGGGTGACGACAGGTAGTGACAGATGGAAAACCAACCATATATTTAGATTTAGGCAAAGGTAAAGTCGAAGTTTTCGTTGATAAATTTATAATTTACTTCAATCCATGATCTTGTAAACATTGCAAAGAAATCCACTTGGAGTTGAGCCTGCGATCAGTTGAAAACTAGTAACTTGTCAGCGGATACCTGACCTAAAAAAAACACGTAATGTCGATGGGTCGACAACTGAGCCCGCGATATGGTCATACAGTATAACACTGGTTAGCGGATACACTATTTTGACAGCTGTCAATAGACCACGACATGGATGTGCAATACTCTGGTTGCAGGCTCCCACACTAGCTAGAAAGTGTGAGATTTCACCATGGCTTCCCTATGGTGCGGACGGACAGACGTACGGTCACATGACTACCAAAATTTCTGGGATGGATAGATAATCAAATTTTCTCAGCTATGGAGCTTCGCTTGCGTGCAACTCCGCTAAAAAAATGTCACTCTGTATGGCTACGATTTAGATGAATTAAATAAGCGCCACTTTTCGGCCGCAGAGCCAAAGCTTGAGACAAAACTAAAAGAGTTTCTCGATTTGCCACAGACTAAGTTCGTCAAGACGTACGAAATTGTGGAATACTCTCACGTAGTCTTTCCACATCAATACAGGCCAAAAAGCCTTTCGCTTTCTGCTGACAAACATGTCTCAACATTTCGGCTCCTCGCAGCCACTGGTTAAGTTAATGATGGCGTTAACCGCTTCAAATCTACGGTTTAACGAGCAGAAGTAATCAACACCCCAACTAAAAATTATTTTCACCTTCAAGTGTTACGCAACCGGATACAATGACATACTTAGATCATGAATCCTTGAAGAGCTTGAACTAGCGAGGTGTTACCTAAATGGGTACCTGGCTGAGTGGCTATAATGTGGATGTTACTCGATTTTTATAAAACTTTATAAAATAACTGAGATAGTACGCGTGATCTGATTGGTCAAAAACCTATGGTTTATTATACCGGTAAACCCATAGAAAAAGGCATCCGGACCACGAGCCATAAACAAAACCGGCTATTGATCTGCAAACGATTTTAGAAAGGCTAAAAAAAAGAACAAGTTACTTACCTATCCCTTCTTAATATTAAAAGCGTTGGTTTTCACATTTTATTACTGAGCGTCACAATTCGCTACTGCCATAGCTTTAGAAGTTATAAAGTACAAAGCTGGAAAACAGTTTACATTTCACGACGATGCCAAATCGCAGAGAAAGACAACAACTGTGTGAATTTCTGGTGTACAAAGTCTCTAGGAAAACTTAACAATGTGCCAACCAGCAACAAAACGGATAGTTTTAGCATTCTTGATTTATTTTATTTCAAA